GCCGGTAGCTCTCTCTTCTCGGAAAAAGGCTGGTGAAGTAAGAAAATAAGAACCTAGAAACATTTAAACAAGGAGGTCAAGCCATATGGCTTTTCCATGCTAGCTAGGGCTCAGGACAAGATGGCAAGAAAAGCACGTTATCGATAGCGATACTTCGACGCGAAATTCACTTCTTGTCTAACTAGCCTTGCCTCTGGAATGTTCCGAAATCTACGTAATTTAGATACTTAACTAAGTACTTACTTACATATGGGGATTATTGTTTGAGAAATTTAAATAAAAAAACCAGATGTCCAGTTTCTTTGCCTTATATCGCACGGTATAGGTATTTCTTCTGTCAAATGGAAAGAAGAGACGAAAAGAGGGTGGTTTATGCAGTTTTTTGACCTTGTAAGAAAGAAAGTAGTTCTTTCTTTTCTTTTCTTTTTCGGTTCGCGCACATACTACATTTAAACGCTCCTACGCTTGGGGTTCACAGCATACACACACACACACACACACACACACACACACACACATATATATACGCATACATACATACATACATACTAATTACATATGTTGTACGTTGTACCGTATGAGGCGTGGGGAGGAGGAGGAGGAGGAGAAGAAGAAGAAGAAGAAGGGGTTATGCCATGCGGTCCTGCGAGTGTTAATGTTTAAAGTGAGTGGTTGCCCACACATATCCACCTTCTCCCGCATAACGCCATGCAGGTGGACCGAATGCAGTAAACTAATTGGGTGGGAAAAAAGGGCTGAACGAAAGGGTATTTTGGACGACAGGTCTTTTTCTTTACGGTTATACGGAGGACTAAGGGTGAAAGAGGCTATTGTATTTTAGGGTCAGATGGGATGTATACTGTGTAGATGATGATGATATGTAGGTCTGGATCCTTCTGATCCGAAGATATGAGGATCATACGACAATCTGGGGATTCCAGTTATAATTAAGTGTCGATACGTATACCGCAAGGAATATAGTCGAGCGGTACCTGTAGGCACTAGTATGGTATGTATGCATGTATCGACAACTCGCTCGATGGAAGATGTAATTGTGCATTTCCCGCAATTGGCGAAAAGGAATGCATGAACCCACATATGATATTACAGATCTAGTTGGTTTACTACGTAGCAGCGGATGGAAGAACGGAGAGATGGAGAGATGTTCACGTTCATGTTCACGTTCATGATGTTCTCTTTCCCCTCCTTTATTCGTTTCGTGTTCGAACACGTTTTTTTGATGGGATGCTGTGGTGATAATTACTAACTAGTATACCCGCACACGCACAAGCACACACACACTCACACATTACGGGATCCGCCGCCCGTTTTCCATGGATAGGATATAACTCTAAGCATGCAAGTACTTAGTATGTATGTAAGTATAAACTTGAGTGATTCAGTTATGTATGTCCAACGCGTCGATTGCGAATTCGATTGGGTTGGGTTGAATCGGATACTGATAGCCTTCTTTCACGGGACAGGATCTCTGTCAATATGTAAAATACATGTAGTTAGTGATCAGGTACCGCCCTTTTTTTGATTTTATTTTATTTTATTGTTCAGCCCCTTACAACAGCGTTCCGGAATGTTTTTTTTGGCACGGGCAAAGCTTAAGGAGGAAGTACTGGAAACATGACAAGGACGGGCTCCGACTAATGACAAACAGCGATTCCTGTAACGGATTTGCCTTGGGACGGATGATGTTTCCAGAGATGACACTGGGGGTAATTAAATCAACTCTACACATGCACATCTTGCTCGACTCTGTATACTTCATAAACTTAAAATGCGAATAGTAGTATATTATGTATGTATAGATAGATAGATGTATGCTTTGCCCCCAATGTCATGAGGGTACTTGCACTCGGGTTTGATAATTAATAGGCGGCGATGATGGCATGGCAGCCAGGCAGAAAGGGAAGCCACCCCAGCTGACCGAACGGGAAAGGACGCAGGCGCAGGGAACTGACGGCGGCGGCAGCCAGGAACCAACTTTTTGTTAGTTCGATATTATATTTACATCAACTCCATGAGATCATGAAGTAAATTAGTAGAAAATTGGTTAATTATGCACTTAGTTATAAAAGTTAGTTAAGAAGGGTAGAGAGATAAAGATGAAGATGAAGATGAAGATGAGACCGGGTGCCCCGCAAGAGTTAGATCGTGTAATAAAATCATCTGTAACCAGACCATTACCGTTTCCGAGGGCGGACGAAACTAGCGTCGTCGCTAAATCGACGGGATGCCGTTGTGAAGCCCGTGATCATTCATTATATTATCCATTCCCCGTATTCTTATTATTATTATTATTATTATTACTCCCTCCATCTCTCTGTTTTATTCACCGGTATCAATATTATCGTTGTCGTTCGAAGATCGATATATGTTACAGTAGATACTTATATATATCAGACCTAGCTATATTAATAATTCGCATAGACTGCGCACGCTGCACTGCACCGCACCGAACGTCCAAGCCGACTTGCTTGTTTCCCAGGTTCGAAACTTCAAATATATCCCCATCCCATCTGGTTGTCGGTGTCAGCGTCAGTGCCAGTGCATTGCGGAGTCTGTACAGCCCGCCGCTCTCGTCTCGTCTCGTCTACTCATACATCCTATTTTCCCTTCCCTCTCTCCTTCTCTCTCGCTCCCTCTCTATCTTTATCTCCATCTCCATCTCCATCTCCATCTCCATATTCCTCTCTTTCTTACTTTTCTTTCTCGCTTTCTGGAGGTTGTTTCATATATTTTTGTCTGTCAATTCGTCAGTCCTCTCTTTTTTCCCTCTAGCTTTCTTGTCCTGTCTGGACATTTGAGATTCGAATTCATCCTCGTGTCCACCCGTCGGAAACACTTTGCCTTAGCCTATTGCCGGGGTATTCGACCTTTTACGACTACCAACTATTCCTAGAACTCCAGTGAATGTAAGTTTTTTTTTTCTCTCTTCTCTCTCTTATTTTATTGATTTTTATTCATCCCTTCTCTTTCTTTTTTTTCTTTCTATTCTCCCTTCTATCGATAGTGGGAATTCCTCCTTACACACACAAAAAAAAAGAGGAAGATCGAAAAGGTGTAAGCAGCTGCAGTTACAGGGCAAGTCCATATTTTGTGATCGTTTGCAATCCAATTGCAATTCTTCGAGGTAGTCTTGTTTTGTCCTTTCATTTTGAATATTTCATTTCGATTTCATTTCGAATTCATTAATTTTCCTTTGGTGTGTGGTTCTTTCTTTCTTTCTTTCTTTCTTTCTTTTCTTCCTTTCTTTATTTCTGTTCCTTCCTTCCTCCCCCCCGTTCCATACATAGAATTGGATGGAGAGACAGGGCTCAAGGGAAAGAAAGGTTTGACCCTTGGAAACCGTTCTGTACGTTCTGTTCTTATTCTTGTTCTTATTCGGTTCTGGTCTGGGCTGTCTGGAGAAGGAATCAAAGTGCCTAAAAAGGTGCATCCGAACGTCCCTTCAAAAAAACAGATCTGAAATTAATTATATTTCGACGGGACTGACATTCATTCATTCATTCAACTAGATTTACTTCTTCATCATCTCACCATCTCACCATCTCCCTCATCTCCATCGCCATCACCGTCACCACCATCGTCACCACTTTCCCTTCATCCTCCACCCATCTGTCATCGTCGTTACTACTCGAGTCTGTCCGAATCATCATATGTAAGTTGTGCTTGCTGTTGGTCCGGCTCTTTTGTTTGTCTCTTCCGAGTCCTTTGCGCCAAAAGAATAAGGTCCTCGTTTGATCCACCTGCCTGCACCTGCCTGCCTTTTGCCCTGCCTCTTGCCTGCCCTGCCCTCCCTGCCTGCCTGCTTGCCCGCCTGCCCGCCCGCCTGCCTGTGTGTGTTCGGACGGGCCACCTCCATCTTCTTCTCCCTCATTATCATCATCATTTTTCTTTCTTTCTTTCTCCTTCTATTCTTCTCCACCAGGAAAGAGGGAACGGAGATCTTGGACTTCGACCAATAGCTGGATCGCACATCTACCCAGAATTCCATTCTATCTAGATTTCTGCCAGTCGGTGTGTCTGGTTGTTTGAAAGCAAGCAACTAAGCAAGCCAGCAGGGGCATCAGACCCGGCTTCAATTCAGTCGGTGTTTGGCGATATATCCTTATCCTCACTCCAAACCCACCCACAGATTTCCCCCAATTCCAATCCCCCATCCTTCGGAATTTCCTCACCCTCTCGCAGGAAGTTTATCAGAATTATTTTATTTTATTTTTCTATTTTTTACTTCACTTCTCTGTTTTCTTGTGCTTCCCTTCTTCCCCTTCTTCCTCTACTTCTACTTCGGCTTCTACATCTTCTTCCTACGGATTCCCTACTTTCTTATTTTCTTTTTCACCAAGTCGAGGGGAAGGGGAAAAAAGTCACAAGCTTGGCCCCTTCATCTTGTCCTGATACTCAGATTCGAGTTGTATATGCCTTCATCTTAAAAATTAAAAAAAAATTAAAAAAAAAAAAGAGAATCGCCGGAAAGAAACTCACACGCGAAGAATTTTTAGTAGCCACTACCTCCAAATACAATAATACTCTACGAAAAAAACACTTAAAGCATACGACTTCTCCGTCATCATCGCACCTCATGAGCCACTGACCCCTCTTCCCTCCCTTTCTGCCACCCGTTTATTCATAAACGCGAAGGGACTCTCGAGTTGGCTTTTTTTTCTTTTCCATCAGAATCTCCATCCACGACTTCGTCTGTCCGTTTTCTCCTTGCAACAGCGGGCAACACCAAAAACCCATCCTACAGCGGAGGACTATTCGTCAACATATCATATCCGCCTGCCTGCCTGGACAACCGCCGACTCCGGGAACGGGTGAACGACTGATATTCAACTTCCGATTGCCTTCATAGGCGGCTGTCTGTCTCTTTCCCTTTCTTTTTCTTTTTTCTTTTCCTTTACTCTCTTATCCTTCTGCGTTCATATTCAAAGTCCTGTTAAATCAGGGTCTCCCTACATCATCATCTCCCTCCATCCAACAACATGTCGGTTCCTTCCACTGCAACACTCCACTACCCTCACCACCCTCACCAATCTCCACCATACGGCTATCTAAATGCTATTCCCCAACATACTAGCCTTTACTACCGGTCGAACTCCGGCACTCAACAGGTATGTCATTTTTCTCTAACTTCTTCTTCTTTTTCTTCCTCTCCTTCTCCTTCTCCAGTTCTTTTTTTCTTTTCTCTTCGTAGTGTGTTCTTCTTTTCCTTCTTCTTCTGCTACTTTTCCTTTTCCGTGAATCGCCATTTCTGTTCTTTCTGGAAACCCATTGTCCTCTTCTCCCGCACACACCCACAAACGCACAAACACATACACAACCTGCAGGAACCTACCTGCTGACATCAAATCGAATCCTCCCTAGCCTCAACCATCATATCAACCACAAAGTCAAAGATACAGCACCGAGATGAGGCCCTCTGGGTCCGTCGCCAGCTCGGCAGCTCCAACGCCTTCTGTCACCGGAAAAAGACGTCGAAAGCAAACGCCAGACTGGAAAGAATTCTACAAGAACGGTGTTCCTAAGGAGATCATCGTCATTGATGACACTCCTCCACCGGAACCTACTCCCAAACGCAACGCTCGAACAAATGTCACTGCCAGCCGAGTTCCTCGACCTATCTCACAGAACGCTTCTCTCAACGCTCGAGTCCACAACCCAGTTTCTTCACAGGCATCGACTGCGACAACATCGCAACCATCTAAGAGACGCAAAATCGCTGCGAACGGCACAACAACCGCTGCTGTAAATCGGTATGAAACGAATCACGATCCATACGCATCTACGCCGTACTCTGTGACTCAGACTCCGGCCTACGCGTCTCAGGGGTCTAGCGCTAATACGGCCAGTGCTTCGTCCAGAGGTTACAACAATGGTACCGAGACTGCCGCTACATCTTTAGCCTCAACCATTGGAGATTCGGCCTCTATCGCTGGAACGAAGCGGAAGAGAGTTACGCGAGGTAGCATGGCGAAGAAACAGACGGACGCATTTGCTCACTATCAACCTCCTCCACATCCTCCAATCAAAGCGAAGGAGGTAGTTGTGAGAAAAGTTGAAGATGTAGGTTCCCCCTCAATTCTCCTAAAACCTCAGACCAAAAAAAAAAAAAAAAGGAAGAAAAAAAAAAGGAAATAAAAGAAAAAAAAAAAATGCGGGGATGATATCTCGACATTCGAGGTCACTTGGCTTTTTTTTATCTGGGGAAACATAGAGCTAACACAACGTCCGCAGAGCCCTAAGACAAATCAGAAAGTTGATGACGATGAGGGTCACTACATTGTAACACCCGGTGCATATCTCACTAACCGATGTAAGCCTTCGCTTCTCCTTTTCCCTTCATATCAAGTAGGTTTACTGACAATCCTCCTAGATCGAATTATCAAGCTGCTCGGTCAGGGAACCTTTGGTAAGGTTGTACAGGCCTTCGATAGTCAGAAAAATGAGTACTGTGCCATCAAGATCATCCGATCCGTGCAAAAGTATCGCGACGCATCTAAGATTGAACTTCGTGTTCTGTCGACCCTCGGTAAAAATGATTCAGACAACAGGAACAAATGCATTCACCTACGTGATTGCTTCGATTATAGGAATCATATTTGCATAGTCACCGACCTGCTCGGCATGTCTGTCTTTGACTTTCTCAAATCAAACTCCTTTACTCCCTTCCCCAGCAGTCAAATCCAATCCTTTGCTCGACAACTCTTCACAAGTGTCGCCTGTAAGTTTTGACCGTCGTCTACTCGCAGGATCTTCGGACACGTGCTAACATGGTGGCAGTCCTTCATGATTTGAACCTGATCCACACCGATTTGAAGCCGGAAAACATTCTTCTCATGCACAACACCTCAGAAACATTTACTTACAATAGGGTCATACCATCATCTACACATTCTAACCCTAGGAAGGCTCAGACCCGCAAGATTCTTTTGGACACCGATATTAGACTGATTGATTTTGGATCTGCCACCTTTGACGACGAATACCACTCGTCGGTTGTCTCCACCCGACACTACCGGGCTCCGGAGATTATTCTCGGTCTCGGCTGGAGCTTCCCTTGTGATATTTGGAGCATCGGGTGCATCCTTGTCGAATTCTACACTGGTGATGCATTATTCCAGACGCATGATAATCTCGAGCATCTTGCCATGATGAAAACTGTCTGCAATTCCGACATAGAAACTCGACTTGTCCGACAGGCCATCACCAAAACACAGAATTCCAACAGTCCTGCCTCTAGGTATGCTTTCACCAAATAAAAGGGAGTGTTTTGATGCGGGGGCTAACTGGTGTATAGATTCTTCCGCAACAATAGACTCGACTATCCCAACACTGAGACTACCAAAACTTCACGACGTTACGTCAAAGCTATGCGTCGTTTGGATGTAATCCCCACCGGTCTCAATCTCACAGGTCTTGAATAAATAGCTAACGAAGCGTAGGAAATGATACCTCAAACATGTAGCTTCTACCGACAACTGCTCGATCTTCTCAAGAAAATCTTTGTATACGACCCATCGAAGCGAATCACTGCCCGAGATGCCCTCAAGCATCCATGGTTCAATGAAGTTATTAGAGACGAAGGAATCACCGTGGCTCAAATGCGTATCGACAGGGGCGTCGAAATGGAGAGGGAATTAAGGAGGAGACGTGAGGGAAATAGCGACACAGAGCCGGAGGATGACGAGACGGAGGCCGAGGGAGAAGACGAGTAAACCAATCTCGGCCATATAACGAGGACCTCTGATACCCTTGAAGATGAAGTTCACATCATCATAATCATCATCAAAAAACGCCATCTTATGCTTTAGTTGCACAGTGCTCCTACAAAGGATATATGTGCTCTTTTTTGTTGTTACTCTTTGCTGCAGGCACAGACATATCTTATATTCCTGGTTTTCTTCGAGCATTCACATGTCTGTTTTTCTTCTGCAGCTTTCCTCCCCTTTCTTTCCTTCCTACTTCTATTCCTGTTCATCTTTATCCCCCATCACAACTTTTTTTTCTTTTCACTTTTTTTCGACATAATGATCATGCACGACCTGGGTAAATATCTATGAGGCGAAAACAAACTCGGTGGTTAAATGGGTTTTATTGTTTTTTTTTTATCTTCTCTAATGGTTAATCATATTGCGCTCTACTTTTCTCTTTCTTTTGTCTTTTTTTTTTACAGAATATCTCATATTCCTCTCAACCTACAGAGCGTGCTTCGAGGCTTCTTTTTTTTCTCCCTCTCTCCTCGCTTTACAGATTATGACACAATGCTTGGCTCAGTCGTCACCTACTTACTTTTTCACCCACGCACGCCTGTTCTTACTTGCTTCTAGTGTTGATAGCTTCTGAGACAAAAGCAAGCTTGTTTTGCCGGCTAGAGGGCGGGCATACTACACTACTATCTAGCGTATGTGTATACGCCTTTTATATAGGCTTTATTTTTCTTCTTCTTGCAACGGCTTGGATCGATGTAGGATCGATTTGATATCCAAACCATGCATGGGCCCTATTAACCATATCATACAGTCTTACATACTGTTACTTCTCTTGTCAACGTTTATGACGTTTTTCCTTACATCCTTTTAGTATATATATACGGCGTCAACTTTCGTTTTATCTTTACTTTCCGGTGTTCTTTCTTCAAAATTTGCGAATTCTGGTTTTCATATATATACCTAGTCAGACCCTGCTTCTTTGTACATTCTTACATTTGTTTGTTGAAAGGATCGGTCAAATACTCCTTTTTTGTCCCTTTGCATAATTTATGGGTATTGGGTACTGCGTACTGAGCCCGGCTGCTGGCTGGATATGCCCTATTATTTTATTTTTTTTGTTTGCTATGGCGAGATCCGGTTTAAGTGGATTCTGGCGTTCAATTGTCTTTCTTTCCTTCCTCTTTCGCCCTTCTGAAAGAATTATATATCGGCGCAAAGAGACTTGAGGATTGAAGGAACAAAGAGGAGAAGAGAAAGGAAGAGACGAGAAGAATGTATATACAAACTATTGATATTAGAATGATGATATCTACTCGACAGCTTGGCAATGCTCAAATGTGCCTAAGCTAGTGCATGTAGTCATAATATTGCTTGTGTGATCATGGTATTACCGGCGTGGACGGTGTAGGTCTTTCCGTTAGCTAATGTGCTAAACAAGTTGACTAGAACAAGTTCTACATGATATATATGCGTATTTAAGTATCAATCTGGTTCATTAAAAGTGCCTGATATACCGTTCACTAAACGCTAAATGTTACAAATTTAGATGCGAGCATTGCTCCTTTATGCCAATAAACCCAACCGCATACCCCCCCTTCGAACGCCTGGAGAGTGCCCCTCCCACACACACAAAAAGATTAATATTGTCGTTCGTATGTCGCTAGTGTTAACTTTAGATTGGATTATGTTAAATCGTCAATCAACTCGATAACTTTCTTCCTAGCTTCTAAGAATGAATCTTTATCACCTGGAAACTCTTCTTCCGTGATAACAAAGAATGGGATTCCGAGAGACTTGAGGTCTTCAGCCATGGATCCATACATTTGGACTGATGCGCGGTAGACCTTTTCGTCGTATGTTTGGAGTTCTTGGAGTTTTGTTTCTGGGGTCTTTCGGCATGTATATTAGTATTTTACATCTGGTGCTCCTTAAAGGGTGATTATATAATACCAATTCTGCGGATGAGGTTGATACTCCAAAACTCTTCCTAAGTAGCGATAATAATTTTAGTTTAGTCTTCTGGTAGCCTTTGGCATAAAAATGGAAGGTTATGTATTACAGCACCGAGTCCATGGCCACGCGATTATCAGAGCTTTTTGAATGACGTTGTAAGATCACCTCTCGACTACGCCACCATTGTTTCTCGTGGTCTTTTTGATGAAGTTTCATCTGTTATAGATAATGTAGTAATTTTCAATATATTTGTTAGTATTTTATCTTAGCAAAGTTAAAAAAAGAAAAAAGAAACAGGTAACATAGAATCTGCACTGGATCAATGCAATGAAGTTATTATATATACATACTTTTTTCAGCCTTTCCATAGCAGCTGGATTTGTTGTTATGACTGTGGTTATATACTTCAAAGCTGCCGGCCATTGAGTAATAGTACGCGGGTCTACACGTTCAGAAGCTGGAAGAGGAGGAGAAGCATGTTGAATATATGCTTGAGGGGCCTGTACTGGCTGAGGCAGTGGGATGTCAGGCTGATAGATCCGACGTGGATCGTAGGACTGCTGGGAGAGTTGATGATTTTGAGGCTGTGAGCCCGAAGTAGTCTCCTGAAGGGCCTTGAGGACCTGAGCGAGATGTGGATCCATTCTTTGATATTAATGATAATGATAGCCCAGAAGCCTATCTTTACATGTCTTCGATATCAGATGTCATGAGCACGTCAGATATCGCGAGTCGACCTTAGCTCTGTCACATAAAGTTGAGGTCGTTGGACGTGTTTTCGTGTGTTGGATGTGTTGGACCCGTCGTCTCGAATTGCTCCCGCCAAACATGGACCGGTTCGTTTCGTTCGTTTCGAGATTTTTTTGCTCGAAAAGCTCATCCGACTGTGGCACCATCGAATATCAACCTCGACCGGCCCGCCCTGCGATGGATAGTAGCCGGCATAGACTATCTCCACCGACGGCAACGACCACGACCACCACGACGACATTGTGCATGTCCCGATATTCCCGGTTATAAGAATTCGAGAGATAAGCACGGCCCGATCGAAAGAAAGAAGTCGACGGAGAGGGAGCTCATGAGGGGACAATCTCTTATGTAACCCCACTACCACACCACTGGCCAAACCTACCATACCCCCCCAATCAATCAATCAATCAATTCATCCATCCACCCGTGCCATACCATCTATAATTCTACCCTCGAATTACTAAATACTCCACGACCCCAAACCTACCAATTTCACAAGCCAACGAGACAAGAAACGAAAAGAAGAAAAGAAAGAAGAAAGAAAAAAAAGAAACCAAAAAAACAAAAGAAACAATGCCGGCTGCCCGCCGTGTAGCCGACGGCGCTCGTTTCGTCCAAAACGTCAAGAATCGCGCCGATGCTACCCGGTTCGCACAGAACATACGAAGTCCTCCGGTACCTGGTAATGGCGAAACAGCGCAGCAAAGAGTGGCACGGTTACGTGAAGCTGCGAGACGGGAGCGGATGAACCAGGTCACAACGTTTGATAAGGTTGTACATCATGGACGACGGTGGGCGGATAATTTGCATCGAGCGACGGTGTTTACTATCATGGGTTTCTCTGGTATATATCTTTATTCTTTTTCTTCTAGAGGGCTCAATTGGAGATGGTTTTTATTTTATTTTATATTTTTACATACGGAGGCTAATTTTTGGGGGGGTAGCTGTGACGGTGGGTATTACGGTTTATTCAGTTTATGGAATGATTGGACAGGGTCGATCGAATCGGAGAGAATATGTAAGGATCACTAAAAGTCAATTGGGACAATGCTCAAGCTTTTTAAGGTCGGAGACTAATGGGTTGCTCGGGATCATCATAGATGGCAGAATTAGCATCTGAACAAGAAAGGCAATGGCAAAGCTGGCGGCAGTCTGAGATCGATGAAATCGTAGCGACTGGGATAGAACCCGAAGAAGCCGCCAGATTATTCGATGAATCCGAAGAGAAGCGACGGAAATCCAAGACGGTATGGGGACGTTTAAAGACCTGGGCGTACGGTGGGTTGACCCCTGCGGAGGAGACTTATATGTCACGATACGAATTACACGATGGAAGGGTGCAAAAGCAGGTATTCCAGAAGCTTCAAAAGGAGTTTTATGAGAAGAGAGGGTTGGAACTACCGAAGAAGGATGAGGATGAAGATGACGAGGAGTTGGCGACGATTACCGGGGTTACGGCCATTGCAGCTGCCGTAGATGGTATCGTACCTACGGTTCCCGCGAAGGATGTGAAGGAGACAGCACAGGCGGTCAAGTCTGAAGGGAAGGGGTATTGGGGCACTTTGAGAAGTCTAGTTTCCGGAGGGAGGGTGTGATGCCCTATGAAATAGGAAATATGACATGGGACTGAGAAGGAATGGCTGTATCTTGTATGGTAGGTATTGTACATACAAATTGGTCTTCTGTCAGAAGCTATCTGGGGGTTGTCGGAATCTTCACTTGTCACATATTGGGCACACAAACTCTCCGCGAGGAACACGTATATATATATCCTGTACATAGCCTTAAGTAGTAGTTAATACTAACGTCGAGCATTGTTGTAATCTGCCATGGTCACCAGAACGACCTATGATATCATCCATCGATACCAATATGAATATGAATATAAAATATTAATATTCAAATGTCGGTATCTGACGGCGTATCTGACGGCATATGACGGGTCCGCGGGACGGCCGAGAGGGAACCCTGCCAAGAGTTCTCAGGAACCGCCAAACCACATTTTGCTTCGGTTGAATTAATTTCGCGACTCCGAACGAAACAGACGTGAACTTTGCTGTGGGACTTCGGTATCCGGCGCGCCCTGACAGAATTCACTTAAAAGTCCACAGTAGACTGCTATCATCCAATTGCTCGATCCCCATTACTACCACTACCACTACCAATCTACGTCCTCATACTCGTACTCGTACTCATACTCCTCCCTTCATATCTGCGACCGGTATCTCCTGTGTCTTCATCCCTGCCACGATGAAGTTCGACGTTCTCAACATAGGACGAATTATCGTCTATATCACCATCGTCTTCAGCGTCCTTGACCGCTACGTTCTCCCCAAGTTCCATATTTTCGATCCTAAACGACTACAGGAGATATGCAAGGAGTCAATTGAGCTATACGGCGACGAAAGCCCCAATTACGACCGTAAGCTGTTGTTCAATGACCTTGCCGCGAGATTGCAGAAGGAGTATCCAAAGTATGTGACAGAGCTCAAGTGGGACGAGTGGGTGTTCAACAATGCTGGAAATGCCATGGTAAGCTTTTTTTTCTCTCTGTTTTCCTCCTAATTGTCCTTTGATAGAAGATTAAAAAGAGCTTGTGAGCTAACATGGGTGTACTTTGGATCTTTAGGGAGGAATGGTTCTTCTCCATGCTTCCGTCTCCGAATACCTTATCATCTTTGGCACCCCTGTTGGCACTGAAGGTCACACCGGTATCCACATGGCCCATGACTACTTCACCATCTTGAGCGGCCAACAGACCTTCTACTATGCCGGTGATGTCGAGAAAAGGGTCTTCAACCCAGGTGACCAAAACCACATGGTTCGAGGTGACAAGGCGCAGTATGCTCTTAACGGTTTTGCATTGGAGCTTGCTCAAGGTATGATTCCGAATCCTTTCAGTAAAAAAAAAGGACGGTTGTTAATTGATATTTTTTCTCTTTCTTAGGATGTATCCCATGCATGCTTCCCTTCGGATTCTTAGAAGCTGTCACGTCGACAATGGATTACCAGTCATTTGCACGTACTGTCTTGATCACAGCTAGACATATGGGGTTGAACTTGCTCCAAGGAAAGCTCTAAATCATGCACCATCGTCGACGAATTGATGAAAAGAAAAAGTGTCGTTTTTTTTTAGATCTATATGATCTACGCGTTATTGCATTCGACCCTGGTTTCTTTTGCTTTTCAAAAAAAAAAAAAAAGCTATAGACCACGAGAGACACACTGGGAATAGAGGATGAGAACGGGGGGCAACATCAGAACCCGGCATCCTTTCTGTTCCACGTATTCTAATTTTGATCATCGTCATGAAATGAGGGGTAAAAAAGTCTGGCGTTTTTCTTTTTAGAGCGGCTGGCTGTATTTTTCTTTCGGGTCACTAGGTCATAGACGTGTATGCATCAAGATACTGCTACATCGGACACTTCACTAATCATGTATATTTGTTCCCGTTACACGAGATTTCTGGGGAGGGGAAACAGAGGATATCCCTTTTTTGATGAAAAGGATAGATGGCGGAATGTAACTCGTAATAAAATAATAAGAATAATACTCCGTGTGCATTTTACATCTCCTTGATCGGATCCGTAGCTCGAAAGTAGGCAGGAAGAAGCCGATGGATACATCCGATAAAGCACAACCAGCCCCGTTCAAGTGGAAAGAGAGAGAAAAGTGATAATTGGTCGGTTCTCTCAGAAAGCGCAAGATTAATACTTCTGTCATGCAGTATGATCAATTTGTGTACTTAAGTAAGTAAGTAAGTAAGTAAGTACTTTTCTGAACTGAAGTAGGGATTCAGTTCCGTAAGCATACGTCGGTTCAAAAAGCTTGAGTTCACGAAGATGCAGCTGTAATTGGTTTGTGACACCCATCCTTCTAAGCCACCCTTTCCCCTCCTTCTTGTGTAAGTATATCAAGATTTTAAGTTAAAGAACAGCGTGTGAAATAGACAGAAAAAGGGTTTCCGGACTCCGATTTCTGTGAGACTCAAGAATCTTGGGAGCCGGAGCTTGCAGTATGAAATCGGCTGGCTGTGTGATTGTCAGGGCTTGGCGGATATGCTTGGTGGAATGTTAAATTTCACATCAATACACCATATACATGTACATGTATGCATGAGGGTACATACGAGAGGTATTGATAGTCAGCCCTTCGGCCTTTTTGTTTTTTTCTTTGCGAATTTATATTGGTCGATGTGGAGTAGGTACGATATGAATGAGCGTCATGAATCGTGCGTGCAGTGCGTGCGTCAGTCAGTCAGTCAGGTAGAGGAAAGATTAGAGTTAAAGTTGCTCCGCTGTCTCTGATGAAAGAAATAGAAACACGGAATGCGGGTTTCGGGGATACCTTGCATGACCGCGTGAGTCGAGACCTCCCTTTTGTTCGTTTTCTTTCGACAGGTCCGGAAGCTGAATTTTTGAAGTTGGGTAAATTATAATTATCATTGGACGTCGTCGACTCGTCGGTTTCTTGGATGGTATGGTCACTTGACCATCTACATATGTCCACATACACACGTTACTTATACATGTTTTCTTTACCAAAAAAAAAAGGGTCTATTTGATTTGATTAGTGAGAACAAAGCGGGGTGAAGCGTGCCGTAGACGGATGCGCCTGCCCAAAGTATTAGGCAAAAGGTGCAGATTATCGCCAATTGGTGGTGGTGGTGTAGTGATTGTATCAAAATATGATTTCAAACTTTTTTTGAAGAGCGCCTCGATTTCCACTTTAGCTTCTTTCTCTTCCTCGTCCCCGCTTGAAAAGGAAAGGGAAAAACTGTGGGGGGCGAAGAAGGAACAGAAGAGAACAAGAAGAAAAATGAGGAGGAGGAGGAACCCCAACGCCAAACTTGGCGAACTTACGCAAAGTGGATGGCAAAAAAGAAGGCTGTAGCTTATCTTGACAAGGGCTTAGAATTGGGGGAATGAAATTACAATTAATTGCCTGCATCATTATCATGGGTTTGGGGTAGATGTATGTATGTATGTCTGGGCAAATCATGATCAAGATGCATTTAAGGTTGGTGATTTGATTGAAAGGGAACAGAAAAAAGAAAGTCATCAAGGGAAACCAAGCTTAGCAAGAGACGTCGAAGAAGAAGAAAAAAAGAGGACAAGTTGGCATGGGGTGATTATTGAATAGAAGGAATTCATGCATGCGACAAGCAACCAAGCAGCAAGCACGGACTGACGAATGCAGAGCAGCAGCATGGCACTCGTCTCGCAGGGGCGCCGTTCTTTAACCTAAAAGCACCGCGCACGTCGTCGGTCGGTCCTGATGGTCGCCTGCTTATCAACTTGGGGTGGGTTTTTGCGGGGTAAAGGTGTGGTTTCAATGTTGGTACATATAACATCATATCTCTAGGAAGAATGAAAAGAAGAAAACATATTTTGAAATTCAAAGAGAAGAAAAAAGGAACTCCAAACTAGGTTGAGTTTAGAGGGATGTACGATGTATGAAGGCGAAGAACCCGGACACACGAGTTCAATTGATAGGTCCGAACGGAGGACCGGTCGGATGTGTCATGGGGGCAACGTAACCAGGACCACTCGTACACGAAAGGGACGCAAGGACCTGTTAAGTTTCGTGTAAACCGTCGTTTCGGCGGGGGGGGATTGATCATATTCAAGTGGTAGTAAGCTTAAGTTTAAATTCGATTTCACATATTTTGTATCTCGTATGCTTTGTTTTTGGAGGTGGTCCGAGGAAAGGTTATATATACGTCAGTCAAGTTTTGCAAGTTGCAAGTTGACACGAGATATCGACATGACAAGACGGGGGAAGGGAGGAGGAGGGTATGAGCATATGAGCCAGCTTGTGACCGGGCCAAGCATTTCATTATCGCGAAAGAAAATTACACAGCATTCTCCTTTGTCGTGATGGTGTATACCTTTTGTTTCCCCTTTCTCCTAGCATACTCCTGATAATCGAGTCCGGATTTTGGTAAGTACTGGATTCAGTAGTATGTAAGTATTACTTGAAGTAAATGCAATATATGCTTTATAAGGTAGGGCTATGAGAAGCTCATATGAATCCTATGCCCCATGCCCTGCCACCGATGCACGGAGCCATCATAAGCGAAACTGCAAAAGTTAAAGGTGGGGGAAGGAAGGCAAATGCCATAACCATGGAGCTCGAACTTGAAATAAGCTACTTGTACATAACACCTACCGCTGTTGTGGTATAAACTTGCTGGGGTTATGTTGGACTTTGCGGCTGGGAACCCAGATAAACTCCGGCGGCCGGCTCGTACTGACTAAAGCGAGAGATCCGGCGGACTGTTTATGTTCTGTTGAGGGTAAGATGGGACGGCGGCGGCGCTCACCAGCTAGCTGCGAAGTGACCCACCCTAAACATGAGGCTTCACTTCCAGTTGGCTCGATGGGAAGCACGCACTATGTCGGCAAGTTACTGTACTTACATACATACGTTATGGTTTTCTGATTGACCTGATTGACGGCAGCTAGTGTCGCTCGTGGCCCTTTTGCCGGAGAGGGATGGATGATTCGATACAGACCACCACCCACCACCGTTTAAATTACTATTGGCGGCGTGCAGCTGGCAAAGAAAGGCAATCCGGATCTGACGGTACCGACCAGACAGCGATTGCAAAGGCCAAGCTTTGTACTAGCATCCCTTTCAGCAGGTTTCGCGGCGTTCCATCTGCATTCATCTGCAATTGTTCGTTGACCCTGAAGGACGCCGACCCACCTTGGCCGTCTTGTACTTGCATACAGTACATACATGTCGTCTCCCGGGGGCTGGCAGGGTAGTAGGTAGGCAGTAGTTAGCAGGCTGATCTACTTCGATCTCTTGCAGGACCTCCTCCTCCTCCTCCTCCTCACCTTTTGAGGTTGAGACACACTCCTCCAAGAAATTCCTGTGAGATGTTCTTATTACCACATTGGCGGCGGCAGGGCAGGGCAGGGCGGAATATAATTATAATATCTGGCCACCATGTCGCGACTCCCTCTCCATATCTTTCCCATATCTTTCCCACTTCCCTAGGACCATTCCTTCTTCCTGTCGAAATATTCGAAATATTCGAAATACCTGTCATAGAAAAAAAAACTTAAAGCTTGCGAGTTCAAGTTTCGAGTTCACGTTCAAAGTACTGCACTGGGGGTTATCAATTTTATATACTATATTATCTTGCATCTTCATATTCGAGTATACGTACCAGATCCAAATTTTATATCAGCCCAAAGACACCATTCCCAGTCGAATACCAGGAATCAGTTATAACTACCAAGAAGCACAAGCAGAGCGACCGTTAGATTATAGCCATTCCGATTCTTCCTTTCGATTCTTCCAAACAAAACTTAAGATCAACCTCAGATCTCACTGCCTCACCTTATTCCATCGTCTTTGCCTCCTCATTTGGGTCTGCCTGTCTGCCTGGCCATATAAACAGACCACCCCATCATCGTCTCTGTGTCTAACTAGCCCTTGTCCGGCCCTCGACTCGCGACATCGCTGCTATTAGCTAATTAGCTTCAGATTAGCCAAAGAGGTTCTGGATCTAGCCAGTGACCTCGCTTGCAGGCCTTGCCTCGTTCTTCTAACCACATCCAGACTCTGTTGGAAAATGCACACTGCAACACACGTTTCCGGCCTCTTCAGCTTGCTCAGAATTCATGTTATCCTCGACGAGTTCACACCTTACCTTCTCCCCCATGAAATCCTCAATTTAGGGCTGTGCTCCAAGAGTTTTCATAAGATTCTGTTCAAACAGGCTGGTGCCTTTCGCCATGTTGACCTTTCCCTATCAGCCCTCGTCCCCGTCAACCAGTCCCAGCAGCAAGTTTCTCTCCGACGAAGTTACACAGACTTCCTCTCTTCGGCCTTACTAGGGAAGAACACTCAAACACTCATCCTAGATGGCCTCCCCATGAACTTTGATACTCTTTTCAACCTTCTCGTCTCTCCTAATCAGCGAATCTCGATCTTGAGCGTCCGAGACTGTGGGTTTAACCAGCCCAGGTTTATGCAGACACTCCACTTCTTGGTTCGTCCTGGTTCTACGTCTCCTCTCAAGGGTGTTTATGTCTTCGGTAAGAGCAATGGCGCACCCAGAAGCAAGAATAGATGGCAAAGACAACGCGTTGGAGAAGTCGAGTTCATCGAAGGGTGGGCCGAAACCGTCCAAGCCTGCGAAGGAAAGATCGTCTTCGACATCGGACTATGCAAGGGGTCGAAGCACATGACACTTTCGCCATTCGAGGACGACTTGAATGCTGTCGCTGCTGCGGCTGCTGAGATCGAGCTTGGAAGTACCCCAGTTTCCGTTGGATCCGGATTTGCATCGTTCGCGTGGTCGGGTCAAGATTCGGAACAAAGCAGCGTCACATCCACCTCTGCTGGAGAGGGCGATTGGATGCCACCACAAATGGCACCAAAACTCGCGAACAAGAGAATCTTGGGTCGATGTGAAGGATGCGGTACACCACCAACCGGGTGTTCTAGCAAGCTCTATGGACCTGTTCCAATTTTGACCAGCGATATCAAGATTGCCTGTCGTCCACGTGTTGGAGAAAAGGTTGAGGTCGACATGTGCGACGACTGCACAAAGGAGAGACTTTGCGAGTGCTGCGGTAAATGGTGGTGCGAGAGCTGCTATAGCGTTGGAATGGGAAAGATGTGTGGTATCCAAAAGGTGAGAACTGCACACGTACAGCTGTAAAATATAAACTTCGATACTAATACCGCAATTTCACAGGGAGGTGTACTTCTCGATTGCTATGACTGCGGTAGAACCTGCTTTGATTGCAAGAAAGATACCATGCGAAGCTGCAGAAGCTGCAAGACCAATTTCTGCGCCCTTCACGACGTCGGCGCCTCCGAACTCTACGTAAGTCGCGAATATTTTTATCTTATTTCCCTTATTTACAGAATGAAAAAAAAATACTAACATCCTCGATCTTAATAGTGCGATTGGTGCCATGTCTAGAAGACTACGACACAAAAAAGAAGGCGACAATGGCTTCGCCGAAAGGCCGAGTCGGAACGAAAACGCAATTCTCAAAACTAAAATCCAACTATCTGCTGCCGGTCCAGCTGGTACTCTCAACCAGAGTCCCATCTGATACCCGTTCTCTTCTCTGTATGCATTTGAACTTGAAGCCCCGCTACATGCGCCAGATATTGCGCGACGTCGGTTCTCCTTCTACTTCTACTGATATTTAATATTATCACCATTGTCATTTCCGTTCTATTTTTTTCTTTTATCTTCTAATGGCGTTTGTATATATTTTTCCTTTTCCTTCTTATTCTTTTTTTGTTTTCAAAGCTCTACTTCTCGCTTTGCTTTTAACTCATCATTTACCGGCGTCGGGGAATTCTGATTTTACCTGGGTTTGTTAACTGCGTTTGATTACTACTTTTATCCTTCTCCTTCTTCTCTTCTTCTGTATCTTAGCTATTACTTGATGTTTTACGATCTTCACGACCTCGACCAATGAAACCTCTCAACCCTTCTCTTCTTCACAAAATCTTGATCAAGTGATTCTATTAGATAGATTTCTAATTATTGGTATGATAAATCTCTCTTTCCAAATATTAATACTTAGCGAGAAACCGCTTGCCGCAGTTCAGGCGAGGGTTTTTCCAAGCACAAAATCGGGCCGTAATTTAAAACACGATTTCGATCTGAAGGCCTAATTTAAGCTTAATTGACTAGATCGCTCCTTGCGTCAGGCTGCATCTTATATTCTCGGGCCTCAACGCCACCAGTAGGCTACTACATATGTAAGTACATCATTTCTTTTTTTCTTTTGTTATAGGTCTATATCTTTAAATGGCTTCGGATTGTCAAGAATCGGGAAGAATAAATACCAAACAGTAGGGTCGGGGTCGCTCGATACCAGAGTACCTTATCACCATGGAAAAGGTATAAACCAGACCGCCTAGACTCACTTTTCCTACAAACGCAACTTGTATTGCAACCCAGTTTATCTCAAGCCCTTCATCCTGAAAGATGGTGTCTATTCGAGATTCCTTATATGTTCTGGCTAGCCTCTCGGCCCTTAGCGCTCATGTATTTGCTGCTCCAGTGGGCTCTAGGGTACAGGACTTAGGTATGTAGACGTCACTCTCATTTTAACTCTAGTTTGCAATCATCCGGTTTTTCGAACGAATTTCAAAGGGCATGCTCTTGTACTTGAGTTTTGTGGGAGAGATCCGTAAATTCGACAAATTAATCCATTTGATAAATTAATTGTAAACGGTCACTGACGTTATAACTTTCTACTATCTGTATTTATCTAGCTGCCGTCGCGCCCGCAAATCTAAAAAACGCATTTACTATCCCTAAACAACCAGACGGGCGATTGAAAAAAAGAGTCATCGATGGGACTCTAAACAATCCGAACGTCTTGAGCAAGATTCAATTACTTAATTTTGACCTTGATACCGATACCCGTAAGTAAATATCAACAGACCTAGCTGATTGGCTTACGTATAGTATAATTTGGGAACAGGGGTAACAGTAAAAATCTAACACTCTTGGATATATAACTATAGATGAGAATAGGAATGCTAATACGAGAGCTGATGGCAAATAATATCATGATCTATCGCGGGCTAGATCTTGCAAGAATTTAGGAAGGCTGTAGAGCATATTGCGGGTAGTACGAAGCTGCTGTGGCTCTTCAAAGAGAATTTCATATCGTCGACATCACTGTGTCTTTTCCTTTCGAGTGGGTTATGGTCTGATCAAGGCTAGGTTATAATTAATTACTTGTAATATGGATTCGGTATATATGCACGCATATTGCATGTTAATAATGAGGTTACCATAAATCTATATCTATCCAATTATCACTCTTCTGTATACTCCCAATTGATACTTTATGCTTGAAGTGTCTTGGCCTAAATGTTACGGTCTCTAATATCTCGAAACTAGCCATTGATGTGATTATGTATTTTAAGAAGGACAACATGTTAACATTTCACAGTGACAACCTTTCCAGGAGATGATGATTTCATTAGATAACCATTACTTCGAAGCTTCAATTCGTACCTTTTTAAATGAGTACTAGGCTTTTCTAATACCAACCACTAGACTAATACCAACCTTGCGATTAATGAACAATGCAATGAAACCTCAAAATGCCATGCGTAAATTTATTTAAAATTGCCTCATCAAGCTCAAGTGGTCCATGTCCACGAGGTTACGATATATCGATATATCGACCGTGTGGTAATTTGAGCTTTCAACGCAGAACTTAGCGTGAGTGGAACAAGCCCCTGACATCAAAACTCATACTGACAGATTATATCGATGTATCCCACAACCGCTCTCGGAGTTTTATAGTTTTATAGTGGGGTATTTAGGCAAACAAGCGCAATCTTGTTTCCAGGAATTGGTAATTGATGATAGTTATGTCAAAAGTGGGGAAAGGGCGATGAATAATTATAATTATAATCGATCGATATATAACTGGGCCTAGGTACTTATATACTTATATATGCAATCCAGGCCTAAACAGGGGTTAGCTATTGTGCTTACTATAAATACGCCCCTTCCTTTCCAACCAAAAATCCAATACGCATCGCTCAACCAAATAACTAGATATCATATCACAAACCTGGGATCTAACACGTGAAAATGCACATTCACGCCTTCTTCTTCGTACTCGCTGTCCTCTCTATCGCAAGCACGGTGCCATTTACCATGGCCCAACAGGATCCAAACACTGTTGGAACCGCGCAAAGGGAAATGTTAGTCCGCCGCCCAGCGTTCACGAAGTCCCAGAGGGTTCGAAGAGATACGTCAAGAATTGCTGTTGGTAGTAACTTTGCCAGGTCACCTGGTGGTAGTGTTCCTATTGTTGTACCAAATTAGGGGCGATATCATGGCACTTTTCGGTTAGTATCCTATTGACTACCATACCAATCTTTTGGGTACTAAAATGGCCCATGCGAAGGAGTAAAGCAATTTTTTAGAGACTTCGAATTCTGACTAGTAAATTATACAGATAGTTTTAGGTAGTCACCAATCCATGGAGAGTACTATTGAAACCCAAGGCATTGATTGTCAGAACAGTCTATTTATTCTTTGGAACCCATTAGTTTGCAGCAAAGTCTTTTTACTACCTTCATTATTCTTACGCTATAATTCGGTTTTTTATTCTTTCTATATTTTCAGCATCCCGAGGCTTGTAACGCTATATTCATCTGATCTATCATTACAGATCCTATCGCCGCCATAGTCCTCTTATATCATTCCAGGCTTCATCCTTTTGATATCCTTACAGACTCTATCCTTTTTATACTTAAAACTCGTATCCTTCCTTTACTTATCCTTCCAATCTATCTCCTTCAGTATCGATATCCTTCCAATCTATATCCATCACTATCCTTACAACTATATTCCTCCAATAAGTTGAGTCAGCTATATCATCTCATCTTATTAATATACCGCAAACTATATCCTTCCTATATCATGTCTTGAGTTCCGGAGCCTATGTTTTCTTGGTGTATTCCTGCCATTTTCTTCTTCACAAATATTCTTATCAACTCTATCGAGTTCTTCTAGCTTTCTTTGATCTCCCTACACGGCCCCTATCCGTTCAACATGACTTTGTACGGTAGTAGTTCGTTTCATTCAATCTATATTTACAATATATCTTCCACCTTTCTTGATATATATAACGTCGCACGCACGATCGTCCCAGTATTTAGTTCCCCATGGCTTGTTAGTCTGGCCCCGCCCTTTAAAAATCATTTATAACAAGAGCTAAAGTTCTTTCAGCAGTTTCTGTGAAACGTGAACTGAGGGATGGGATCTAAGAAAAGCAAACCGGAGGAAAGTTTCGAATAGATGAAATTGGTACTCTGTTGAATTAAATCGATCCCATTAACCGCCAATCGCGGAAAGTTAATATGTAAATAAATTTATGAAAGTTCGACAGCCTGGTATCCAGTCTTTGTTCCGATTTGCTTTGTACTTATCAGCAAAATGTCAGTTTTTTCAAACTACCCTGACGTATTCCGACATAAAAAATACACCGTTTTCCCAGAACCTCGAAGTCATCTTTACATTAAAAGCGCAATCGTCTTGTAGATAATTTTTAGATTTAGTAGGGTTTCTTTTCTAGAGTTTCTCTTCTGGATGTCGATAGTACCTCTGCGCGCGTTGGAAACTGTTGGATTTCTTTAGGCCATGTCATGATGCTCGAGTCAAGGGGATACATATTGAAGCTTCGCAGTCTGCGGATGATATTAATATATTCCGCATGCTATAGTACTAGTGCGACTTATAACCCCCTAAAATACTACTGTCAATATACACAACCCCGACCTCAACCATCTCCAATTTCTCGCGACCTTCACACAAGCTATGGATATATATAGAGCCTCAACCGGTTCTAACAACCGAACATCTCAAATTGTTCAGTCCCACCATAAGCACAGAGCCAGCTAGGTACTCGAGTTACGTACCGAAATCCAGCCCCCAGCATTGCTTTGGCAGAAACAAACGCCCCTTGTAAAAACCCACCCCAGCTTGCCGTCTTAGCATGCATCAGAACTTGCTAATCTTAGCAAAAAAGCTCTCCGCCGCTAGTAGTTCCAGTTTAGCATTGGCTATTAATACAAAGCACTTGAGTTACGAATCCCCATTTCTAAAACCTTGCAGCCTTTCTTTATTAACCATGCGCAGTTGCTACATTTTATATCGCGACAGCTCTTCTTCTTATCCTCCTTCTCCATCATACTCTTACCACGTCTACCCACCGTAGATACCCCTTATTTATATATATCATATACCCTTTTGCTTCAATTCAATTACTCCTACCCCATCTTTTTTTTCAAAATAAAAGTAGTGAGGAGACAAAAAAGAAGAAGAAGACTCTCATCATGTCACTGATGGAACACATGATCGCGCACATGCAACACCGCCGCGTGCCAACATTCCCCCCGCTCCCCCCACAACATCAACCGACCTACGCCCAAGCCAATACTCACTTCACACACGGCCAATTCGCAACTTCATCGGCTACTTTACTATCGATCCCAAGCGAACATAATAACCACCCGTCATACGTCATCCTGCGGGTCCGTATTCTTCTCGCGCAGGGTTATTACCATAATGCTATCCGAGTATTATATGAAAACGTGGAGGTTATCGATGAGAAGGAGGCGGAGTTGAATAGTATTGGTACCAATGGCAGTGCTAAGGTGGGGAGAGGTGGGAAGAGCGGAGGGGAGAAAGAGAGGTTGGAGGCGGGGGAGGAGATGATGAGGGATACGTGGAAGTTATGGATTAGACTGTTGTATTGGGATGAAGATGGTATGTCGGAGTCACGACGGAAGGAAGGAACTGCGGAGGCTATGAGGGCATGGAAGAATTGGTGTGAATGGACGCAGATGGAGAGTTATTCCGAGGTGCATGTAAGCACCCCCCACCCCCAAATCTTAATCCCTTCTTCATCTTGAGAACTTAAGTACTTCTCACAAGGTTGATATGATTAACTAACATTCAATGATCGTGGGTATCAAATGGTAGTCCCTCCTTTACGAACTCATCCACCACATAACATCCACAACTGGCAATGTCGCCACCCGAGAATGGATCGCAAATACCGACTCTCTAATTGCCTCCCATATGGATGCCCAATCCTTCACCTCCACCCTCGCCATCCTCCAAGTCCGCAATAAAGTCCTGGACCCCAAAGATCCCACATTCACAAATATAATGCTCGAGTACTTCCCTCACCTCGCCGCCCACCCAGAGATAAAGCTCGTGGAAGCAAGAACACGGTTGATACTATTCGATATCTACATATCAAACGGCCACACGGACCTTGCGATCGAGAAGCTTTCAGAAATAGAAGAATGTCTAAGATCAGACGGGGAAATGCACCCAGGGGAAGAAGGCAGAGGAGTTGATCTCCGTTGGCTCGTTCGTTTTCATAAAATTTGCTTGCCGTCTGTCCATAAATCGCATAAGATGAGCGACTCGGATAAGTTAGCAAAGCTTTCAGCTTTAGCCCACGAAGCCGTAAACCGCGATATCCCACGGTTTCAACTAAAGGCTCTCCAACAGCTTGCTATTATTTTTCTCAGAAATAGGGATTTTACGAGTTTTGTACCACCCGAAACGGAATTCGTGGTGAAAGGACAGAAGTATGGACAACCGGCGAGGATGTGGAGAAGGCATTTGAAACAGCTGTTTGAGAACTTTCCGGCGCCGGAACATTCTCAAGCAGAGGAGTTCTTGGATAGTTTCATACGAATTATGGAGAGTGTAGAATGGGGGAGGGATTCTGAAAAGAGTGGTGGAGGGGGAGGTGTGATCGGGTCCGGGTTGGGTTTGGTAGTGTGGACGGGCGTGGCGGAGATGACTGTGGGAATTGAGGAGTTCTGGAAGAGCAAGGCCAAACGGCTGGTGGAAAAGATCAAAGCCGAAGAGGGGACCACGGGATCGAAAGTGGAAAAAGACGGACTCAGCAAAGGACTTAGGAGGCTCTGGGATGAAAACTAAACTAGCAGGTGCTGGGTCAATTTATAAAAAGCATCATACATGCAATGATTAATGATTTTGTTTGATATTAGGATACCTATTACATCGATGATTATACAGCCAGCACCTTTGATAACGCCAATTTTTTGGGAAATTCTCTTGTCTCTTTTTAAACGTCAAAATCCTTCCATATCTTCCCTTTCTCTTCGATGAAACCGTTCTTATCAAACGTGACACCCTCGTCTTTCAATAGCTCCATCTTTAGTTCGATGTTAATGCCACTAGGCGCATCGTTCCAGTCACCTTTGAATCCGCCTATATACCCTGTTGTAGCAATTACTCTGTGACATGGTACATCTGGCGCATATGGGTTGCGGCGCAGAGCATTACCGACTGCTCTAGGTGATGAAGAAAGTGCAGCGGATAGGTGAGCATAGGTTGAGATTCTGCCTGGTGGGATTTGGAGGAGGAGAGCATAGACTTTCTATATTTACAAAATTTAATGTTAGTCTCCTTTAAATTTTGCTATGACATTTTTCTAGATAGATGTTCTGTACCTTTTGATAGTCTGTAATATCCGTATCCCCCGGAATCAAAAATGTATTTTCAGGATGTGCCGGTCCGATGTTAAGATCTTTCCCTTCATCCTCCTGCGAGCTAGTCTTAACAGTCTTCATTGTTGTAGTTTTTGAGGTAGTAGCAAATGTCGAAGTACGAAGTTTATTGTCAGCCATACTCTTCAAGCTCTTCGACCTCGAAGGGAGTGTAATAGGCGCCCATTGTACTGCCCTCGACCCTTTCTTTTGACTGGCTGGTCCGGCGGTCGCGATAGATACATCCATTCCACAAGCTGTGGCCAAGGGTTTCCTGGTTCTCGATGGGAGAGACGCGAGGGTTCTGACTGCTGGCATTGTTACTTTCAACGGAATAAAAACTCTTGAATACGGTGGAGATAGTATAGAGAAGTAATTATCATCAAACAAGATAGAAGAAAAAGAAGGAAACAGCATATAACCCCCCTATCGACCTGCGTTATATCTGGGGAAGGGAAGGGAAGGAAAGCCGCTGACTCAGCAATCCAGACGTGACTCAAAAACGCGATGAGCTCCCCGTATCCACGTGACACACCTTCCGCTTGCCGCATCGGGAAAACCCCCATCTTCTTTGTTGGATTTTGTTATGTGGCCAACACGGATGAAAATTGTCGAAACTGCGTTGCGGTGAGATCATCGGTGACCCCCGAATCACATCACTAAAAAGCTTAGTCTGTGACAAAAAACTGGCTGGCCTGACATGACATCACCCCGACTTTGTTATAAAAAGCCACTCCCCTTTCTCTGATCCCCATTTTTTTTTCTATTCGAGAGGCTATTCGACTTCAGAACTCACAAGTTTATTAAAATTAAAAAAAAAACTACTTTTGAAAATTAAAAATAAAATCCAAATACAAACAGAAACAAAATGCCGCTCGTCACTAACCTCCAGAACCCACTCACCGTATGTATATTCTTTCTCTCTGACTTTTTTCTCTTTAAGGTATGAGTGTATATATTTTAAGTCAAAGTCTAACATTACTATACGATAGAAATCCACTGCCTCCGAAACACCGGAACGTAAGGGCGGTGAATCCCCTCCTCCCGAACGTCAGTCTTCAAAGCAATTGGGTGCCTCCAGCTCAGGTGAGAATATTCCCTCCTAAATCCCCTCATACACACTTCTACATATATTACCTTTCTAAGAACAATATACTAACGATGATAATAATGTATCTGCAAAAGGCCAAACATCGACAACCGACCAAAGAGCTGAAAACCAAGAAACCCTCAGAAGACTTCCTAGCAATCCTATAGCCCCCATGGACCCAACTGCCGATTTGAAGACTAGGAAGCCAAGCAAGATGCTTGATGGATTGTAAATTATCATTTTTGTTTTGGGGAGGTCTTTTTTTTTCCTATTCATAAATAACGATTATGGATAATCACTTATGCACTGTATTGTATACCTTTGTCTGTCTCTCTTTGTAATCGATCCCTCCATTGGAAGGGAGTAGTTGAGTAATTAACTTGCTACATTGAACGGAAGATACTAGTGTGTCAATGGGATTGCATGTGCATTGAACAGAAAAGAAAAAAGGTTGTCATGAATGAAATGCTTAATTAGACCGTCACTTATTTCTTACGTTCCCTTTCCTCTCCTTTCCTTCCTTTTTCACAAGAAAAAAAATATATCGAAGAATAGAAATAGTTATTTCATACGCCTATCTTAATCTTCAGTCTTACATATACACACCTCTTCAATTTCATATGGATGCCTGTCAGTAAAAAACCCCTCCGTCCAGCGCCTAAATACATATGAATACACACTTCGGATTCACAACTGGAAAAGGTAGCTAGAGAAGGAAAAAAATGAAGAAAATAAAGAACACTTGTAAAGGAGTGTGTATATACAAACCCTACACACACAACAATAAAAAGAACCTGATCCCTCTCAACTCCCATCGCATATGTAAAAAAAAAAAAGAAGAGCCCCGATCCGAAAAGAAGGCTGAAAGACAAAAAGGAGTGTATGCTGCCTGCTAAAAGGAAAACAAGGTACGTAATCCGGGTGGTGAATTCTAGTAAAAAAAAAGAAACAGGAAAGAGAGAAAAAATCTCGAAGTGCAGAGAGAAACACAACGGGGAGTGATATCGAAATCCGAGAGAGAACGCAGAACAAAATAAGAGAAGTGATGCTCGCATGTAGACTAATAAATGCAGATGTGATAATGGAAGCAGGAACGAACGGGAAAGAAAAAAAAACGCTTGCAATTGACGTAGGTATATCTACTACCTTTTTCTCATAAAAGTGGAGATGAGCCCAGGAAAGAGAAAAGGGTTGAAGAGGAAGAGGTAGGTGGTGGGGGGGATAATAGCAAATAACGAAAAACGAAGAGGAAAGCGCTATGCAGTCTCCTGACCAAGTACTCGTACACTCTCATGTCTCACAGCAGTTTTTGAATCCGCAGTATCTGGTTCCTCCCCAGTCGCAGTGGTATCGGCCTCTTTCTTCAGAGGTGCCACATTTTCAACATTCTCAGCCTGTTTTCCTTTTCCAGCCACATTATTCCCATTCGCCTCCCCGTCTTCAGCCTCCATGAGCGTTTGCGCTAAACTTTGGAAGTTAAATATGGGCTCCGTGCCATCGTCTTCGTCACTGTTTCCTGCCTCTGGCTCCTTCATGCTGGAAGCTGAAGATGAGACATCTGATGTCGCTCTCTGTATCTTTAAATGGTGTGATGAGGTTCCAAAGCCAATCGTCGGGGAACTCTGCGCGTCCTCGCTACGTCTTCCAATACTGATGGTGTCAACTCTGGGCGCCAGTCCCTTTCCCTTTCCTAGATCCATCCTTGATGGCTCCGGTGCTGAAGTAGCGAGCCTAGCGGCTGCACGTTCCGCTTCGGCGTTAGCCTCTTCTTTCTCCTTCTTTTCCTTCTCTTCTTTCCGCTTCCTCTCCTCTTCCTCCGCGAGACTCAGCCTAATAGCTTCCATCAACATCATTTCTTCCAAATCAACCATCCTTGCCCGTCTGAGTACATTCTGAAGCGCCGCACTCTGCGTAGCCGGTGCTGCAGGAGTGGGTTCCGGCACCTCCGGTACGATGTTCGTAGTGCTGGAAGCTGCAGCTGGAGTAACAGTTCCACTTCCTCCATTAGGCGTCATTGATCCGCTAGAATTATTCATCCTGCGGAGGATGCGCCTTGAAGAGAACGGATTGCTGCTGGCGCTGCTAGTTTGGTTGCTCATATTGTGCATCAAATATGCCGCTGTATGCAACGCCGTAGCAGCGGCGGCTCTTCTGGCGGCCTGGTTCTTTGCATGTGCTAGTTTCGTCGCCCAGTCTGGTCTAATACGGTCCGTAGTGATGACTTCGGGTGCGTTAACGGCGTATGAGGTCTTTTTCCGAGTCGGTGTTCCTGGAACAGGAAGGGATGATGTCGAAGATGTATTCGAGCTATGGGACAAATGCGATTGCTGTTGGATGCCATATGGATGTGTTTGATTCGCATACACGAGGCCGCGGCGCCATGGGAGAGCAGTGAAGACGACACCGAGCTCTGGCTGCTTGCAGAACGGGCAGGATGCGGGCTCTGATACCAACTGGTCTCCAGCATGGGCTCGTCTATCCTGATCCACTGGCTGTGGAGCAGGCGACCCTGGAGGCGAGTGTTCAGGAATGTGCGGATCCGCTCGCTTTATCTGCACGAAACATTCGGAGCATATCGGTTGGTCGCAGCACCGAGTTCGGTTGAGATGCGGTGGATAGTACAAAAAGCAAATCGGGCACTCCGAGGCATTTTCGTAAAGGACAGCTTCAATCGGTCTGTTATTCACGGTCTTGGACGGGATGTTCGTCTCGACGGGGGCGGAGTTCGACGAGCTACTTCTGGAGAATCCTAAGGTCTTAGAACGAGGTCTCGAGAAACCAGCCAAGGGGGAGGAGGAAAGAGAAAGACTCGACAACCGTCCAGTAGAAGATGAAGGGGAAGCATCGGAGCCGTACGATTGTGATCTGGACCTTGTGGCCATAGGAACTGTAAGGCGATTGAGATCTTCATTTGCGGGCTTCGTGGGGGACGGCGGGATTACGGCATCTGCGTCTGGAATATCCTTTCCTTGGGCTGCGGCTACAAGTTGGGCGTCAGTCCAATCGGATTCGTGATCCGGTATTCCCTTCCAGAAAGGAGCCAGCCGACGTTCGATCTGTCAATAACGTTTAGACTAACGTTAGCCACGTTTTTGTCAGGTATATATAACTCAAAGATAGCGCCCACCTGTAACTGCCGGACAACTTTCAAGTTATAATCTTCAGGACCGGTATAAACACCAACGGTTACGAGATATCCACCTAAACGAAAATCATCCCTCACAATTAGCCCCCCCATAATCCATAAATCGTGATATCACGTGAGAACAAAAACCGTACCGTCAACACTCTCTTCAGCCATACTCCTCTCCCTCTCCTTTTCTCTCTCTTTCCGTCGCTCTGCCTCCTTCTCTGCTCTTCTTTCTTCTCTTGTTTTGTAGGGACCTTCCTCCCTTTCCCGTTCGCGCTCCCTGTCTCGATGTTGGGCCAAATTCAATCCCAGGAGGGCGGCTTCAAAATTCTCGCCTCTGTGCCGTCTACCGAGTCTCAGCGACGACGAGCCGGCACGTTCCATGTCGGGTGCATAAGCAGATGAAGAAGGACCCGAGAAGCTTCGCGAATTGCGGTGCTGGTGGTGCGGGGGTGGCGAGGCCCCCCTGCTCTCCTTTGTCGATGTGTTTCCCATTATTGGTGAACTAACGGAGAGCTGCTAGTTGTAGGAATAAAAATCCCTTGAAGAGGGACGGAGATTATTTTTTGGCGAGACCGGAAGAATTAGTATATCGGTTGAAACACTTGAAGGAAAGGAAGGATAGTAATGCTGGTTGATAAAAGGAAGATTGGTGTAAAAGAGGGAAAGAGGGACAGTGATTTCGTGACAAGAAGAGATGATGCAGGACAAGAAAAGGACAAGAGAGGGAAAAATAGATAAAAGCGGTGAGGTTGGGTGTGATTTTGTCAGTGGTTAGTTAGCTTGTAGGTACCAGGAAGTACCCTTTGAGTGATATTTGGGGGGGCAGCACAGCTTGTGAAACAAAAAACCGGGCAAAAGCAAAACGTCGCTGATGTCACCAAATAAAAATAAATGGGAGTCGGTTGTTCAAAATCGGAGTGATCGAATTGAATCCCGGAAGGCGGGAGAATCGAGAACGAATGTCTGTAAATAGTAGGGATTCCGAAGAAGGCGTCCCGGGAGAGGTAAAGAAGGAGAGATGGATGAGGAGAGAAAGAGGGAGATCCCCAAGTGAGAGAGTGAGAGAGAGCGACAAGCGACCGCAAGTGGCAGTAATAATTTGGCCTGTGCGTGCCAGTGCGATAACCAAGCACCGAACGACGACAAGCTAAGCTTCTAGAAGAACAGAACAAAGCAAAATTCTCCGGCAGACTTCCCCAATTGTCGAATTGGGGGATTTTGATTTCAATTGGCGGCCAGTTTCGGGGTCGTCAGACTTTCCGATCAAAAAAAAAAAAAGTCAGTTTAAATTTGGGTCGATTGGCCGTTTGGTGCAGCGAAAACGGGTCTGCGAAAGTAATACCCAAGAACTTCTTGGATAAAAGAGGATCAATCTGATCAAGCAGAACGCAACGTTCGGGTTCGAGGCGACCAGTTGGAATGCGTGGTTTTTGCGAGCCAGTCGAGTAGCAAGCAGCAAGCAGCAGCCTCATGCACAGTTTGTAAATATACTATAACGTATGCAGGTAGGCAGGCAGGGCATAAGACGTTCGATTGATTGACTGGTTGAATCGAACTGGTTGATTGATGGGATGGGAGGGATGTGGACCGGATGAACGACGAGGGTTCGAGTGTCGAAGGATGTTTTGTACTCGTCAGCCTCGGTCGAGGCTAATTTTTGATGATGGATATCCCGTGATAGCACTAGAAGTAATCAATGTTACTTATAAGTAGCAGCTCGTAACTAAAGCTGCTAGCTACTTAAGTGGTTAACGAAGATGAAGAAGTTAAAAACAAGGGATATCCGGAAGCTGAAGAAAAAGCACCAATGAGAGTGTATCTTAATTCAACGAGTACGAATGGAAAAGAGGGAGAAACGGAACGAGACGGAGTTCGAATCCAGCAGGCACAGCTTCAGTTCTGGCTAAATGCACAGGACGGTTTCTACAAATCAGGGAAGAGCTTACATCTTAAGTATATAAACAATTGATACCATGAGAATGTCCATGTATGTACGTACCTAGCGGGGGAATTAAATCAAAGAGCAGAGAAAGAGCGGGGAAGTGCGACTAAAAAAGTAAAAATCAAAAATCAAAAAAAAGAGATGGCAGGATGGATGCAATGGTGATGGTGATGGTGATGGTGATGATGATCTGATTGATAGTTTAGGTACTTACATGTACAGTGTAGTGTGATATGCTTAAAGCTCCCTTATAAGATAATACCTGTGTATGCATCGTCAGGAATGCAACATACTGGATTAATATTAATTACCTAGCTAACTAACTTACGGCAATAAAGAAGCGAAGTATAAAATCGAATGAATGCAATGCAAACTCAGCCTTCGACTTCGAAGTTATCCGGGCTCGATCTGTGTGAATGTAATGTCGGTGGCGAATCCGAACTAGTACTGGCTGCAAGGGCCGGGCAAATACAGGGTAGTCTGGAAGCCAGAAGAGGAAGTTGATTATATACCGTATGGCTCCCAGGAATGCAAATCGGATCAGATCAGATCAGGACAAATGCCAGCCTTTAAACACTTTAAATCAACTTCTTCACGTATTGCCTGAACTACAAATACTTGATAAATTTAAATTAAATGATGAATCGATACTGTTGTGAGTATTGTTAACATGTTATATCCAATCTTATCGATCGGGTCTCATGATGTCGATAACGGCGGTCTTGGCACGGGTTTCACTGCTGATATTGATCTTGAGCCAAGTACTGCAAGTGAACTTCAACCTTTCACATGTACATGCACATGCCCATGCATCATGGCTCCTCTATTGATTAATTACTTTACTCTCAAATCGCATCCACGATAATGGTTTTATGTATATAGCTACTTATAGCTACTTCACTATGGCAGATCCAGCGCTGGAACTGAGAAATGAGGCAAAAAGTCTATAGTATGCCAGGGTAAGTTAAGTCCTCGGATTCCTCGCTAACTGGACCATCACGCGGCCGGCTGGCACGGCCGGGGCTTATCATCTAGACTATCATACAGGTCGTCTGCGTGACCCACGTTTTTTCTGTCTTCCGCTGCTGGTGGATCCCGAGGACATGTACTTACATACAATGCACTTCGCATTTCGCCATCAGAGTCCTTAATCATGGCATGTTGGTTTACATACCGCCCCTCCTTTAAACCTTTACACCTCTGCTACCACTATAATCCAAGATGCATACTCTGAGGTAAGTTATGAATACTAACTACTAAATATTAAATGCGTGAGTGAATTACATTCAACATGTTGGAAAGTCCGAAGTCCAAAGTACAGTTAGTACTGTCCTCAGATCTGCAGAATCCAGAAGGAGATTTAACTCCAAGCAGGTAGACATCCGCGAAAGACTCATCTTTTTTATCTTTTTTTTCTTATTTGTTTGTTTTACATTGAACCTGTTAGCTAAGCTAAGGAATTATGATTTCCCGCGGTCCTGGCGCGCGAAAGAAAAGCATCGGTCCGAACATTTTGCTTTCTAAGCCTTTTTTCACCTTCCCGAAGCGAATCGGTCTTTGGCGTCGGACCCCATATTTTGACTTCGTAACAGAAACAACAGGATGATTCATTCATATAAACCTGACGTCTTCGGCGTCAATACCCTGGAAGAATTCTATGATATCTCTGAATTTTTTGGTATTTTTAGATCTGTACAATCATTTTTTTTCTGAGCTCGTAGAGATCTAAACTTCAGACATATAAGTACCTGTTTTGTCTTATTTAAGAGAGAGAGAGAGAAAAAACTATAAATTAACGTCCGCTTGCCCGCCAACGTCAATAAATCAATCCACCAACCAATGCAATAGTCGCATATTCTATTCCAAAATAAATAGAATATAGAATATACTAAATCAATAAAGAAAGAAAAGGAAGGAAAGGAAAGGAAGAAAATCCAACATGTCAACCCCTCCAACATTCCGCGTCGCAACCCTGGCCGACGTCGACGGTATTGCCGAATGTGCAGCCGAAGCAATGATGGAAGATGATCTTTTCGGTGCCCTCTGGCCCCGCCGAAAGGAGTACCCAGACCAATTCGTAGGGTATTTCCGAGGCCGTGCCAGGGAGCGCATCCTCGATCATACTGTTGTTACATTGATCTCGGAGATGCCCGTCCAAGAGAATGGAAAGGAGATATTGAAGGTTGTCGGTATGGCGCAGTGGCAGAAGTTTGGCAAGCCGAGTGTTGAAACCGGATGGAGTGTTTATAAAGGTAATTGTTTTTAAAAAAATTTGGTATAATGTTGCATATCCTTTGATATGGAAGTACTTACCTAAGTAGTGGGAGAGATGATACTGACATTGGTGACATCTTGGTGAATAGCTGCTGGCAGTAGGTTAATTGGATTTCAAGACTGGGCCTACTCATGGTTCCAACCAAAGGAAACAGCCTCGGACCCAGAAGCCGTAGCGAGGTTCATGGAAGACTTCACAGGTATGGCCCCTTCGAATCTTATCCCATTGTTCTCGTATTTCTCATACTGACCGTCGGATAAAAACGAAAAAAAAGAAATGGAACATAAATTCTGGTTCAAAGACGGGAAGGAGCACGACAGGTGGCACCTCCAACTTCTGGCCGTCCATTCGATAGCCAGGAGGCGAGGGATAGGAGGAAGACTAGTTGAGCTAGGTGTTGAACGAGCGAAACGGGACGGCTGTGATGCCAGCCTCGAAGCTAGCCCTATGGGATTGCCTGTCTATCAGTCGAAGGGATTTGAGGTGCTCGATACCTACATGATGAAGGTCAAGGGATCGGACGGACAGCCGATACCGTCGCCGATATTGATGTGGAAGAACCCGGACGTTAAGAGATAGAAATCTTAATGTGTATAGATGGTAATACAATACAAGGCGTAGCTGAAGGTGGCTTTCTGCCGTTACGGATTGATATCAATCGCAATCTGCTCAACTATAGGTAGCATAATACAACATCTGTAGAACCGACCAGTTGATATTGATATTAGTATTAATATTGCATCCATGTATATATGTATGCGTGCATAGGCGCGGAAAGGGGCTAATTAGGTATGATGAAACCATTGTTGTAAGATCTCCTGAAGACAGCGCGTATACTGTAGAATTGAACGGAGCGTACAGGTGGGATTGTAGACGAGACGGAGCTCGAGCTCAATTGCTCAAGCTGCTGCGGCCATAAGCTGTGGAGGCCGAAGAAGGCTTGGCATGGCATCTGGCCAATCAGGACGGTCTCTTCACGCTCAGTTTCGTCAAGGTCGACGGGAACGTTGTGTTGTACAGCAACTGCGCCTTCGAAGTTCAGACTGTATTGAAGACGCTTAAGCTTTAGCCTGGAAGGAGCCTCTCAGAAATCATCTAACTAGCACCTTTGCTATAGGACATAAGCAAGCAGGGCACGTCCGAGGTGTGTTGTGGGTCGCAGTTGCATTTGCAGTTGCAGTTAAGTTGCATCTCCGTTTGCGTCTCAGTTAGTTGGGGATGCGCCTTGTATTGTTAGAAGGTAGGTAATTACAAAATGGGGAGTCTAGAAACGCCGTCTGACTAAAAAGCATCTCTGGATGGTTCCTTTTTGAACTCTCGAATTCCGAGGAAATGGGTTTGGCAGACTTTATATTATCGTTATCCCTGCTCAATAGGGAAATACTTAGGTCAGCTAATAATAGGTTAGGTCGGTGGTTGTGCTGGTACCGAAATCCAGATCCATGACTGATCCCATCTCGAGTCCTCATTGGTCTAACCCACCTTTTGCAGGATTTCCAGGAATATATCGAATAGCTGAAAACAGAAGGAAGAAAAGAAGGAATCGCATGATAGACCTATCGGATTACTCGGTAGGGCGAAGTGCCGTCGTGCGAGAAATGGTGGGTTTGTGATCCGACGGGCGCTGCCCTGCAGTGTATAATCGACACATGCACACATGTATATAACTGCACAGCCGGGCTCAGGCCAAGGCGCAGTCGACGTCATTTCGTCGACACACTAGGCTAAGATCGGGACCCTACTCATTCGGATCAGCTTGCCGGAGCGGCAAGACCAAGAAGGCATTTTTCGCAGGTCGCATGCATGCCAGGCCCATGGGCCATGTGCAGGGCCATCCATAGGGCTTTTAACATGTATCTGGTCTAAGGCATATCGCCGAATACAATTGCAAGCGTCCGTATACGTATACGCTCAGATCATGTTACTGAGATTGATAGCCTCTTCTAGGGTCGGGCTCGGAGGGGAGGATCGTATCATGAACCCTTCATCGAGGTAGATGAATCGGTATTGACTTGCTGCTAAGCCACAATATTGGACTCAGTTTGAGAGAGTTAAGTTGTGACTGGATGCGAGTGTAACAAGTGTAGAATTACGGAGTAGAATTAGAATTAGTATTAGAATTCGGATTGAAATTGAATCAGATCAGACTCAAAGGCAAACGAACAAATTAGCGTACTCAGCCATTCCATAATATCGTCATTCTGCCTAGTCAGACTAGACGTTTCCATCAGATCGCTTTGGGACATCGGCTAGAATTATAAATACGCAGTGTTCCCCCCTCCTTTGGATGTAAGATAAAATAAGTACTCGATCCGGTATTTGATTCTCGAAGACAGCTTACGCAATCCAAGAACAAAGAATAAAGACTTAACACCAGCACCAGCACTAGCGGTACACCAACCCAGACTATTAAAAGGAACTAACCTTCCCACCAAGCAGAGCAAACACCTACCTCATCTCATCTCATCACATCACATCACATCGCATCACCACCAATTTAAATTTACATTACAACCTTTCAAGAAAAAGAGAAAAGAGAAGAAGAGATGTCCATATTCAGAAAGATCAGGAAATCTTTACAAGAGAGTGACTACTCGTCCTCTTCATCCTCAAGCCATCAATATGGCCATTCCACCCGTGCAGGCGCTGCTCCTCCTACCAACCCATTCTCCAAGCCTAGCGCCAACGGGCCACCTCCATACACCCCTGTTGGAGCCGCTGCAAGCTACTATGGAAATACCCCACAACCGCAATACCCACCCATTCAGCCTTCGCAAAATTACCAGCAAGCTCCTCCAATGATGCAACCGCAGCAGCCTCAACCACCGATGCATTCTACTCCAAATCCCTTGATAAACCCTAATACTCTTCCTCTCCCGTCTATGAATCCGAACATGGGAGCAGATGATCCGTATACCTTTCTCCGGGATTTTGATACAGTCGTCGTTGTCGACGATTCCGGCAGTATGTCTGGTGGTCGCTGGAATCAAACTGCTGCTGCTCTGAGCGCTGTAGTTCCAATCATCACATTCTACGATTCGGACGGTATCGATGTTTATTTCCTAAATGCACCAGACAGACCTCATAATCACAATATCAGGACACCAGCCCAAGTCATGGAAATCTTCGGCACGGTTAGACCTCAAGGCTCTACACCCACCGGACGAGCCCTAAAACGTATTTTGGAGCCATATATGGAGAAATATGAGCGAAATCCTAATCGTGTCAAGCCGTTGAACATTATCGTTATCACCGATGGTGTCCCTACCGATGATGTTGAAAGCCATATCGTCAAGTATGCGAAGAAGTTGGATAGGCTCGATGCTGATCTAACTCAGGTTGGCATCCAGTTTTTCCAGATTGGAAGCGACCCAGAGGCTACCATTGCGCTTAGGGAGCTTGATGACTCGCTGGGCGAAATGAGAGATGTCAGAGATATGGTCGATACGGTACCATGGACGGGAAGTTTGGAGGGTGAGAGAATGCTCAAGGTTGTTCTGGGTGCGGTCAACAAGAGGCTTGACCGTAAAAAGTTTTAAACTAGAAACTTGAACGTTTCCCTTCTTATTCCCAACCAGATATTTGTCTATCGTTGATGCCTTTTACGAAGTTTTATGATATTAGAGCTGGCACTACTTTCCCCCCCTCCTCTGCTGTTTCAATCCTTTCCTTTTTTTCCTATCGCTTTTTATTATTTTTATGGTCATTCCCTCACAGCACGAGCTTAGGAAAGGGAAACATGAAAGACAAACTGCATTACAAGGCGTTATCGGAGTCTTAAAATCTCCCCAAGATGGGCTGGAAACTGCACATTCGCTCTTTCGATCCTTTCTCTTTTAATTGATTGTGATACCCAAGGGGATGACGTTTTTCTGTCCGAACGGTTTTTATTATTGTCCCTGTTCAGTACGTACTTGTTATGCTATGCAATGGCTAGGCCAAGCTATGGATAAATGGCGTTTTTCTCCTTTATAGTTTCTAGTATTCTCTTGCTTGTATATAAACTCTATAGCTAGTATGGTCCCGGTTTGAAACGTACGTCGTTTATAACGTTTATTTTCGATCTGATCATGATCGAATGTTAGTACTATCAATATATTTTCTTTTCTTGAGATATATCCAACTGCCGCCCCAATAAATATTCAAGTAATCCATGTGTATATATATATGTATGATGCAGTGCCCGGCCCATGAGCCATCGAGATTCCTTTCACATGCTCCAAAAAGCTCCCATTCGCGGCGCATTCGTGGATCTGTGGCGGTGCAACAGCCAATCCCTGATGGCGGGGAGGGGCCCTGTCGCCTACGTCATAAGATATCGCCACCCGCATCTAACATGCACACGAAATGCCCTTCCAGCGCATGCTCGAGCATGCTCGAAACGCTGATACCATAACAAAAAAGCCTGCGTAATCTGGAATGGGAAGGCCCGACTGCAAATATCAGGTGTCAAGCTTTCTGGTTTCTCCTGTGAGGATAGAATTTTGTGGACAGTTAGTTAGCTGCAGGGCTTTGGACTAGTTAGGCCGGCTTGTCGTGGGGATATATATTTCTCTCTTCCCCCCCGCTAAATACTGCCCCTCCAACTTCTTTTAAAAAAACGTCACCATCACCAAGTTTAATCCAAAACTACTGTCCATTCCATTCCATTCCATACTACAAAGTCAACATTACTTGATACTACCTTTCGAGTTCATCCGATATTAATTAAAGATGTCTGCCGAAAACGCCACAGGTATGTCCTTTTTTTAAATATACTTTCGTGGTTACAGCCTTGGGCGATATTGAGTATGGCTAATTGGTGTGCATATAGTCCACGTTAGTAACATCTCCTCAAAGACCACGGAGAAGGAGATTCGTGACTTCTTCAGCTTCTGGTATGTATCTAGCTAAATACTAAGCTTGAAGCACGAGTATACTAATGCCGGTTGTAGCGGAAAAATCAAGGAGTTCTCGTCCACTCCTGCTTCAGGTGATGCCAACGCTTCTCTTACCGCCGCCATCACCTTCGAACAACCATCTGCAGCTCGTACTGCCCTCCTTCTTGATAACACCCAGCTCTCTGGTGTTCCGATTCAGGTCTCTGCCCCAGCTTCTCTCTCCGACCTTCAACATGAAGCCGAACACCAAGCCACCGAAATAGAACACCCAAGCCAAGAAGATAAACCACGTACTGCCATCTTCGCCGAATACCTGGCAGAGGGCTATCACCTCGGGGATCAAATTCTCCAACGTGGTATTGAATTCGACGAAAAACGCGGTATCTCCGCTAAATTCAGAAAATTTATCTTCGACTTGGATAGCAAACATAAAGTTTCTGATAAATCCCGTGCTATGGATGAATCATATCAGATCACAAATCGAGCTAATACCGGGTTGAATACTGTTACGAGATACTTCGATGGAGCTTTGAATACCCCCACGGGACAGAAGATTCATAAGTTCTATTTGGATGGGAAGAAACAGGTTGTGGATATTCATAATGAGGCAGTTAGACTTAAGGAAATCAAAGAGAAGCAGGAAACAAAATGTACTTGTGCTACTGCAGGGCCAAATGGAGAGTGCCATTGTGGTGAGTTTACCGTTTTATTTCTATTTGTGGGTAATATTTTGGCTAATCTTGGTTTTGTAGCTCCTGGTTCATGCACTTGCGATGGATGCAAGAAAGTCGGTGCATCTAGCACTGAGAAGTCTGGAGAAGTCCCTCCTCCCAGCTATGAGTCTGGTGCCGGTGCTTCCACCTCTACTTCCGAGAAAGTTGTAAGTTTCCAACCTTAAATTTTTCTGTTATTCTAGTGTTTTTTGCTAACGGGTATAAGACTTACCAGTAAATCGACTTTTTGATGGATTCTTTTGTTTTTGAGAGATGAGGCTCTCTTGCATGGAATTTGATATTCCCTTTTCTTGATCGACAAGTCATTTTGCTGTTTACTTAAAATTAGGAGTTTGGCGGGCAGGCTATAGCATGAAATAAATGAATGAATTGGATTGAATTGAATTGAATTGAATTGAGTTAGAGAATCGAAATTCAAAGTATGATTAGATGTGATTTCGAGTCTTAAAATTAGAGTTATCTCCCTCCGTTCTATATGTCTATGGTATTTGGGGTATCAAAGGTCGTAAAACATGAACCTCTACTTCAACAGCTTCATCTCTGGCCATAACTCCTCATCATCCAGTAACCTCTCCGGCTTGACTTCTTCCCTAACATAGTCTTCTCCTGGACTCCCCCAAATATCGTCATACCATTCTCCAAACACACCCTTCAATTCTTCTACTAAATCGTCGTTCTCCTTCCTCCTCCCTGCCGCCTGTGTGTCCCCATCCCTGGCCTTCACAACGTCCTCCCAAGTATTCAATATACTCTCCAACTCTTCTAAATACGATACACCGATAACACTAACCCCCACCTTCTTCCCCTCTTCCCCTGGAAGAATACTTGTCCCCGCAACCCCCCCTTCGTCCGCCCAATTTTCAAGTGCCCATCTGTAAGCTACCTCCTCTAATTTCTTCCCCCTGCTTGCCACGAACCCTGCAGCGTCACTGCAGACCTTCCTTAATCCATCACTGCTGGGGTGGAAATCACCCATATCCCCAACAGGAACACCCTGAGTCCTCAATAATCCCATTCCCAAAAGACTAGCATTGATAACACACTCAACCTTCCCCCCGTTTGTAAGACGTTGTAGACCATTCGACGCCAGTCTCGTATTTTGAATAGTATAATTCGAATAGGACATCACAGCATCCAACCCTTCTCCCGTAATCTTATATATCTTTTCAGCTGTTTGGGATAGTAGATCAACAGGATAACCAGATATTCCGATATAGTCTATTTTACCTTCGGACCTCAATTCTCGAAGGGTATTGACCGCTGAAATTACTTCGTCAAAACTAACGAATTCTATGTCATGACAGTAGACTAAATCTAACTTTTCAACTCCCAGACGGGTTAGGCTTCTGTTTATACTCCTTCTGATCCATTCCGGGGAGTAATCGAATTCGCTACTTGCGATTCTACCGATTTTGGTGGCGAGGAAGTAGGTATTACGAGGTGGGGAGAGGAGTTTTAGACTATGCCCTAGTAGGATTTCGGCGGGACCGTAGTAAGGTGATGTGTCGAAACCGACTTTTGGAGAAGAGGAGAGGAAGTGTCGGATTATAGAGGTGAAGGGGAGGTTGAAAGGTGATTTATTGTATTGGGAGTTGAAAGTTGCGGAGCCGAGGAGGAGAGGGGGGAGGGTTTGGGAGAGGGGTGGTGGTCGTGCCGTCATCGTCTTCTTCGTGATAGCTAGCTAGCTAGCTATAGCTTATATAGTCGAGCTGGTTGTTGTAGCTACAGTTTATGTTATTACCTAGAGGTGTTTAGGTATATGACGGAGGTTATGGATTACGATTAATAGCAAGAGAGGAAGATGAGTTATGGGACTCTGTAGAGGAAGAAAGAGGGTGGGGACATGATGAATTGCGACATTCCGAAGGATTAGAAATAGAATTAGAAATAGGAAAAGTATGATGAATCGGATGCGGTTGACACTTTTTTCCTTGCTCTGCATGCACTAGTTAATATGACATGGATATTTCGGATGACTTTTAAATGCTATCTTATCTATATCTTAGACCGATCTATAGCCTCGCTGATCTAAATCTGAATATTAAGCTATCTAGATCTAAATACATATCTGTAGGTTATAAGCACTGAGCACCTCAATATGTGTATCAACTTAGGTTATTCATTATTTCTATCAGGAGAGAAGAAAATGAGCGGGAATATGGTAGGTCCTAGCAGATATTCTGCATTTGAAAAGGAAAGTATATGTACAGTTGAGAGGTGAGAAACCATATATCAAAAGGAAATAACGGGGGAAAGCCTAGATAGATACAGGGAATTGAAAATTATATGAAACGAGGAAGATGATAGTGTCAAGCGTGACAGCTCTACTTCGGCTATGCTTGTTTACTTACCGTCTTTCTTTCTCTTCCTCTCTCTTCTTCCCCTTGTTCTTCTTCTTTAAATTTTGCTCTTGTGAATGGAATTGCTTGCAATTCGACATTATTGTATCGTAGTAGTAGTAGTAGTAGTAGTAGTAGTAGTAGTAGTAGTAGTAGTAGTAGTAGTAGTAGTAGTAGTAGTAGTAGTAGTAGTAGTAGTAGTAGTAGTAGTAGTAGTAGTAGTAGTAGTAGTAGTATGGGGTCAACGGAATAACGCCGGGGGATATGCTGTTTATCAGGGATTTTTCATCTTTCATCTCCTTATTTTACCACGAATATCTCGTACTGATAGTTAAAAGGTATTTACTATCATACTTTGTCTTTATAGACCTTCGGCGTTTCCCTCGCCGCAGCCATCTCCTCGTTCACCATTTCAGCTTTCCCAAGTTGTGATGTTATCCGTTCCTTCGCTCTATAAACCTTACTTTGGATATAAAAACTACCCCCTTTCGCTGGATCGTTCGCATCATAAAGTCGTTTATATTGCGCCGCTACTTCTTCCATTGTCAAGCCCGTAAGTTTTCCATTCCCATCCGGAGTCTTCACGTTAAGTATTCGACATGCCTCGTCGATCGAGAGGCCTGAAAAACCACGGTCGGCGAAGCTATTAGCGGTACCAGATGCAGCGGTTGCAGCGGCATATTTGTGGGAAGCGTTGGCTTGTTTGTAGGCTTCGGCGAAGGCGCGGCCGACGACACGAGAGCCGGTGGTTACGATCTGGAAGATTATGCGGTGGGCCTGGTTTTTTAATCTAGCGTTAGATATTGGAACCATAGTGGGAAGGAAGGAGGGAAAGAAAAGGATTATGTGCATACCATTGTGAAAGAGGGTCTGTGAGAGGGTATTAACGGGGGGTGCCCGGACGGGCGAGAGTCGGATTTGAAGTGTTCGTAATGTTACGATATGTCTATTTAATCCGTTGAAGCTTGATGTTTCTTTTTCTTGATAATTGGGCGGGAGTCGGAGTGATACTGTTGGATGGTGCCGGAGAGAAGGAAGAGATATTAGAGAGCGTAAGTGGCAGGATAAGTTCCTTGATAAAGCTGGTGAGAGTCTAGTATATCTCTATATCTCTCCTGCTTGTTTGAGGGTGTGAGACTGGAGGGCTGTTTGGATATGGTGATGATGTTGGAATATGATATGCGAATGGAACGTTACAAGAACGACGGATAGAATTTGAAGTTGAAGCCGAATCAGATCGAATTTTCGATCTTGAATTGGCTACTGTTACCGGGGGAGGCTCCGGGTTGCTACCGGGAGGTGTTCCCTGGACCACGGGGGGAGGCTCCCGACATCAACAACACACTCCACAACACTTTTGGTCAAAGCATTTAAAGTGGAAGATGTCCTTGATTATATTGGAAACTATACCTGTCTACATGATCATATCATACAACCTACAGGATATCTTGACTACATCTTCTTTTTTGTTCATCTCTTATGCTGGTAATAAACATCGGCTTCCACCTCGTTCAACAGTCATTTTCATTTCAAGGGACTAGTATACTGTTAACGTTCTGTTGTTGGCAATTGTAATTATAATTTGTTCCAGTTACAGCAAACGAGCGAGTGCCCAAGCAGGTACTTTGCAGTACTATCACATGTCATCACGGCCACTTTCTAGTTGGCTGTAGCGAAGACCTCATCGCATCTCTCCGTGTCAGCTCTCATTCCCTCATTCTTTCTCTCTCTAATTTCTGTCTTATATCTTTATTCTTATTCTTATTCTTATCCTTCTTCCCTTCCTACGTATCCCTCGAATTCCTGGCGGCGGCAGCAACCTTATTGTATATTCAACCGTCACATTCGTTATCGACTCTCCGCTCATTCCCGTCCTTCTATCGAAGTAGACTAATACCATCGACGAAAATCTACGATACGACACAATACAATACAATACTGTACTGTACATACGGTACAGAATTTGTATTTGTATAACCTGGTCGAAACGTGTTTGTCGGCAAGAAAAGGTACGCATGTTGTCGTCATGGGTCCGCCATGACCTCTAACTAGCGCTAAGCTTCCCCGTTCGTCGCAAGAAATCCAAACCCTCCAGCTGCAGCTGTTGCACCCGAGTCCAGATGCTCCCATCCGACATCTCTTATATATATTCCCTCTTCTTTCCCGCCGACTCTGGCTAACCGTTGCGAACTTGTAGGTTTGGCCTCCAACCTTTTCTCTCCGAGTATATATCCGCATAATGTATGGCAGCACTTGGTGAGTTATATTCTCTTTCCTTTCCTTTCGTCTTCTTTCTTTCCTGCACCTGTAGAAAAAAAACCACTAGCTAGAATATACCTTCTGGTTTGTGCTTTTGTGAGCGCGTGGTGTTCATGTTCGTTCGAAATGGTGGTTATGGTGCCTGCAGCCCCGGCTGCGGTAGTCCACAAGCCTTCCCCAGCCAAGTGCAAACATGTGGCTGTTGAAGTTACCCACTATCACCACCACCACCATTTCGACCTCAACCTCGACATCAGCGCCATCCCCCGGTCTCTCGCTAGAGATTCTCCCCTACTAGCATTAGCGCAGAGGGCTAACTCTCAGAAATTCCCTTCCCCGGATCGGGTCCCGGAAAATGCTGCTGTTCCTTCAGAAGTACCTTGGCTATCATACATGAGTACCCCGAACCAACAATCCCGTCGTCCATCCTCATCCGGTGGAGCTAGTGGTAGCTATCTAGCCCCTCCGGATGCTGCAAATAACGACCCCAATCCGCCCACTGTCGCACCTTTCTCAAAATCGCCCTCGCCGTCCGAACGAGCATCGTACCATCAAGTCTTCCAGAAATCGCCCTTGCTGGTCAGCACCCCACCACAAGTTACAAAAGCGCTTTCGCAGGTTTATCCATATGCCAAATTTGCGAATCAATTCGCGGGACTGTTAACCTGGACGACAGAAGATCCTTGGTTCGTTTCCCCGAAAGACGATTGTATTTGGTGGATTGCTTTCTGACATACTAGCTTATGTGTAGGGAGAGCTTTCTGTTGGTAGCCGCGTTCTGGGCTGTTACGCTTTATGGCGACCTTGTGATAAAATGGTTTGGAAACATTCTTATAGTGCTGGTTCTGGCACTGGGCATGTTCGCCCGTAATCAGACTCGAAGTAATTTACCACTTCTTCAAATTATTTCATATGATAAATATGATACTAAATAATTCAAATTAGAGGACGAACACCCTTCTCTCGACGATATCCTGGATACCCTTCAACTGCTATCTGCTCGCCTCGCGGTCCTCACAGATCCTTTCTCAAGCCTTGCCGCTTTCTTATCCGTTGGCCAATCTCCCACAACTGCCACTATGGGGCCTACTCTAATCACCCTCTTCATCCGAATCCTCTTCGTCTCTCCGATCTGGATAACTCTTTGTTCTTCACCGTTCCGTATAATTACCCCACGTAGAGTCGTCATGTTTGTAGGAACAACATTCCTATCGTGGCACTCCCGTCCAGCCCGTGTGACCCGTACAATCCTCTGGCGCTCAGCAATGATCCGTGACATCTGCGAAAGAATCACAGGTCTTAACTTAACACCGCAGGAGGCTCCAGAGCCGCCACCTCTGCCACCAAGGGCTAATGCTCTGAGCAGAAAGGGATCTGACGATAAATCAGGTGCTCATAAGCGAACACCTTCATCAGTCGTAGCATCACATTTTATGAATAAATCGTCTCCATTGGGTAATCTGAATCAAAACCGTGGAACTGCACCAGGTGTTAGGTTTACCTTCTCTATATATGAGAATCAGAGACGATGGTTAGGGGTCGGGTGGACTTCGAGTTTGTTTGCATATGAGAGGCCGGCGTGGACGGATGAGCATTTGAGTGCCTGCCCGCCAGTGGAAGACTTTTACTTACCTGAAGCGAAGAATGGGATGAAGTGGCGGTGGGTGGAGTCACAGAAATGGCAGGTTGAAGGTGAAGAGGATGGGAAGAAGGCAGGGAACGGATGGGTCTATTATGATAATAAGTGGAGGAATGGAAAGAGGGGAGTAGATAGTTGGAGTGCGTATACGAGACGAAGAAGGTATGTTAAATATTTTTCCATCTGGCTATATTCAAAAATGAAAAGAGAAGCTAACAGCTGCAATAAACAGGTGGTATCGTAACGCAGAGCTGGTCGAAGATGACGCAGAAGATGATGACACGGGCACGGAAAGCATCGCTACAACGAATAACACTTCTGCGACAAATGAGACTACAATCACGGAGACTGAAGAGGCTCCGAGTAAGTAGATAGGAAATGTAATTACTTGGGTTTCTTTCTTTCGTTATGGGATCATGGCGTTTTTGAGCGAGAGTTAGAATCTATAGCTATGGATTTTGATTTTTGATAACGATTCCCAAATATACACCGATATACATACTTAGTACTTAAGTACTTACTTATCTATCCACAATACAGAGTATTAAGCGTAAATAATTCGCATATCTCCATCTCATACTATAGAAGTCAAGTCAAAGGTTGGATTGAACCCAGGGTCATTTGACCAAAGGGCAGTATTCGGCATGTGCTTATGAGCGTATGCATATGAACGTAAGACAAGTAACTGTGGTGCTGTGGTGTTCTCTTGCGTTGCCGTTGTAGCCACGAAAGCTCCAATTACGCATTCAGCTTCACGTCGCCCAATTCAACCCCAAATTAACGACGTAACAAAGCTACCCCCTTCCAATCCCTCCACTTCTCTTCAACATCATCACCGCATCATCACCACATCATCCACAAAAACCATGGCCTACAACACCGGCTACGGCGGCTACGGCGCCAACCCATCCTCGAATCCTCCCTCTTCCGCCGCTCAAAACCTTCAATTCTACACCTCTTCGTACGGTGACCCCACAGGCCGAGTCTCCGGCCACACGACACCTGCGCAGGGCGCATATGCCAACTATGGCATGTCTGGCATGTCACAAGGCTTTGGAGGTGTAGGACCTGTAGGTGGGCAAGATCCGAATCGACAGTTACAACCTGGGTTACTTGCGGCGTTTGGAACGGGAGGTTATGATGATGAGCCACCGTTGTTGGAGGAGTTGGGGATTAACTTTGGACATATTAAGATGAAGGTAGGATATGTTATCAAGGTTATTCGGTATTGATTGACAGTGGCTAATAAGAATGGACCTTTGTAGACATTAATAGTCCTTAACCCGCTTGCATCGATAGACCAGCATATCATGGACGACAGCGACCTGGCGGGTCCGATCCTCTTCTGTTTCTTATTCGGCACATTCTTACTTCTCGTATGACACCCTCAAATCTCATCTTCTACGACATTATTTTATTTATATATATACTAATAAATATGATTTAACAGTCAGGAAGAGTCCATTTTGGTTATATTTACGGCTGCGCCTTCTTCGGTTCCCTAACCCTCCACTGGATCCTAAACCTCATGGCCCTCCCTGGCATCAATATAAACTACATCCGATCCGCCTCCGTCCTAGGGTACTGTCTATTACCACTAGTATTTGTTTCCTTCTTCGGCGTCGCATTCCCCATGGACGGTATGATTGGATTCGCTATCACAAGTGTAGCGATCGGTTGGTGTACATACAGTAGTTCGGCAATGTTTGTGGCGGTATTGAGGGTTAGGGATATGAGATTGTTGGTGGCGTATCCGTTGGTATTGTTTTACTGTGTCTTTGGGATTATGAGTATTTTCAGTAGTAGAGGGGGTGGGGCCGGGCAGCAGCAGCAGCAACTGGCTAATGCGGCTTCTAAGATCGCAAAGGCAGTGGAAGGAGCGAGGGGAGCTTAAGCGGGGATGACTGGAAGGGTTCTATGTTTGGGGGGATGACCTAGTTTCGTGGGATTGGTTCTTCTGAAGACATCATCTGCTTCTTTTCTTAAATGTCGAAGTGGTATTTCTCTTTTCTCTTTTGAAGAGCAGGGTGAATGTCTGATATAATAGGTAAGGTAAGTGGGTAGCCACGGGGAGACTAAGGTTGGCATTAGATGAAGAGAATGTCTTCCTCCTTTTTTTGTATATAGTAACCTTTTTTTATTATTTCCCTCTTCATTATCTCCGGAATGTCCACTACGAGAGCCGATGCTTCCTTCTTCTTTGTTCTTTTACAGTTTCATTTTGGGATTTGGTTGTTACTATATTTTTTTTTACCATGGGACCTTTTTGGTTTAGAGCAGGAAGAGAGAAGAAAGAAAAAAGTAATGGAGTTAACGCTTTAAGTTAACATGAGATTATCCTTTGCAAGATTTTTTTTTTGTTTTTGTTAAGAAAAAAACTCGTCGACGCCGTCGTGGATGTGATGAATTCCTTCACATGATTACGCGACATGTTCGTAATCGCAATCATCGACAATGTCTTCCGTTAGACATGCATAGACGCATTTCGATCTTCCCGAAATAAAATGGATAAAAATAAAAATAAAAATAAAATAAAAAAACAAATAAGACAAATAAGAACCTTGTAGTTATAATGAATAAGGGCCCGTGAGGCGAAAAAGGATTAGAAATTGTATACATGTATACGCAAGCTTCGTGAATCCTAACTTTTTTTTCTTTCTATTATCAGCCCGTACCTGGCCCAGCTGATCAGTTGTAGTTAGCTTCAAGAGCTTGCTTTTTATGCTAAGAAGCATCGATCTCTAGGATGAACACATCTCCAAGACCCACAATGGTACATGTACCTACATGTCAGGTGGAGTACATAATAATCATAATAAGAATAATTGCCGATTGCTAATCCTGCGTGATATGGATAAATAATGCTCATCTTCTCGATCAGGGAAGACCGGTGCCAAATGTGCAAAGATATATTATCAGAAGAAGAAGAAAAAAGAGGAAGAAAAAGAAGTAAAGTTTTAGCTTATACAGCCATGCATCGCCAACGTAGCTAGCCGAGTCGCCCAATGGAAGGGAAGGGAAGGGCGACGGATCCTGAAATAAAATTGTAGTGTATGCAATATGTATAAGTAAGTCGACATTTGGATTTCTTTCGGTATCTCCTACTGCCGTCGCCGCTCCTTCCTGTAGGGCAGCGTACGTAAGGCGGTCAAAGAAACGGTTAGATCGGTGGTAATTAATTATCATCGACAGGATATGTTCCCATGCAAGCGGTTCATATGTTATCTGCAATAGCGACGTACATAAGTCACACACAAAATTTGGTCGCCCAGTCCGGTCCAATGAATGTTTTTTTAGGTGAAGGAAGCTAGTGAATTCAAGGTTAACTTGTAGTAGTTCCGGATCCTTCGCTTAGCTGAGGGAGCGAAACTTCGAAATTGTAATATCCAATTCATATCCAAGATCTCTGGAAAGACCTGGTCGGGTCGTTGCAACGAATCACGATGGTAGATGATGTGGATAAGACGATCGATTAGGAACGTACATGCGTCGCACGGACGCCATAGATCAGGCTGCTCGATAGGCCGCTAGATTTGAAGTTCTGAAATCTAGAGGCCTTCGACATGTCGCCGAGAATTCGCGACCCAGGTGGAACCGCCCGCGCATGAGAGCTGTGGTGGATTGGGCCCGCTAAACTTCCCGCTGTCAAATCAAGGACAAGAGGGTTTTTCTCGCACAAGGCTTCCGGCATTAGCTTGTCAAGCCCAAGTCGTTACCCGCGTCCCCAAATGCGACCCAGCAGGTGAAGACCGATGTCTGCAGACGTTAGTCTGCAGGAAATAGCGTCTTAGACTAACTGGTAAGTAACATCACGTTGGCTTGCGCACTTGCGTTGCCCTTCGTACTGATCCTAAAAAATGTTATGGTTAGTTATCACGATGTAAAAAATGGTCTGCAAAAATAAAGAAGAAGAGAAGAAAAAAGAAATTGGGGTAGCTCAAAGGTATAAAAATAAAGGTGTTTGATCTATTTAGAGATTCAATGCGATAAGTCGTGGTTCGGCCGCTAGAATAGGTCCTGGTGGGCCCTCGACTGAGACCAGTTCAAAGTCAGGCCCTATTTGTGGCAGCGAGACATTCTTTCGCCTTGGCCCGCTCAGTCGAAGCCGCAAAACCCAAAATCAGATGGCCTGTCGGACCTTTGTGTCTGTAATATCGCGCACCCTCTTTTTACCCTTTTGTATTCCGAAACCCGGATGTCCATTAAAGTCTAGTAGCAAAATCCTGGCTTGAAGCTTGGGGGTCTAATCCCGGCCGTTTTTTTTCTTCTCCTTCTCTTAAGGCGGACTGAAGTACTTGTCCCCACTCCTCCTTTGCATTCGCTGGCTAGGCTTAGCTTGCACCTGGTCTGTTGCTTCGGATTTATTTTGAAAGATATATATATTTCGCGATCCTCTTGCTTTTCGTTATCTTCTTCACTCATCAACTTCTCTTGGGCCGAGACAAGTAAAGCCCCGCAAATCCGAGTACCATCTCCTGCGATTAAGCGATGGACTATCCTTATAATAATCTTGGTGGTCGGGAAGGTTAGCATCTCCCAAAGAAAGCCGGCGAGGCTGCACAAACGCTGACTTTGAGCGATATCCAGGCATGGATCCCAACGACCCTCGTTATCATACTCCTTATCACCCCGGGACAGTTCATGGCAACTATAATCTGTATCCAAGTCAGCTCGAAATCGAAATCGATAGTCCAGAACACCAGAATGATCATTGTAAGTCACCCACCGTTACCTCACGATGCAAGCAAAAGGCTAAATGATTCTGGAGACGCCGACCACTCGGGCCACTACTACCCCCCCGAAGACCACTTCTCGCACCCCGAATACGATTCTCAGCTTAGTTCCAACGCTTCAACCAGCTTCTCCAGAGGGTGGGATACCGTAAGCCGGAATCTAAGCTCTCGAACCGCACCAGAAGAGGACCTTACCCCGGTCCAGGCTGGCCAGCGGTGCATATTCTATTGGATAAACTGTCAGTTCAAGGCTGGCGATCACGACGATTGGGCCCAGCACATTTACTATGACCACTTCAAATCAGAAGAATTCCCGGGGATGCCTGACAAATTGGATCTTGGACACACACCTACATCGTGGACATGCAGGTTTCGCGGCTGCGAAACCGTTTTTAGGAATGATGATCATCGAACTTTGTGGGATGCAAAATTAGCGCACATATTCGGACACTTCAAGAACCACTATGGACGGCCAGAGGATATTCAGGAAGATCTCACTTGGTTGAAGTATTACCACGGTATGGGCTTGTGCCACGCCGCTGACGTTTATGGCGGTGTCTTCCACCCACCAGCCCAAAAGCCATATACCCAAGCAGCTATGGCGTGGAGAAAGTTGCCGCGAAAGGTAAAGGTTCTCACAAAAGGGCTATCTCACCAAGATGCACCGGGTGAGCAAATACGCTCTGTCCCTAGCGAGCAAAGCGGCTATATGCCGCCGCAGCCAGTTCAGTACCAGTCCCCACCAGAGCAGGCCTATGGCTACAACTCGCAGGTGCCTCCCGGAATATACCCACCGCCACAGGCCCCGAACCAATACCACCACTATAGCCAGCACAACCATGTTCATCCCTCCCCTTACTAGGCGCCCGCCATAGATATTCTCTCCCATGGACAAGAATTAACCGAATCCGGAACTTCGAATATCTTGTTCTTTTGAACGACAGACGCCTCCTCATTCCGTTCGCTAGTGGGAGCTAATGGATTTATTCCCTTACAGAGAAACTCTCCCTTATTATTGAAACGTTCCTTGATATATATACTTCACTGCCTTGTTCATGAATGGTTTTTGTCATTCAGGAAATGGTTTTTTGGGGGCGTTTCAGAGGTTCACGATATGGTTGCTTCAACTTGATTTTCTTCTATATCTTCCCCCGAATTAGCACATAGTATGCCACCTTCTGTTTTTATTGTGGGTTTTACATAGCTCTGGGATAGTATTTGGGACATGCACTAACTTTGCTTTTCAATTTCATGGCCTTTTTTGTCTTTTTTTTTCCTTTTGATTCTACTACTTTTGCGCTTGTGCACTTCACTTTACACAGCCGGTCTGATCATTGAGCAAGCAGGCTCTTTCGTTTCTTCCCTCCGATTTTATTTTCTTTAGTTTTGAGCGTGACGGATTATATGTCAAGTCTTGTGCCCTTTTTCGTTTAAACTACCTATCATTCCTGTTAGCTTAGCCATCTATCTCTTGCCTCAGAAGACGACCGAAAAAAAAATTAAAAAAAAGCCCTTATCCTTCCTTAAAGCACTTACCTCGTAAAATCGTTGACTAGTTGCCTCTCAACAATACGTCTCCAAGCCCGCAATCCGATGCCATTTTGGAATTTTCAAACCGCCAGGCGGTTTTCCGCTTGAGTAAGTAGTTTCTTCGTCGCTCTTTTTTTTCTCTTGACTTTGAAAACCAAATTTCCAAAGGGTCTAGAGAGGTGATATTCCTTTTCTTTCGCCCCTCATTCTTGAAGAATACGCAATACAAGCAATCCTTCACGTTGTTGAATTTCATGCGTTCTTTTAAGGTTGAACGCAAGGCAAGGCGCAGCACAAAGAAGAAACGAAAAAACAAAAAAAACGCGAGAGTCAAAACATCGTTTATCGATATCGGAAATCTCGGAAGATTAGAGCCTGAAGTTTATCCTTCCTTCTTCGGTTGAAGCTTCCGCAACAATCTCGGGTGTAAAAAAGTGGCCTGAAAAGAGGTTGCTTTTCCTCCCTTGATGCCATGATTTCCAGATTGTGGCGGCCGACTCCAGCTGTCATGCAGCTCGGGAAAATCGTTGGGTGTGGCGTTCGATGCCGTCAAGCCTCATGATGTTGGGCATATATGCAGGTTCATGCTGGGGTGACCATCCATGGTATGAAGCTTGTAAACCCCGACGAAATAGGTTTTTATTCTTCGAGATCTTCGGGATTTGATTTCTTGATGGACTGGAGGGACTGGAGAGAGGTATTTGAAGTTAAGATAGGTTTAGAGATGTTTAGGATCTCAGTTGGTGGATTAGAATGCCAGCGAACTCTTTGTTGTATATTGTTGCGACAACGCAATATTGGTATACTGAAGCGTCGATGTTGACAACGAGCTTCGAGCATTTTAGAATCTTGGGATATATTGAAGATTGACAGTGTATTGGATGAATTCGCGGCGGCGACTAGGGATAAATGTATAATTGAGTTTATGCTCGTATCAAGCTGTGTATCTTGGTGGTTATTCTTCCTTCAGCTTTAAAATTCATGTTAGCAAATTCCTTAGAGAGTCCCTCGATTGACCAAAGAAGTTCCAATTAGAATAGAAGTTAATTCGTACAAACCAGATGAGGAATCAAAAGACTAACATTAGTCGACTGAAAATTTGATACCACAATGTTATGATTGTAATAGTGTCTAGCTTCATCATCTCTGCGAAAGCTGTAATCATTTTGAATGAAACATAGATTTTGTGAAGTTATAAAATCCCGATAATTAAAGAGTATCGCAAGGTGGACTGGATCTATGGGCTAACTTGCTACCCACAGTCATTCCATAAACAACGAAGGGGGTTTTGGCACAGAAGCTGTATGCCACATAGCAAATTTGGTTAAGCATCCGTTTCTGCTCAAAAATATTCGTATGCGCTATACAAAACCTCGACTAGAGCAACTTGGAAAAGATAGGAAAAAGAAATGACCTTCTGGGAATAACATGACAGCTGACCAAAAGGAAAGAAGTGGCACTTACATGCAAGCTATGACCTCTCGCAAGGCCTCCCGCTGGCCACCTATGCAAGTAATAAAAGAAAGAAAGAAAGAAAGAAAGAAAAAATCTTTCAAGAACACTTCATCAGGATCTTCACCGTTTTCTTTTCTTTCCTTTTTTTCAGCCCCATTTCTCTCAAACGGTAGTAATTGAGGTCAAGGATACTTCAGGCAGCTGATACAAGCAGCAGCTTGCCTATACACAAAGGGATATCAACCATGCCCTTCCCCCTACCCCCTAACGTTCCAAACACCGTGAACATCCGGATACCCACTCTCTTGTGCATATGCACTCCGTTCGCGCGCACTTCGACAAGTCATCAATTATGTCGCGTTCATGCATCTACAGTTATTATAATAACTCTCATCTCATATACCATCGTGGGCAGGAAGAAAGAACAAGAAAAAGGAAAAAAAGATATCTCCTTTCGCGTCGATGCATATTATACTATAGCATTATACATGTCAGTCTTCTATCAAACGACGGTTACCAAAATAAGCTAGCTGTTTCTCAACAGTTTCGTTTTGAAAGGCACCCATCAGCTCTTCGCATTGTTGTATTGAAGCAAGTTAGGGGCACAGTACAGTACATCTACGTATAGATATGTATATTTGACGTACAGTACAATGAGCTGATCTGAATAAACCTTAAAAGAACGCATGCTATATTATATAACAATACAGCTTGACTAGTTTCGTCATAAGCTAAAAAGGGATATGCAAGCTGTCAAGAAATGATAATCAAAAAAAGAGAGAGAGAGAGCGATGAATGCCTCGCATAGTATATCAAACCATGGATTCCACAACCACATAAAAAATCAAGTATCGGTTCTTCCGAAGGCTATATCATTTCACCAAAAAAAGGACACAGTCGACCCCAATGGACACAAACAATCCCAAGAAAGAAAATGCATAAATAACTACGCGCGCGAGTCCAATCAAAACCTGCTGGTCGAGGTACGGAATCACATGGTTGTATAGTGTGAGCTCCCTGTGTTGCAGGTCACTTTTTTTCCACAGGACAAATAGTACGTAGACGTCAGTCCCGAGAGTCTGGGGATAGGACGACGTACTGTGCATATTGAGCTCTTTAAACACACCCACTCTCGAAACCAGCTTAGAGCTCTAGATTCCTGGCCAATTAAATAATTTATAAATCTAGAAAATGCTTTATATAGAAAGAGAAAGAAAAGAGGGCTGTAAGAAATGCCAGTTGGAAACACGAGATCGACTTATCCCTGACAATCTCGTAGACGGCCGTCTATCTATGGAGATGTTTGGGTGTGTACTAACTTAGTCTCCAAAAAGGCGGTACCGGTCAGCTCGTCTACCTAGTTAAAGAGCAAACATGAATGCATGGAGCCGAATACCCCTACATATCGTAAGCTCTAAGCAGCGCTTAGAGAAACATCAGACAAAATAGCGTCTACCGTCTACGTGCCGTAAAGTAATGTTATACAAACAAATTAAAATTAACAACAAACACCTGACACTCGCAGATGGCGAGATTTGTGATATTTCGATAACGTAGTTTCGTAGTTTTGTGAGCTCACGGGAACATACAGGTTTTAGGTCTAGGGACGAAGTATAGATACAAATATCAGGATCATTGCCATGGACTCAATTCAGATATACCCTAGAGGAGCCATTTGAAAAAAGATGCACGTTCCTCATAGACAGTCACAGTGAAGAACTATGGAAACTGCATATATGCGCATCAGATTCACACTCAAGAAGGAAAATGCAACCAGGTTTGCTGCAAGTATATAGCTCATATACTCATGATGCCATTGAAAAAAAAAGATAGAGAGAGAAGAACGAAGACAGGGAGGACATGAAGAGCTAACCCTGAAAAGAGCTATAGACATGCTGTACAGACTCGCGCAGATGTCGCGCTGCAGCGCTGGCAGATCGGGGCCGCAGTTCAGTAACTGGAATGATAGAAATTTCACATTCATCGGCAGTTTCAATATTTTCTGTTGAATTTGATTCGATTTCGCGAGAGCTACTCGTGGAGAGCTGGCCTTGCTATGAATTATCGTATCGTGAGCTGTCAAGTTAAATCGAATGCAGCTTTAAGCTGCAGATTTGAGGTAGGATCTGGGTCATTCTGTAGGTGGCCAGCCTTGCCACAACCGAAGTAGGTTATAGATGCGATATAGATGAACGATGGCTATCATATACATGCATATGTCACCGTTGGGTATTTTCAAGCGGGGCAGAAGATTGAATGAACAGATTGAATTCAGACGGGACGATGAAGTCCAAGTAAATTAAAGAGCAAACACCTTTTAGTTTTGGCTCTCGGATTCAACAACATCATAACAGTCTCGACCTTTCAACTAAAAGCCTGGGGCTATAGGCCAGAAGCTTTTGAACAAATGGTTGATATGGAATCTTAGACCAATTAGAGAAAAAGGACAGATGAATCGAAAGGGGGAATTCCGTATTTCTGAAATTTCAGACAACGGCCTTGGGGTGCGGCTGCTTGCAATGACAGTGTCAATCGTCCCATCTCCACATACATATGTACATCTTTGCTCCCTGCAGCAGCGCCAGCACGTACAAATTATGCAACATCAGTGGGCGCAAAATCTTTTTTCTAAAAAATAATTTCTAACCATCTAAATGTTTTTTTCTTCTTCTTGAGTTATATGCTGCGGAAGGATGTGCACGTGTGACAGGAAGAACCCCAAGGCACATGTATTTGCATCAGGCGCCTGTTGTCATGATTCCACCTACTAAATATTTCCAAGGAAAAGAGAAGAAAGGAATTCAAAAAAAAACAATCAAAAATGATTAACATCGTTTCGTCCAAAGGCTCTTCCAAAGTAGAATAGCCCCGGGAGGGTAGCGGGAACCAAGTGTGTGTGCCTTCTCCCCTAAAAAAAAGCACTTTTCGAACTAATGCACAGATGCGTAACGCCCGTCGCCACTTTTCTACTTTCGCAAGCGTTTCAATTTGTCGCCTGGGCGCACTGAGAGTTACGGTGTGTGTAGCCAACAAGGGAAAAAACATCTCTGACGGCGGCCTTTGCTGCTGCCATACATGTACATATACATGTATACATCCAGCTTGGGTACACACATCTGCTAACAATGGAAATGTACACCACATGCACGTGTACCCTTTATTATAGCAGCCGCATATTAAGGCCCGTCCAATTAGACAAAGCAATCTATTCCACCCTGGGAGTTTCTGTGTGATAACTTTCGAACTTGTTGCATATTGTCGTCGTACAATGCGTTGTAATTTTTAAATTTCTCCCCTCAAGGTCAACAGACAAAACTTGCTAGCTTGATGTATCGGACGACGACAAAGATAGATTTTTTAAGATAGTCTAAGACCTATAATTGCCTCGCCATTGACTAAACAGGTGGATCGAACTTCCGAATTCGAATTTGTAAAAAAACGCGAAATGGACGGTTTGGGAATTCCAGCTTCAAGGACAGATTTAGTAACTGTCTGTGCAGATGTCGAGATAGCAATGTCATCACAGTAACAAAGACGAATCCATTGCAAAGGACTGCAATTAAGTCCTCTGTTCACTATGATCATTATCGGTCATGGAGCAAATTCTTCTATAAAGAGGCGGCGACATCTCCTCGTTGAAGTTTGAAATCACCAGGTCAATCAATCACAATCATCAATCAGCTCTATAAACAATCTTCTCTCTTAATAACATTTCCAATTTTGCAACTTCAAACTTCAAAAACTCCAAATTTTACCAGGTATTCATTATACATAGCTTTAGATTTATCTGTTTAGCAGTTTTGCAAATTTACTAAATAAACCGCCGTTCAACATCATAGATATTAATATCAGAAAAAACAACCAGCATGTCTACCGTTCAAGTTCTCCAGCAACCGATCTGCAGGTGCGCATTCGGTGGCTCCGTGTGCATCTGCACAGCTGCGGGCTGCTTTTGCTCCGGCCCTTATTGTGGGTCGAAGACTCTAGCAGAGAACGCAAACTACAAACACGCCAAAGAGACACGGGGCGAAGATTTCGCAAACCAGATTGCGGCGGCCATGAACAAAGATGCGTACGTGCTTCTTCCTCCTCCTCCTCCTCCTCCACCTCCTCCACCTCCTATATCCTTGAAGATAACCCCATTAAGCTGAATTAATGAAACGCAAAAAAAAAAAGAAGAGCTGTAACTGACATTATAAATCGTTGTAATACAGTAACGGTGAACCAGTATCTGTGTCCATGGGCAACGGCCCACCCGCCGGGCAACCAAAACCTCCTAAGCCAACCAACCCCGCCGGTTCGAAGAGCACTAGTCCTGGCTCTTGCTGTATGGGTACCGACAAGAATAAAGGGCCTGAATCTGGTGCTCCTCAGGACCCTCGTGGTCCTAACCGTGGCCCTAGCCGCGACCCCAAAACTACCGAAGGACACTTAGCTGCAAACTTGCGGACTCCAAATGAGGGCTTGCCCGCTTCTCCTTAGCTTCACAGAAGCAGTTATTGCGATTGAATCTCTACCAGTAAGGCCAATCCCAACGGTAGCGAAATATGCTCGGTTCCACATCACGTCATACAAACTGGAAAGCGTCAAAGTACAAAGGTTGGAAGAGGTGTTTTAAATTTAGAGGAAGAGAAGGGCATAATGGGCGGTATTATATAAAACGGTTATATATTATCTTGAAGGTCAATTGTTTCCGCTACTTTTATGAGAGTTGTTTTACCTAACAAACATATCTTCCTGTCAAATCTTTTTTTGTATGTGTATTGCTTTAAACTCTATAGAAGCCAAAATTCAAGATATATATATATATAGCCCCGATTCGAAATTTAAATAGCTACTCGTGAAAAAAGAGGAAAGACAAAAAACCAGCGGTGGCCCTGGTTGACCGGCCGTCCGTCTTGTTGTATTTTAAAGGAACTATTTTTCTGGCTGGATACGAACATTAACCTTTCCAATTTTTCCAAAAGAAAGGGATAGGACAATCGATTATATGTATACATCACAATAAGGTACACTACTTATATTTACTATTCCCTCATCCTCATTGAATTTAATGCAGAACTTCCTAACTTTGTCAATGTAAATTGTGTCAATTCTAGTTCGAAATGTGTTGCCTGATGTCTTCAGAACCCTGCACAACCCATGGCATTTGGGGCTTTCATGATGTATGTCTTGTCACCCCGTATGCATTACAGGGCGTTACCATCACATTTCCCATGCGGTGTGATAAGGCTCTGGTCTTTGACGCGAATATGACTACCTGGCATTATGGGGCTCTGCAGTCTGGAGGAGCGTAAAATGAAATAAAATAAAAAAGGAAGTCACGGTCCAGGCCGGGATGTGGTATACCCACCAGGACAGGCTATGATAACGACTTGCAGCTTATTGCGTGACTTTTTTTCATGTATGTACATGTAACGATTACTCGCATGGAGGAAGAAGCAATTGTCTTAGCTCTTAAGCTAATTAACTAACCAGTTTGGATTATAGATAGTTAGGCAGGAGCTCTAAACACGAAAGATTCTAGATAGCTAGCCGTGTGTGGAGCAAGGTCCACCAACACGAGTGGTCCGATTCTCAACAGACCTGGTCCGAGTGGCTGAGAGCTGTAATGATAAGGTACTTAAGTAGTTTATGGAAGCATTGTATGAGTTTATATATTGCTTATACATGCTAGTAAATGATGATTTACATATTTCCCTAATCGATCAGTTACGCCCGTGAATAGGTAGCAGGTATAAAGGATCTTACACTACTCTTACACATGAACGTCTACCACAACTATCATCACGATAGCAACCTCAACCTTTCATAAAGGCTTAAATCACAATAATGGCCGTATACGTAAGGTTGAGGTTTCATCTAAGCGTTCCTCTCTTCTTACTGGCAATTGTAACTTCGAAAACGCTTCACACTACAAGCCCTCCGAAGCCGACCCCAGCCACCCAATCTCACGATTTTAAATGATAGGGACAATAATATGAATAATAATTTCAAATAAAATCATTCAAGAATCTTAAATTTCCATGAAAATTGAGGAAGGCCAAGGAAGGGAGAAAAGTTCGAATGGTAGGGGGCGAGGGAATATATGGTGTCAGAAGGAAAACAAAGTAATAATAATTGAAATGAAATTCGTTCAAGAGGACTTAAAGGAAAGAGAAAAAAAGAGTAAGAAGGCTGCCTACAACCTAGCTTATAAAGGGATCGACGTCAAAGGATGAAAAAATTTATATAGAAAAAAAAAAAAGGAGGTTTTGACGTTAGAAAACGATCAAAGGATAATATAAGGGGAAGAACGTTATCTGTCTTGCATCATCCAGGCCATCAACGGTCAAAAGGGGATGGTAAGAAGTACGTAAGTAGTATATGTGCAAAAGGCTAGGATAAAATGTGCACGTACGTGCGCAGGGGAGGAAACTCAAAAGGAAAATGGAGGCTACCGTTCAAAAAATAGGGTAAATAATCTGGAAATAAAAAAGACGGGGTGGTATTTAGTGCACGGATCAAAAACAAGACTGGAGAAATAGAAGTTTAACGCCGCGACAATGGTATGGAGCAGGATATCGCAAAATAAAGCAAAGGGTGATGATTTGCACGTTGGCAACAGGGAGGAACGAGCAGAATTGATATCGGTCCCAACTCAACAAAACAAGGAGAGAGAAAAAGCCAGAGGAGACAGATAAAAGCCAGCACGTTCCCATAAAGAAGCCCACTTCGCTACCGACATTGTGTTCCTCCGGGGTATATACAAGACCATAGAAAGGCCAGATAGACATATATTGGAAGAGGGAGAGAAGGAGAAATGGTGTTGGAGAAAATAGAGAGGTGAGTGGGCCTAAGTACCCGGAAGGGCGGGGATACAAAACAAGACCCACGTGGTATCGCGAATATATCGATTTTCCAGTTTCATTTATCCCCTCAAAGAAAAGAAACCGAAAACAGGAACCTTTGAAACCAGCGGAATAAATAAAATGACGAAAACAAGCAAAGCAAAGACGTTGAACTCCCAGGATTCCGCACCCCTTCATAACGATAGACAAAAATTAAACAAAAAAACCCAGTTGATAAATCGTAAAGCGTTGAAGATCCTAGGGTAAAGGGGAGCGCAAATTCCAGCATACCCACCAACTAGGGCCACGCTCTTCACTGACCCTGAGGCGGCTGGCCTCTCCCTCTAGCCATAAGCATATTAATCTGCGCAGGGCTGTACCCTTGCAGTGCTGCTCCATTCATCATACCTATGGGCATCCCGCCGCCGCCAGCCATTCCATTGGCGACCATCATCTGAGGATATCCATTCATGCCCATTTGCATGCCGCCCATCATGCCATTCATATGCATCCCACCACCGCCAGGCATACCGCCCATAAAGCCTCTTCCGGCCATACCAGGGTGCATACCAGCAACACCGCCCATGCCGTCCATCATTTGTGGCTGTTGATGTTGCTGCGCAGCTGCGTGTTGGGCAGCAAGAAGCTGCTGCTGATGATGTTGCTGCTGCTGCGCTTGCCGCATTAAAAAGGCGCGTTGCATCATTATCTTCTGCTGCTCAGGGTTTTGCCCAAGTGCCATCTGATGTGCCGCTTTGTTCATGACCATAGGATTTCGGGCGCCAGCCATCATCATTTGATGGGCCATGGCCTGAGCCTGGTTCATGACATGCCCACCTTGCATCATACCAACGTTTCGAGCAAGTGGGCTCCCTTGAGCCATAGCTGGTGAACCGTGCATTGGCTGCGACGTCGTCACACGCATCATTGGCGATGCATGCATCGCTGGGGAGCCTGGCATTGGTTGGTTGTGCTGGTGCTGAATGGACTGAACAGTAGACATGTGTGGCGATTGCTGGCGAGATCCTGGTTGTGAGGAGTGGGTGGATGTTCGTGTTGGCATAGGAGGGGAGCCTTGGTGAGCAAAAGGAGACGAAGCAGCTGCTATTGGGCTACCTTGCGTGGCTGACGTCTGTTGGGGAGCGCTTGTGGGTGTCTGCGCTGCGGCCGCATGTGCTTGTGCCTGAGCCGCAACTTGTGCAGCATGTTGCTGCTCCCTCGCCTGTGCCTGTGCCTCCCTTTGCGCCTGGGCTGCTTGGGCGGCGGAAGCAGCAGCAGCAGCGTCATGTTGCTGACGCTGAGCTTGTGCCGCAGCCTGCGCCTGCGCCTGTGCAGCAGCTTGGGCCTGTGCAGCAGCAGCTTGTTGTGCAAGATGTTCCCTTTGTTGCTGCTGAGCTTGTTGTATAGCACCATTCCTCGCAATCATATCCCTCAATGATCCCTTATTGTCGAGTGGTGATTGCTCCACCGGTGTGGCAGAGACCGGGGTCCTTATCGAAGGCTCTGGCCTCGGTTCTTTGGCAGCTTTCCGGCGCTCTTCCTCTTGTTGCTGTCTCTTCTCCTGTTCCTTTTTAATCCTATCTTCCTCATGCTTCTGTTTGATCGACTCGAGAGCCTTCCATCTCTTAAATGAGGGCTCAAAGCCACCAGTGCCAACCGGTCCATCATCTGCTGCACCAACTGTCGATGGCTGGTGGCGTTCGTCCATAATCAACATCAGTCTCTCCTCCTCCGCTGCCTTCGCCTCGTCAACCGCCATTTCTTTGACGGTCCTCTTCCTTGTCTTCTTCGGCGGAACAGGCCGTGAATGCAAGGGATGTTTCAGTGCATCTATTATCGCTGCTGCATGTTCGGGTGACTCTGCGGGTGTTAATACTAGCGAAGGCCCTGTCGATAACAGATAGTCTGCTTCAAATGTTAAGGAAGTCTTATCGTTCAATATAGTCGGGAGTTTAGTGTTGGGTGCCGTAGAAACCGTCAAGGGATGAGCTGAGGCTGGTGTGGCGGGGGTTTGTACAACAGATGCATTGCGTCCTCGTGCAGTAGGTGGTAAGGGCGTTAATGCTAACAGGCATATTTCGGCATGTAGGGATGATGGTGTCGGGTGTAGGACTGTTTTGAAGACCCTCTTGTTTTCTCCTGGTTTCGAGGAGGAGTCGATATCCATCGGTTTGATGTCGCCATTTACTACAGGTTCTTCTTTGGCGTCCCCTGGTTTTTGAGCGGGGTAGGGCGCAAACGGCGAAGGTGTGAGGTGTTCGTTCCATCGGTTTAAAGAGAATAGCATATCGTTCTTCGGTTTTGTGGGTGCACCATCTACGCCTTTAGCAGCTGTTCGGTGGTCATGTATGTGTACAATGAGACGTCCTTGAGCATCACATCATGTTAGACTTGACTCAAATTTGGAGCTCGCTTTTTGGACAATACCTTCGTAAAATAGAAGCCGAGCATCACGAAACACCTCGACAGCATCAGCCGGTATGGTTTCTTGCGCGATATACTCTAGTATGCTCTGTTACCCAAGTTAGCAAACTTTCAAACCCCATGGGATCTTTCACATTGCTCGCGCACCCTCATAGCACTGTTATAATTAAATGTCCCATCTTGTTGATCGAAACGGAAATGGGTAGGGTGCATGTGTAGCGTTAACGACGGCGGTTTATCTTTGTACTTGTCGAGTATGTACTGAGTCGTGATCACTAAAAATAAGAAGAAAAGCGCATGAGCATCAATTTTGTCTATACACTCGGGTGCGATTGCAACATGTACCGGTGGGGATACCTCTAGGCATAGCTTTTAGTTTCTAGAAGGACAACGTATTGTTAGCGGTCGCCCAAATATCAAAGCAGGCGAGGTGCCGCCACATACCTTCCTAGGGGGTTGGTTTAGTGCTAGAGAATCTCCATCTTCATCAAGATCTGCCCCTCGATCTTTCTTAATCCTTCCATGCGCAGCTAGGTCGGATCCGAACTTATTGGGAGCATTCCGCCTTCGTTCGCTAGTCCGAACGTTATTCGAACTAGAAGAGGCCGAACCAGTCCCGTTTATGGACGACGAAGTAGTTATAGCGGTGGATGACATTGTCGGAGAAGGTAGAGTCTTAGAGGGTGTGGGCGAAGGGCGGGGGATCGCATGATTTACGGCAGAAGCCGTAGACAAGACGCCTCCTAGTGGGGCCTTCGGAGTGCTCAGCTTGATCTTAGGATATATGGCCGTGGCCATGGCCAACCGTTGAGGAAGGCGAACGGGCCGCCGATGGTTGCCGAAAGCCTATCCGTTGTGCGGATTGACGATATGTCGGGTAGTCTGTGTTATTTTTGGGTCTGTTTGTGGACGTATGCGTATGTGTATATGTGTGTGTTATTGCTACGAGGTGTGCCAGGAAGATGACGGTTACAGAAAGCCTCGAAGCTATGTTGCTCACACGAAACGAGTGCGGCGAGGGGGTGCGATATGGTTGAAGGTGGAGCAGGGGGGTTGCGATGGAGTTTAGTCGGTGCAAACGCGATGGACCAGCGGCGATATATATCGGTCCTGGTAGCGTCTGATGGCAAACACGCGCACTCCCTTTCGCTGGAAATTGGCGCTATTCGGAAGCAAGAGAAGCGGCGAAAATCAGTGACAGATACAAGACAGCCGACAAAGACGACGTAAGCGATAAAATTTCTGGCGATATTGATGAAGTTCTGGGAGCAAGGACGGGCAGCCGTCTGGTGGAGGTGTAGGCGTGGGTGTTGAGGAGGTTGTTGATAGGAGGTTGACGGGCCTCACACAGACCAACAGCCGAATCAGGATTCCGGCTCAGCCACAACACAAAGAACGTTAACCGGCCAGGCACCAGCCACATATGTGCAGAATGTACGTGCGCTTCATATTTAGTGTATTTACAGTTCCATGTAAATTAAATTAATTTGTACATTTGGCTATTCGCGACGGTAATAGAATTATTGGTCTTTTGGGTAGCTGTCCTTGTCTGGTAGTAGGGACGTCAATGTAGTATGCAGGCGCGCAAAATCAAAATGCATGGCAGGTTCAAGGAAATGGGTATAAGAAACTCCCTGGGAAACCAAAGAGAGGGAGAATAAATAAAAGTTAGAGACTCTGAGAATAGAATTGTTGAGAACCGATTCAGGGTTGGAAAAGATAAGCCTTGCTACTAGTTGTTAGAAGATGTAATCTCAACATCCTTCTTGACCTCACTAACTTCGGTCACTTGTGGTAAGCTCTCCTTCTTCGATTCATCTATCTTATCCGCTCCACCCATAACAGCACTGAGATTCATCGAAGCCATTTGTGCCATACTCTGTGACATGTCCCGAGAGAAGTTCCCAGAGATTCGTTTCGGGCTCTTTAAAGGCCCACCATCTTCCTCAGGGCCGCTGAGATTACCAGTGTCGTCGCCTGATACTAGGCCATCTGATTCAAAGTTGGAGTCGTACTCCTCCGCGCAGAAGCTACTATCATCGCTATCCGGTTCAAAATCATCTTCCTCATCATCTTCTTCCCCTTGGAGTTCTAGCCGGGAGAATGGGACAGTGGGCCCACTTTCTTCTTCACCAGCCTCAGTTTCTGTTTGCTCAATTTGCTTATCCTTCATTCCTGAAATTTCGACAACCGTCTTCTTGGGGTCTGGAGTTTCTTGAATCGAATAATTGGCATCAAAGGTTTTTGGGGCAGGAGCAACCGCAGAGAGTTGGGTAACATGCTCCTTGGAGGTAGTGGGAATCGACTTGGTTGTAGTAGGAATCGACTGTGTCGTTGTAGCATCATCATCGTCCTCCTCTTCATCATCGTCATCATCGTCATCTTCTTCTGACGACTCATACTCTCCATCTCCTGCACCGTCGTTGCCACCATCGAAAACATCGTCCATTTCTTCGTCAGATTCTGGTAGAGAACTTTCGGTGATCAACTGATTCTTCTCGACGGCTACAGGAGCATATAGATTAGTGATAAACCATTCCTATTACAGACATTCAGGTTCAAACTTACTTCCATTGCGAAGATAGATATCCTCAACTACTTGGCAGGATGTTAGGGTGCTGTTTTCCCCAATGGTGGCATGCCTTCCGATAATGCAACCTTCAAGCTTACAGCCGGCCCCGATTTGTGCCCCATCGAGAATAACACAGCCCTGGATTTTCGCTGAAGCACCGATTTTGACGTCCTTCCCTATGACAGAGCGTTTGACAAGGACTTTACCTTCAACTTTGGTACCGGACCCAACCATGCTGTCAATATTCGAGACATTGGCTTTGCTGTCGATAACTGCGCTGGAGTGAATAGGCTTCGTATTGTAAGTGGGATTCCTAGCAAGCTCTAGACAGGTAGACAGATAGAGAGGTAATGTGTCGACCCTCCTAATAAGCGGAGTAGTTGCGAGCGGGGTGATTGTCATTTTGGGTTTGAAAACCGCGACACCAGGACAGAATAACCCGTTGTATGCAGGTTTCTTGATCTTTTTGAATACCTTCTCCTCGCTGGAATTGCTGATTGGGCTATCAGCTGGTGAAGGAATCTTGTTCTTGGTTGGGAACCACCCTCGAGTGTTGATCTCCTTTCTCTTGCCTGCACCTGGTGTGGTGGAATAACCAGACTGCCCCATTGAAGACAGTCCGAGAAACTTCTCGACATCGGCTTCGGTGACTTCGTCGTCGTGATAGCTAGCCATACTAAGACTATCGGATTTCCTGCCATCATCGCCGTCCTCACCTGAGAGGATGTCCAGTATTCCTAGGTTGTGGGCTTGCAAGCCGGAGCCTTGCCAGCCGGCTTTGGCCCACCAAGTGAGAACATCGTCTTTGATGCTCTTGAGTTTGCTACGAGGGTTGTTGAGTATGAATTTGAGGGACCAAGCTGGGAAAATGTAGATGTGGGCGTCTCTGTAAAGGCTGTGGTACATGACCTTGGGATGGTGTTTGAACAATGATCTTCTGATCTCGATGTCGCCCTTACCATCATCGGTCCTAGAGCCAAAATTCTGGAGAAGGTACGTAAGTTCTGTGGTTGGATCTGTGCGAGCTTCTGTTGTTCTGAGATGAGACTCTAGGTCATAACGTGGGACCGGCCCGGTAATAATAGTATCCCGTTCTATCGCTAGGTATTAACATGTATATTCTCTCTCATATGTGGGAATATAGGTGTTTGACATACCAACGCCCTTTTCCTTCTTGACTTCATACCAGACTCCGAGAGCGCCCTTCTTATCGCCGACGGTCTCTGGGAGGAGCATCCATTCTTTGATGATGGTTGTCGCAGGTATTTCGCAAATTGAGTCGCAGGAAAGGATCATGAAGTCCTTCTTGATGTGATTGTAGACTTGTGGGTGACGTAAGACATCGGCTGTACCGGTTCTGGAGCCGGGTGAAGCAGCACCAACAATCTTCGGTTTCTGGAGGGGTTTTGGGTTTTTTCCAGCGGATGGGTGGGGTTCTCGAGTGGCGTAGATTTCATTTACTGCTGTACGAATAGCTGTTTCCTGGCCGGACAGGCAGACGATAACAATTGCTACAAAGGTTCGGTTAGCGACAGTTCGAATTTTCAACCAGTAGAATAGTGAGTATCTGAAGTTGACAAGGGAGAAGTACTGTCCAGTCCAGCATCGAGGGCCCATTCGAGAGGGTATTGTATCATTGGCTTGTTGGCGATGGGGAGCAGGGCTTTTGGGAGCTTGATGGAGCTTGAGATTGGCTTGAGGTCAGATCCCTCGCCACAGAGGATGATGACCGTCAGGCCCAATGCATGATGGGAGGACGGCATGGCGACGGGTGATCGAAAGGGCGATGATAGGACGATGGTAATGATGGTGATGTAGTTGTCGTTGTGGCTGAATGAAGTCGCAAAGGCTGGAGTCGAATCAAAGAGCTAAAAAACCCCCCCACCAGGTATACTGTGCATGAAATGAAGTACCTGGCCACCCCCTCAATAGATAAGAATTGATTATAACAGCTCCGTCGCACGATGAAATGGAGTAAGTAAAGTACCAAGTGCTGATATTGTGTCTAATTGATTTTCTTTTTTCGTTGATACCTAAGAAAGTACCTGTTAAGTGTAGTGGGGGATATATTACTGGAGCAGCACGAACAATGAGTCGTTTTGGGGTGTCGCAAAATTGATGTTTCCCTGGGAGCCCCGCGTTGGCCCAGTCCACCGGGATCCTCGGTGCGAGAGATGTGCTCCCGGGGACCGTTACGTATGTATCTTCTTACCGTGTAGACGCGACCGACAAGGACACACCGAACCTATTTTAAAGGGGATCGGACTGATCTGAAGCCCGCGGCCGGGCCAATAATATTACATTCTTCGTACTTACTTCCTACCTTACATATGGCATATCGTAGCACGGAGTCCGTTGCTTCCGAGACGGGGCCGCCATCATAACTGTCAACTTCATTTCCACGCAACACCCACACACACACACACACACACAGACCACACGCACACGCAGCTCCAGTTAGGTGCATTCTGGCTGAGGCTAACTCTAAACCAAGGCCAGCCAGTTAGCCCGGCCGCCCGAGGCCGTAACTAGGGTACTAGGTACCAACTATATTACCATATATACTCACATTGGGCTTAGCTAGGACTGTACTTCATCCCCTTTCGATTCAATTCGATTCAGATACTGTTGCTCAGGGTACTTCATACAAAATACTTAAGCACCCAGTTACCTAGGGAATAGTAGGAGGTAGTTACAATATTCGCCTTTCAATCAAGACATTCCCACACGACACTCCTCCGCCTCGCCTTCAACCTCGTCCTCCATCTATCCACCTACTTGTACATCTATCTCACTGCCTTCAGTAGGTCCTTGCTTAGGTATCCACCGGCAGATAACCAGTTGCTGCAGATAACCTACCGATCTTCTTCTTCCCGTTCAGCGTCAGAAACTCTTCTTGTCCGGCTCCCTCGCATCCGACTGTTCCCGAAGCCATCTTCAGCCCTTCCAACCTTTGACTCCCAGGATCCCTTTAACTCCCCCTCTCCAATCCCAATTATTAGAGAAAGTAGTCTACAGCGCGAATACATACACCCAGATCGATCTTATCCTAAGATATATTCCAACCCCTCCTAAACAACTCTCTTGCGACTTGCGTCTTCCCCCCTTACCTACCTACCCAAGCCTTCAGGATCCATCTAAAATCACGTTCACGATGGCGTCTCAAAAGGTCGTCGCCAACGGGTCCTCCACAAAACCACAATCACAACCAAATCCCCTGCCACGGTGGCTGCGAACAAATAACGTTTATCTTTTTGTCCCTAATCTCATCGGTACGTTCTTCATCTCTTCTTATTACCGTTGCTCCTTGTCGGCTTCATTTCCGTCAATGTTGGAATCTAGCTCACTAACCGTGCCCCTTTGCTTACAGGTTATGCTCGTATTGTCCTTGCTTCTATTTCATTGGTCTACATGCCTATCCACCCGTTAACATGTACCATCCTATACGGCGTTTCATGCATCTTGGATGCTCTCGACGGATATGCTGCTCGCAAATTCTCCCAATCGACCAAGTTTGGTGCCGTTCTCGACATGGTTACCGATCGTTGTACAACCAGCTGTCTGCTCATGTTCTTAAGCGCTGCCTACCCCGAACATCCCGGCTTGAAGATTCTCTTTCAGTTCTTGCTATCTCTAGATCTTGCCAGTCACTATATGCACATGTACGCGATGATGGAGAAGGGAGCTGGCAGCCACAAGAGCGTAGATAGAGAACAAAGCAAGATCCTGAATCTCTATTACACAAATAAGGTACCACCATAACTAGACCGGGCTCATCGATAAATGTTGTGTATATCTTCTAACTTGGCTGATAAAATAGGCTGTCTTGTTCACATTTTGTGCCGCCAACGAACTCCACTTTGTCTCCTTATACCTCCTTTCCTTCCCATCACCATCGGCTGCCAGAGATGCCATTCTACCCTTCATCAAGGGTATGGCCTACGTCACCTTTCCTATCTGCTTCGGAAAGCAGATCATCAACTTCGTCCAGATGGCCAGAGCTGCCGAAACCCTCGTCAACATCGACAAAGAGAGCAGGCAGCTATCACACCAGCTGAATGGCGAGAAGAAGGAATAAAAAAGGACCGGGAATATGCGAAATGGACAAGTTTTTGCCGTGGAGTTCTTTTTTGGGGGGGCAAAAACAACCGCTTGAAGGGAGTGGTTAAGTCTGGATGTTGATGCTGTCGTTGATGAATCTCGCGAAGAAATCTAGCACTCTAGGAATGTGAAAGCAAACCTGGTGTGATGGTCGGAAGTATTTGATGCCTTCTTCTCCTTCTCCTTCTCCTTCTTATTCTTCTTTACAACATATGAACCCGAGTTCGCGCCCATACCATATTCCAAGTTGTGTGTATGGCGGACAACCTTTTTCCCCTTGTTTTTTTCTCTCGTTATATTCCTTTTCTTGTCGATATTCGCACCCCCGTTTAGAGGCGTTCACCACCGCGGTCTCTCGTTCTTCATATCTTTAATACCTCCTTTTTTTTCCCTTTCCCATTTCCCTGGTCTAGTTTATTTCATTTTTAACAGCTTTGTTCATATCATGACTACATACTTCCATTGTAATATTCCCCTTCCCTTCTTTTCATACCAAATGCTTGTTGTTCACCTTTCCAGTTAAGTACTTAGTAATAATAATGATATGACGACCAGCCTCGTTACCATGTACTTATGTATATACTCTTTCTTGTCATCGAATTGGAACAAAACAGCAAAACAGCGAGTTGGGCGATCTATCTCAATCAATTCTAGCGTGCTCGTGCTTTGGGAAATTATATTCTTGCTACTCAAGACAAATGCTTGGGTATGATGTGTATTCGCAAATTTGGTATGTATATGTGACAGGCAGACAGGCAGGCGTCCAGACTCCCAGAAAGTTTGCATTCCAGGGGATTGCTGATTTTCAGGCACTCACGCTATCGGAGGCGATATCCGGGCCAGAACCGGTCACTTGATTAACATGCATTATATTATATTACTGAGGCTGTTGTATGTATCAAGAGAAGCCTACCGAAGATATTAAAATAGAAATTCAAAGTATATAAAGTTGACTGTGTCCTCAGTCTGCATCGGTACTGGTCTGAATGACTTGTAGATACCTACGAACCTAAGTATAGTTGGCTCTCCCATTAATTTAGAATTCCCTCTTTGTCGGCTCATCCTCTCCCAACAACACCAACCAACATCATCACCACCACCCTACAATTGAATCATCCACCATCACCCTGCATTTTGCCACCTTCCTGCCTCTGTTCAAGCAAACTTTACCCTGCATATTCCACAATCTCAAAAACAAGACAATCACGAGTAGTTAGCCCCGATCAACTAGTCTCCGGAAACTTGTCTGCGTCTGGCTTGTTCGGTTTCGTTTCAATTTTTTGGGCCTAGTTCACTTACCCCCAAAGCGCAGCGCCGACGAACCAGCTCCAACAGCCTACGCCCTGCCCCGAAACACGTCCGCTACAAGCCTTGTCATCGTTACGACAATTCCACCTGCCTGCTTGCTTTCTTGTTTACAATCCGCCCGACCCCCCAGGCCAGTTCTTAAATACCAAGGGTTTCTCCTTTGTGGTTCTACTAGCTGGTCCGGTCATCTACCAGGCACAATGACGACCACCACTGCTCCAACAACAGCCGAGGAAAAGGCTACTTCAGTTGCTGCTCCTATCACCACTACTACTACCACCACCGCTACAATCACGGCTCCATCCCAACAGACATCGTCGACCGGCCTCCCTATGGCTACTCCAGGTGGCGTCCCTCCTTCGCCTCGTTTGCGACAGATTTCTGCTACTTCCGCTGCCAGCGTCGCCCGTCGTCCCTCATCTTCTCTATCCGATGCGCGGGATCCGAGCTCTTCCCGTCGTCACTCAGAACAGAGGATGCTTCCTCCACCGGCACCTCTTACCCAACCGCCCTTCGCACAACCGCCATCGCCTGGCGGAAGTATCAGGAGCGTAAGCAGCATTAGCGGCAGCGATATTGGTGTTGGAAGCGGACCAGGTCCTACCCGTCTGCCCCACCAGTTGTCGCCCGCTGAGATCTATGCTGAAGTAGAGAAGGAGCAAGAGGCCGCTGTGAGTATTCAGCATCCTATTGGAAAGTAGTGTCTCAAAGCTAACCGTATTGGTGCCGCTAGGTCAACCGTCTTACTCGACAGCTCTCCATACTTCGAGCACAACAAACCATGTCACCCACCTCTCACCCAATTTCGGACGACCTTAGCGGCACTTACCCTTCCACTTACCTTTCTCCACGTAGCCGTCGAACATCATCGAATGCCTCTACCGCTCTTACTAATGCCGCTACAATCGGCAGTACCATGGCAGGAAGCTCACTCTCGCGCCAGAGCAGTATCCAATCCCTCTCCGCCGCTAGAGGCGACCCTACTGCTGCATCAGCTCCAGTTCCAACTCGCCCGGCCCCTATCCCTATGTCTCGCCAGAGTTCCGTTCGTAGCATTTCTGGTTCGAGGGCCAGTGGCCGAAACTCGCCAGCTCTAGGAGAGTCAGATAGTCCATACCCGTATTTTGGTTCCCAATACTACTACGCTTCGCCACATGCCCCACTCGGAAGCAGCAGCTGGAAGGATAACGCTGGCATGGCTCATTTGCACAATCACCACCACTCGCGAGAGCGAGAGAGAGCCGAGTATGCTGGTAGTGAGGCAGGGGGCTCAGAGAGGGGCCTAGGTGTCAGCTATTCTAGCTCAGCCGGTGGACATCCTCGATATGAGGAGGTCCTGACAGCTCGTAACGAATTGGAGAATGTCAAGAAGGAGAATGAAAAGCTCAAGGAGAAGATCCGAGAGTTGGAGAAGGCTTTGTCTGGTGTTAACGTCACTGGAACCCCGTCAAGTGAAAAAGAAAAGGAGACCAAGCCGGAAACTGATCTTAAGAGTGGGGAGCCGTGAATGGTTACTATACCACCAGCCTTCTTTCTGTCCCCCTCGTACCCATTGCTATAAAGCCATCATATTGCCACCCGCAAGGCGGTAGTTTGCGCTCCCACTTTGCATGAGCTCAATTCTCATTCTTCCCCATTGTTCATCCTTTAGTGCTTTGACACCCATGCCTTGTTTTTTGTTATTGTTATTGTTATTCTTTTTATTTTCTTTGTTCTTTTTTGTTCTTCGAACGGAATAGAATTGACCCGTATGAAATTCAAGATGGCGTACACTTTCTCCAGCCTGTGTTTTCCAACGTTCTTGGACTGCTGTTTCGCTCTACCTTACCGTCTCCCATCGCTACTCACTCCTCTCACAATCTAAAATGCAGATATACATTTTTTTTTGGTCTTCGCTGTATACATTCTTCGCATTTGCCATGTGTGGTTTATCCCTTACGCGTGCATGGAGTTTATTTTTTATTTTTGGAGAGTGCGGCCTGAACATCCTTTTTTTTTAAAAATTTATCTTCTTTTACCAAAATAACAAAGAGCATACAATGGTGCTAACATTGAATTCGAAAGTTAAGAAATTTATATCATCAAAATCATCAAACCATAAGCTATGCTCCAACAAGCAAATGAAAGGTGTCGTCGGACATATCGCAATATCCTCAACTTAAGACCATATTAAATCAATACAAGAACCCCTTTCCCAAATCTATATTAATACCTACTATTCAATGTCCTTTAAAGACCCTTAAAAAGCTAGGAAATCTCGGAACCCCATCCTTCGTCAATTCGAAATAACGATAAGTAATAACTGATCCAATCTTTGGCGGGTTCTTCCTCATGTTATCGTCCAACCCGGTGCCAACTTTAAACTTCTTGCCGGTACCATCCATCATTTCGCATTTCAATGCTCCGCAACGTCCTTCATTTCTTCCCTTCCCTTCTTCATGTCCAATAACCTTTGCCTCTGCATCGTGGAACGTCTTAACCTTCAAACAAGTCTTCGACCGTTTCTGGACGTATACGCTTTCTGGCTCTCTTAGCATCAGCCCCTCCCCTCCTTGCTCTGTAACCTTCTCAAGTTCCTCCAGAACATGTTCTTTATCCTCCACTTCCGTCTGTTCCACATATTTCACCCATTTTATCCTCCTCTCGGCCAATAATTTCTTCAAATGCTCTTGTCTTTGTTCAAACTTCTTATTCCCCATACTAGGAATATCAAAAACATGATACTCAACGCTAAACTTCCATCTGTCGCCTGCGTTAATGGTTTTTACGATACTAACGGTATCGATAAATTTCCCACGCCCGCAGGTGAGTTCTCCATCGAGGGTTATATCCTTCGGGAATTTCTTGATGAACCAGTCCGGCGCGTAGAATTTGTTACCTTCACGGGATAGGAAGGTTGTCCCGTTCCAGTATGCACGCACGCCGTCGAGCTTTTCGGACATCCACCAACCTGTTGGGTCAATTCCTTTTTCTAGGTCCCATTTCTCGGCGAGGAGGAGTTGAGGTCGTATTTTAGAGTTTGGAGGCTGTGGGGGTTCGGCGCCGTTATCGTCTTCGTCTTCGTCTTCTTCCGCTTCTGGTTCCTCCTCTTCTTCTTCGTCATCCCAGGGTTTATTTCTCGGTACCTGCCCAGTTATTGTCCTTTTTGCCTTAATCTTTGCTTTAATCTTTGCGACTTTTGCATCTTTTGCTACTTGTAGGGCTCTTGCGGTGCGGACTTCTTTTCTGCTTGCTCTTTTTTTGCCCTTTGCCTTTGCGGCCCTCAATAAGGCATTTATTCTTTCCATTCTTCGTTCCATCATATCCTTTTCGATTGCCAATTGTTCAGTGCCCATTTCGTCCAGATCTGAGAACGTCATTTCAATGTCTTCCTCTTCGCCATCATCACTACCGGATGACGATGAAGAAGAAGACGACGAAGACGAAGATGAAGACGCAGTCTCTTCGTCGTCTTTTTCTTCCTTCTTAACCTTTCCTTTCCCCTTCTCCGCTTTCTTCACCTCCTTCGTTTTACTCTTCTTATCCCCGCCTTTAGCAACCAAGGGCTTTTGCACCCCGGGATTCTTAGCCTCAACCCTTTCCCACTCAAACTTCTCCCCCAAAGCTGCCTTCAGATGTTTACACGTCCGCGCATTGACAGGGCCACCATTGATACGCCACCCGGGACAGGTGCAGTAGAAGTGGTCATATGTGCGTTTTATGGTGTAATTCGAGGAAGAAGTTTGAGAGTCGACGGTGTGAGTTTCACCATCGGTGAGGTGAAGGAGGGGTTTTACGCCGTTCTGCAGAATTGATTAGCCATGAAATAGGTTTAAATATGATAGCGCGCATGGCGGGCTAGTGACGTACTATTTCCGAGAGCTCGTCGAACTCTGACATTTTCGCTTATATGTAGAGAGAAGTAATTATATTTATACCAATTAACAAAGTACAGTAGGTTGTTGTGATAAAGTAACTGAAGTTCCGAATATAATAGATGAATCGATCAATTGATAATACTGAGAGCCAACCGGTCAATTGTGTCTTCTTTACTCCAGTATATATATCACAAAAAGATGGATATTGTGAATTGAGGTCCGTACACCCTCTATTTATCCATTTCCTTCAAGTTGAAATGAATGTTATGTTTTATTCAAATATGAGTCGGTCTGTCAGTCAGACTTCTAAATCCGGTAGGTCCAATTGACTGTTGATCCCGTCAAGCTTCGCGACAAATGCAAACCGCAAGGCGGTCTCATTTCGCGACCTCGTATTACAACTTGCCCCCACGTCGCGCGATAAATGCGTAATCCCATGACTTCGTTTGAAATTACAAGAAGTAATGAGTCAAAAGGTATGTATACAGAGACATCCCTGCTTAAGTTGCGTTTGGTGGAACTAGAGAATGCAAGTCATTTCTTGAGGCTGATGTCGGTGGCAGGGATTTGGTGAGTCAACGACAAACCCAAATTAGTTAACGTTAACTGCAGAAAAGAAAATATCGATTAAGAAGGAAAGGAACTCATATTGGAACCGAGTAAAATAATAGTAGCAGGGCATCGAATTGTCCTATCCTCGTCGAATCGCCGGTTTACTCAGGTGATTTGCAGCTACCACTAAGGCCCTCCTTTGCGCCGCCGGCACAACTGCAGACGGCCTGGCCTGGGTCTTAATGCAGATCATGGCGGACAACGCCACAACGCGTTTATTTTCCATAACATACAAAAAACACCACATCATTTCCTGCTTCCTCTGCGACGAACGTCCTCCTTGACCCGACTCGACTTCGTTCGAGATATCTGAAATGACACCAATTGGGGATTCGTTCCGCAGGCCTGCAGGGATGGGAGAAAAACAAAAAACAATAAAGAAATCAATAAGTAACAAAAAAAGCGAAACAAAAAAAATACATTCATCCCAACGAACATCTATCCGTGATCATGCTTGCATTTAAGAATTCTTCTTCAACCCCCTCTATTCCTCAAAATTATACGCTCAGCATAGTATTCCTCGGAAAAAAGGTGAGTTTGCGTTATGGTCAAATCATTCTGGGTCTACTGACCCGAAATGCCATCCTCCTCGCCGTCTACGTCCATTTGTGTGGATTCCTCGTCCTCGACTGCAGGAGGGGATTCTGAGGGTGGCTGGCCACCTGCGGCCGCTGGGCCCTCAATTGTCTCTGTAGATTTGGCTGCAGAAATGTCAACTATTGAAAACTATCTTTAAAAACTTTAGGATAGTAGACTTACCGGGCGCCACCTCGAGGCCTTCTTGGGTGACGTCGCTAGAGTTTTTACCATCCAGCTTCGCCTTTATCTCATTCAAGCGCTTCTTTTCGAAGCGCGGGCCATTAATAAGGAGGAGGTGCTTGCCTGTCCACGCGTAGTAATATGACCATTAGTCAAGATACGAAATCTCTTTTGTAACAAATTAGGTGGCACTTCCTTAGGATTACCTACATGTCTTGAGAAATGTGCAGCTTTTGTATTGCTTGCAGTTACACTCGACTATAAAAATTTCACCCCAGTTAGATAAATGCATGGTAATGCTTTGCATACTCGATTGAACCTTAGGGTTTACTCACACAGTGAACTCTCAGTCTTCGACTCAATTCGTGTGATTTCGAAGGCCGTGACTTTAACCCTGAATCCGACCGGAATGGTGACATTCGGGACTTCCTCTGATGGTGACGAATTATAAGTGATTCCGGGAGAAGTTTTGTCGAAGTCGTCTGCGGTTTTGAAATCGGGGAGGTAGTGGATATCTTCCTCGTCTTCTTCGTCCTTGGGGCGAGTTACGCGCGGATTCTTTCTACCGGTATGGGCAATTTTACCCTTGTTCTTAGGCCTTTTGGCGGGCTGTTCTTGGACCTGCTCCTCTTCTTCTACTTCCCCTTCCTCCCCTTTGTCACTTTCCTCTGGCTCCTCATCCGATTCTTCGTCTTCATCAAGCTCTGGAGATGAATCGGACTCCCGATTGCCTTTGCCCTTGCCACTTTTTGGTACAGCAATCTTTCGCCTTTTGACAGCAGGCTGGGATGCTGCAGCTGCCCCCGACTTCCTCTTCCTCCCTTGTTGAGTGGGAGCGGACTTAAGCCTTTCTACCTTCTTCTTCTTCTTCTTCACAGGAGCAGGAGCTACTTCTTCTCCATCCGTACTTTCTTCAGCGGACTCTTCTCCATCCGTACTTTCTTCAGCGGACTCTTCTCCATCCTCTCCCTCCTGTTCAAACAGAACTTGCTTCTTGCTCTTTCTAGGTTTCTTAGTGTTTGGCTTATTAGCGGGAATTGTTCCTTTTTTCGGTGCAGGCTTTCGTGTAGCAGTAGAATTTTTTTTCGCGGGTACGTCTGTAAGTTCTTCTTCTGGTGCTATTTTCTTTGCACCGCGGCCACGGCCATTGCTACGAGACTGGGTTCCCTGTATACCTGTAGCTGACTTGCCAGCTGCAGGTTTGGGTTTTGCTTTGCCTGCCGAGGCTTTTGCTCGTTCCTCTTCCTGTTGCTTCTTCTTTTCAGTGCTTGCACCCTATACAGTCTTTTTAGTATTTTGTATAAAATCTCCAAATCTCTCTTCTCGAGAAGCCTTTTCGAAAGATGGAGGGGGGAGAGGACGTACTTTATTCCTTGTAGACCGCCTGATTGGTTCCATGGTTGGTTTGGCTGTGTATACAACGGTAGTATTAGAGGGGCTATGTAATGACTTTTCCTTTTTCTTTTGCTTTTGAGATTAAACTTACAAGGTCCTCCTGCAGGAGTGGCGACAGAGCCTTTTGGACCCATTGTTCTTCGTTCTTGATGTCGTGAGGGATAGATGTATAGACTTTTGAGGTGGCGGATAGCTAGAAATTGAGATGGAGGTGTCGATAGGGGGAAGTTATTTCCAACTTTATCTCTCTTTTTGGATCTCGTATTGATAGGGTGTGGGTTTTGGGGTGGTTCGATGGGTTATTCGCGATATGGAATGCAGATGTTAGCTGAGGTCCGGAGGTTCTGTGGATTAGAACAGAGGAGAAGTTGAGATTTAAATTTGGGTGAGTGGGGATAATGTTGATGGGATGGTAAGGTATAAGAGAAGCTTCAACCAGTACTAGTCTACGAGCCAATACCAATTCCGCAGACAAATTTTGCAAAGTAAAAGAAAACCAGATTAGGTCTATTAAAAAGTAACGAGAGAAGAAAAAGAAGGCAGTCTAATTTCTGTTGATGCTAAAGATAGCTGCGATATAATATATACTCTATGTATCAATGAGTCCGATACACCGTCCTTTGTAAAGCTTAGCACCAGACTGTACGCTTAGGAACGAAAATAGATACAATTTTGATACAATTTGCAGAACAAAAGCTCAGAAACTTTCCCTGGGAAAACAAAAAGGGAGGAAGGAAGGATAGAGGCTTGAGCGGAATAAAACTGTTAGGTAAAGCGTCCTGGTATAAAAGAAAGAAATAGCTAGAAACAAAAAGACCATGTTTGCTGTCATGCTTGCTCCCGGTGGGCAATCGCTGGTATTAAGATTTTAGGAGTCCGGGCCGCGGGGAGGGACGCCAGGTTGCACAAGGCTCTTGTTCTTGTACTGCTACATGCTTTTGGAGATGCCAGCAGTACATGTACGCATAGCGGCCTGCGCGCTGTCCTATAAAGAGGCTAGTCCTTCTCTCCGGGATTCTACAGGATATGACCAGATAATGAAAAAAAAGTAGATTTAAGGGGAAAAAAAAGTGATCGGGTAGAATGATAGAAGTGTTCAGAGCTAGAGCTGTAGAGGTTTGTGAGCGACTTTCAATTGTAAGGGTCTTGACCCATCAAAACCTGCAGCATCCCAGAAAAAATCTACAAAACCAGCGCCGCATTGATCAATTCTACTCCAAATCAATTTATTTTAGCATCAATAGAATCCCTAAAAGCTAGCGCATCTTTTAAGCCATATTTCAGCGGCTCCGCAGATTGCGAAAAAACCATTCTGTCACCCAAAAACGTCACGTGAATCAGCAGTATGTTGTATTTTGTCGATATATCGTGTTGTTCCCCCTTGTGTAACCAAGGCCGTGACTAATGTTACATGGTCATAGGATTGGCAACGAGACCAGGATTGGCTAACTACAAGGCTCTGACAGCTCTAGTCTGGGGTGACGGCTCGTATCGAGGATTGATCAAAAATCGAAACGGTATATGGGCCTGTGAGTCTTAGGTTCAATTATCTGCTGGCTATATATAACCGACCTTGTAAGTTCCTGCCTGCACGTTCACGTCGGGAAGTCAGCCTGAATTCGAAGGGTCAAACAAACAGAGCCGTGTGTTCAAGTTTGTAATAACTAGTAGTAATTGGCTCGGCTGGAGAACAAAGAAACTCCGGCTTCTAAATTCAGATTACGGGGCATGCAAGGCCCCGGAAACCCTGTTATTTGTTTGAGGGGGTGGCAAAGACCGTGTGGGCTATCATTTGTCTCAAGGCCAGTTATCAATTCTGTTTTATTGTGCTTCATCATCTATCTATCATAATTTCGAAGGGTGCTATAATATTAAGATTTTGTTTGCCTTGAATTCGAATATTCATGAAATTGAAATGGGCCCGGCTACTAATACTCAAGCTCGCAAACAAATCGTATAATGGTAGATGAAACTTTGGATGCAAGCACGCAAATACCATTGCTCAAAGAAAGTAAATATTTTTGATGGGAAACTACTTTAGGGAAGTTATTCGCCACATCGATATCAGGACCAACATCGCCACGCTTGTCGGAGTCTCACCTTAGCTATAGCCTACATCCCAGTGTCAGCCTTTTCAAAGAGCATTTAGAAACAGTTCCATTCACAAGGACCCCAGGATAGATCGAAATGACTTGTGGTAATTCTAAACAACCTAAGAGCATCGAGTAATCAGAATACCGCCGTACCCATCCTTGCATAGTAGAACTTCTTTTCTACTAGATCTTTGGACGTAAGCCTCGAAAAGGAATCTAAGACATCTCACCTTAACGGAAAAATTCCGGCAATATTATAAGCTAGGTATCAACCGTGGCTATGACCCCAGCGCAACCGGGAAGTAAGTTAGGTGGAACTTTGGATAATAGGCCAATTGTAGAGAATAAAGATGGCGGTGGTAAATTAGCGCCAAAGGTTGCTGCGCAACAGCAATTAATTCTGGTTTACGAGATAAATGCAGGCTCATTTCCTCTAAAATACATGGACTAATACGTTTTGATTAATTATCTATAGAAAATAAAAACCTTGCATCAGTAACGAAGGAAACCCCTACAGATTTGGCTGTTGGTCTCCGACCAAGACCACATCCTGCAGTCCCAATGGCACATGGCGATTTCAAGGGAATCCCGCCTCCGCCCCCGCCTCCCGGTGATGCTCCAATACTAAATATCGAACGTGAAGTATTTAAGCTTCCTCCGAAGAAGCCTAAGGATCCTAATGTCCCAGCGAAACCTTTAGCGAAATTGAACATGCCTCCACAAGCAGCCATGTTGGATGAGCTTAAGCAGCGTTTCGGGAAGAAGGTGCTTAGAAAATTTGAAGAACCCAAAAGAGAACCGCCTCGAAAGTCACCAACTCTCTTGGATGAGATGAAAGCGGAGATGCCCGGTAAAATTGCAAAGCTGAAGCCGGTCGGGACTATCGGCAATGTCAGTCGAATGAAAGAAGATATAGAGAAAACCAAGTTGAGAGAAGATGAACATAAAAAGGCGAGCCCCGCGAGAGCTAGTCCGTGGATGAAGCCTGTAAAGCCAAAAGAGCCTGTGATCTCGACGCCTGTAGTCGAATCACCTAAGAAACCCGGCGCCGACAAAATGAACCCAATTCCAAAGCCACAGGGTCGATTAGAAGCAGTTACCAAGATTGATCAGCCAGTCGTAGAAGTTCAAACAAGGCCAGTGATAACCAGACACCATTTGGAGGAACCGCCGCATGCGGACCCATATATTCTATGGCCAATTCGGGTTCTCGGACTTTCGCTCATTCTTTTAGGTCTCCTGAAACTTGAAATATATCTATGGGTAATATCCTGGAACATACATATCTGGAATCAGCTTGATGTATAAGGGCCGCCGGAACATACATGTCAAGATGTAGTCACATATATGGTGGGAATCCCATGGCTTAACATATAACCGCAGATAAGTGCTTATAAAATCATGTCAGACTTAATAATTACTTAGTTTATCTTATCAGATAAGATAGTGAAACGTTTTTTGGAGCCTGTTATCGGATTCCAATCAACTTTGCACAAATGCGCATATGTGGCCTTTGTAATTGCATAACAAATATTCGATGACAGTCGACCAAGTCGTCAATTACTTGCGAGGTCCCCACATTTACAAATATAATATAGGAGTGGGCTATAATATAACGTCGGACCATACAGAAACCCTGATTCGAACCATGCTCTTTCAGAATTAGTATGTGGACTCGAATGCTCCGGGAGAAGATGGTGAGTTCATGAATGGCCAGCTCGATCGAAAGGTGTGTTGGTTATTGTTGGTGGGACTTGATTCCCATGGTTAAGTGCCAGGGTAGCTTAGCTAGCACTGACTTTCGCTACCAGATTCTGAACTAGACTTCAAGGAAAACCCTTGAGCGGAATTTGCTTCTTTACCTGATTGATTTTATATATTACCGATATATAGAATGTACCTATGCCTGCGCAATATATATCGTTCGCATCCCGCCGTCTAACTCTCGTAAGTTGATCTAAATTCGACAAGCCTATACGTCGGTAGCGAAAGAACCTTGTGTCGGCGCCGCTTGGGCCCCTATACCGCCCCAGAAACCCAGAGCCGAATACCCCAATTCCCCGCATGTGAATTTATGGACGTACAATCATCGTCGTATTAACAAACGTAAAGGTGGTGTGACGATCGTATCGATTCACGAGGCGTGCTATATATGTGGATGGAGGTTGGAAATTAATTCCGAAACACCAATTGCATTGAACTTGGTAACTTCAGCTGGGTCCAAGATCTTGAATTTTCAACCGCTATTTTATGGTGCCCCCATTCTCTCCGAATAATGCGAAAAGATGCTCGGAGACTTTCGTCTGACCGCGGAGCCTTCGATCTCGGATTTCTTGAAGACTTAATGCTTAGTCGTTGCATCCATGACTGACAGGCGGGTCGCAATCGGATGGCTTGCAGGATCCTTCATAAATGGCATATCGAATGATAGGATAGAACTTGTATTATTATATATTAATAAATACTTCGACCGGAAAATCTACACCCAAACTTCGCTGGAACATCTCGAGTCAGTGAGGGTACCCTGAGGCCCGGCGTTCAAGCGGTGTGCATGGATGGCTCTGTAGTAATTGTGCCGTGGCATTCTTCAGCGGCATGGGCATGGAATTTCATGTGCAAGGGCGCGCAGTTTCGCTCTAACCAGCAGGGATAATAGGGTCCATGGATGAGCATAGGGCCCCGCAATGGCTGATACTATACCCCAGACTATCTTGCCAGAAAGTTGGCAACACCCCGACCCCGTTAAACTGGCAAAGAAGGAAGCTGTGGGCGATCAGCTATATATTCTCTTAGCTCCCGCCTTTAAGTTTCGTGGGCCGAGTCAATACCTTCCAAACCCAAATCGAACCCTTTTAAGAGATTTAAAGTCGCAGGAGCTAAAACTAGTATTTGAAAAGAAAAAAGAAGAAAAAGAGAAAAAATGGCAAGCGAAACACCAACATATCGCTTTAAACGTCCTTCGGACAAATGCGTGTTCGATGCTGCGCAGTGGAATATGTTAGCACATATATTCGAGACATTCGTCGCAGGATTAACCCCCGAAGAGACCGAGGAACTTAAGAAAGACTACTATAAGCACGCCAAAAATCCTGCCGATGAAAAGCTCTTGGAGGCTTATGCTCGAGAGTCGGCGTTGGATCTTCCTGAATTCTTGGAAGATGTTGATTGCGTATTTCAGAATCATGTTCCAGCCGATAAAGTTGCGGAGATCAAGACTGTGTTAAATATCCTTGAGTATGTACGGCCCTTCGGCACCCTCTGTCGATGGGGATGTATCAAAATCTATCATTTATGTTGGTGAAAGCTTTCCTAACCAGAGTGGCCGTTTGTAGCACACGGCTTGGTGCCCTCGCGTTTACAGGAACGACAATCCCGCTATATCAGAAAACGAGACAGGAAAGAGAAGAGATCATCTCTGGTTGGTCAACAGCTAGGATGGCGGCGCTGCGAAAGGTTTTCAAAGCATTTGCGACAATCGCTCGCCTACTTTGGGCTCGATCTAGTGCTTCCTGGCATGCGGCAGCTGGGTTTCCAGGTTACCCATTCTCGAAAGAAGGAGAGGAGGAGTTAAAGGTTACAATGGAATCTGCTGCGACGGCGGAGGCTAGTCCAGAGTTTGTCTTCGAGGATCTAAGCCATAGGGCACCTTCAGCTGACGGGGCCATCCAATTGTCAACTTCGATATTGATTATCGGGTCAGGATGTGGCGGCGGTGTTGTAGCTGGCCACCTAGCAAAAGCGCTCCCACACCACCAATTGATGGTAGTTGAGAAGGGTTTCTGGTATCCAAAACATAAGGCGCCTGTGAACGAAAGAGATGGTCTGAGCAAGCTTTACGAAGAAGGTGGCACCTTACAAAGCAATGATGGAAGGTATCCGCATTTCGAACGGCCGAGCCCATGATTAGAGTAGAAGTCTGTGGCTGACACCGTTTTAGCTTAGCAGTTTTCGCCGGTAGCACCTGGGGAGGTGGTTCGTCAATCAACTGGGGAGTTTCCTGGCAGCTACCAGCTCGAACAAGAAGAGAGTGGAATAAAAAGTATGGGCTTCAATTTGCAGAGTCGCCGGAGTTTCAGGATTGCCTCGACTAGTATGTCAATACCCACTGGAGAAAAGTCGGTCGGTTTAGTATTGATATCAAACTAACAAAGATATCCGCAGTGTCTCGAATGTGGGGAAGGTTCAGACTTGGAAGGAAAATGAACATAATTCCTCTAATATGGTAATTGTCAACGGTAGCCATCGTTTGGGAGAAGCATGTGTCACCGTCCCTCAAAATATTGTTGGCGATGCGGATGCCCATAACAAGATTTGTGGTGCGTTCTGCGCACTAACGTGCAAGGGCTCAGGTGCCAACATCGCGGGTCGTGGGGGTAAAGTGGCTGTCACCAAAACTTACCTTGCAGATGCCCGGGAACGGGGTGCTAGGTTTTTGCAGGGGTTCGATGTCACCAAGTTGGTATTTGATAAGAGGGGAAACGTGACTGGTGCTGAGGGTTTGTGGAGAGCTGACCCAAGTGAGCCGGCAGGAACCGGGAGGAAGGTCTTCATCAGCGCAAAGAAGGTCGTTGTCAGCGGCGGTACTCTGAATACCCCTGTGATTCTACAAAAAAGCGGATTAAGTAACTGGTGGATCGGAAGAAACCTCCATCTTCACCCAGTCGTTTTCTGCTTGGCTGAGTGGGAGGAAGAGACTCGGCCATGGGAGGGCTCTATCATTAGCGTCGCTAATACTGAACATACAAACCTAGACAATGATGGGCATGGTGCTGTTATTGAGGGCATGCTCATGCTGCCAGGGCTTGGAACTGCGGTTTTACCTTGGAAGAGCTCCCTCGACTTCAAGAAGAGAATGCTTCGATACAATCATCTAACTAACCTGGTTGTGATCTGTCGTGATCGAGATTCCGGGCGAATCATCCTGGACCCCAAGTCTGGAAAGGCAAGAGTAGAATACACTGTTTCAGAATTCGACAAGAGTCACTTAATGGAATCACTTGTCGCTGCTATGAAAATCAATCATGCTGCGGGCGCCCAGAAGATATATACACCGGTTGTCGCCGGGCCAATATATGAGAGACTCGACGACAAAGACGAAGATAAAAAGGCTTTCGATGATGTTGTTGCGAAGTTGAGAAAGATCGGACTTACTAATGATGGATGTTCGTACGGAAGCGCCCATCAGATGGGAACTTGCCGCATGGGACCTACACCACGAATGGGTGCCTGTAATGAGAAGGGCAAAGTATGGGAAAGAAATGGGCTTTATGTTGCAGATGCTAGGTTCGTTCTTTACCACTCCCCCATACGAGCCATATTTATGCCGGATATTGTTTCTAACCGCTGTTTCGAAAAACTAGTTTAATGCCTGCTAGTTCAGGTGTAAACCCGATGATAACGACCCAAGGTTTGGCGGAGTGGGTGGCCCGTGGTATCGTGCTTGATATCTTAAAGGAGGAAGGGTCTGAAACAAAGTCAAAGCTGTAGAAGTCTTGAAATTTTACAGTATCATGAAGTCTTTGCGGTCCCGAGACCCCGTTCGGAATACTACTTAGGGAGTTACTAGTATCTTAAGTACCTACGTACTTAGCATGTAGTTAATATCTAGCTGAGCAATATATCATTTAGCTAAATTTAGATGCTGGGTTCGAAAGGTACACAATGCTCGTGCTAAAACCTAATTGCAATCCAAAAACCACCAGTGGCCTTTATTACAAGATAAAAATGGAGTTTGGCAATATAATAAGTATCAAGTACCGCTACTTAGTATCTAAGATACCCTTGCGTAGTCTCGGGAGGCTGATATGTACCTAGGTAGGCCAACACAAGAGGCTGTGGAGACTCAAAAGTGTTGGATCTTGACATGAAGATGTGTTGCCAGCGTTGGAAATGTCTCGCGTATTCCTGCCTCGAGACTAAGGTCTAAATTGCTTGAGCATTCTTCTCCTCGATCGCCACGAACCATCGCACCAAGTCGCACGACTCCCAACCATCGATGCCTCGGAGATACAGTTCTAGCTAGCTGTATAGCTCATATTCCGGATCACCTAGCTTAGATTTCTAAACACAATTCTCGTATCCATCGATACCATGGCGAATAAACGTAAGGCGGACGCGTCGGTTGACGAGGTGCTTGTAAGTCCAAGGGGTCATACCTGAGTATTCGCTACCATCTCTAACGCGGCGCTTTTGATATCTAGGACCCAAGCGATATGCTCTCGTTTATATGTCTTGGAGGAGGCAGTGAAGTCGGTCGGTCTTGTCATATCGTCCAATACAAAGGAAAGACGGTGATGTTGGACGCTGGAGTCCATCCAGCATACGACGGAATCTCCAGCTTGCCATTCTACGACGATTTCGACCTTAGTACAGTCGATATTTTGCTCATATCCCAGTATGTACCGGCCGGCCATGAAGTTACGATTAAACATGAGAACTAATTTATCGATTACTTTCACAGTTTCCATCTTGATCATGCTGGGTCCCTCCCATATGTCCTTACGAAAACGAACTTCCGGGGTAGAGTGTTTATGACCCACCCGACAAAGGCGATATACAAGTGGTTGATGAGCGACAGCGTTCGTGTTAGGTACGTTTATACAGTTCTTTCATTTTTACTCTGTATAAAGCGATCTTTTGGAGGTTATGGTCAGATATTCCATCGTTTATTATTGCTCTTTGTTACTTTCTTTTACGATCACAACCAAGAGCTGCCGAAGCCTCGGAACTCTTGCTTTCCATCCAATCCTGCACTATTACCTAGCGAACTCGTCCGTTCTTTAGCGTTGGAAAAGACTCTCTGGAGGTTCAGTCCTTGTTTCTTTTGCCGTCACAATTCTCACATTATACACCCCCCTCCCAATCACATCTCCAACCCCAGAGAGTGTATCTTAGTAGTATCAGCCAAAGAATACAATGATTCCAACCCGGAAATGTCATATGAAGCTTCCCGTACATGTACACTATAGCATATGGAACTGGACCATCCGACCTTCCGTATAGTATTATATTCCTTGATCCCATATCTGACGATGTATGATGTAGTAACACAACATCAGAGCAAACGACCCAGTTATTTTCCGAAACCGACCATCTTTCCTCGTTTTCCCAAATATCGGCGATCGATTATTACCAAACACTTCATCATTCTTCGATTGCGATTACACCATACCCCGCCGGCCATGTTCTTGGTGCGGCGATGTTTCTTATCGAAATTGCAGGTCTTAAGATTTTGTTTACAGGGGACTACTCTCGCGAGGACGATAGGCATCTCGTTTCTGCGAGCCTGCCTAAGCATATCAAACCTGATATTCTCATCACGGAGAGTACATACGGCACAGCTTCGCATATGCCGCGACCGGAGAAAGAGGCTCGCTTTATATCGCTGGTCACGAGTATCCTAGATCGTGGTGGTAGAGTGCTCATGCCAGTGTTTGCGCTAGGGCGGGCTCAAGAACTCCTTCTGATATTGGAAGAATATTGGGAAGTCCATGAGAGATATAGACAGTACCCAATCTACTACGCATCTTCATTGGCGAGACGGTGTATGTCTGTATACCAAACATATATTCATGCCATGAATGACAACATCAAGGCACTTTTCCGAAGCAAAATGGCTGCGATTGGCGAAGCTGCTGGGAAAGATGGCCAAGTCATTGGTGGCACAAATCCATTCGAAATGAGATGGGTTAGATCATTGAAATCCTTAGATCGCTTCGATGATGTTGGTGGATGTGTCATGCTGGCTGCTCCTGGTATGATGCAAAACGGAGTTTCTAGAGAGCTACTTGAAAGGTGGTGCCCAGACCCGAAGAACGGTGTCATATTGACAGGCTACTCTGTCGAGGGGACTTTGGCAAAGAGCATCTTGAACGAGCCAACGGAGATCCAAGCGTTCAAGAAGGAGCACACGAGTCGTCGAAGCGGCAGAGAGGAAGCTGATAGGGTTATGATCCCGAGACGGTGCAGTATTGATGAACTGAGTTTTGCTGCACATGTTGACTATGGTCAAAACAGCTCGTTCATCGAAGAAGTTGGTGCGAAAGTCATTGTAAGTGGTGTCGATGGTCTCAAGCTACGAATTCTCCACTATAGAATACTAATTGGTATAGATCTTGGTACATGGAGAAACGAATGCTATGGGCAGGCTGAAGAGCGCCCTGTTAAGCAAATATCACGATAGAAAGGATAAACCAAGAATCTACAACCCAAAGAATTGCGAGGAACTTAATATACCATTTAAAGGAGAAAAAATTGCAAATGTGAGTCTATTTCATCTCGGCCCTACGGTAGTAGCAACGCGATCGCGACCCTTCACACAATCTAACGAAGACAAAACAAATAGGTTGTAGGCAAGCTCGCAAAACACCCCCCTCATCCATCAAAAGACGTCGACAAAGCATTGGTCAAGACTGGCCAGGAACAGATATTCGCTGGTGTCCTTGTACAGAACGACTTCAAATTATCGTTGATGTCCCCTGATGATCTACGAGAATACGCAGGTCTTACTACAACAACAGTGATGTGCAAGCAACGGGTTCCACTGAGCACCGCAGGTGCCGGCCTCGTTCGATGGAGTTTAGAGAGCATGTTCGGAGGAATTGTCACCGTTAAGAAAGAAAGAACAAACGGGTATATTGAAGACGAAGATGAAGGTTCGAAAGAAGCAAATGGGGAGCAGAAAAATGTAAAAGACCAAGCCTCGCGGGAGGAAACCTTCAGGGTAATGGACTGTGTCACGGTATCCTGCCGCTCTGGATATGTTGAACTCGAGTGGGAAGGGAACATCCACAACGATGGAATTGCGGACGCTATTTTGGCGATTCTTCTAAGCATTGAAAGTGCACCAGCGAGTGTCAAGTGTAAGCTCTATGAGATTATTCCAGTTGGTAAGGCTGCAAGCTAACCATGACGCTAGATTCTACAAAGCCACATAGTCACAATCATGACCTTCCTTCAGACCACGCCAATATTGATTTATCGACCCGCCTTGATAGGATCCTCTGGTTTTTGGAGGCCCAATTCGGAGACGGAGTTCAACCTATCGAACCCGACGGGGACGAAATCGACCTTGCAAAAGGCAAGGTTAACCTCAAACTACGAATCCAAGTTGACGAACACCTAGCCATTGTTCGATTCGACCCTCTGGAAGTTGAATGCAAGTTTGAGGCACTTCGTCAAAGAATTATGGCTGTCCTTGAGAGAGCAATTGACACGGTTGCGCCATTTGTAGACCTCCAGGTCGGCCACTAGAATGCGCATCCGGTATGCATGGTTTCTGCAGAGAAGCCGCATATCGTCACGAGGCATATCTTTGCCCACAGGTCCAAAACATCCTGCTTGGAATATCCCAATTTGCTCGGCATCAAACCTCGTTATTTTTGAGCATGTACGATAGACGGAATAGAGAAGGAACTGGAGCGACTTGATCATGAGAAAGATATTCACTGCAGTGGCCGTTTAGAATTGAATGTAGACCCCTGTTAACTGTGTAACACAAGACAGTCGCCGCATATTTGCCAACTCGGGCCTGCGGTTGTGCAACCTCAAATCGACCAGCCATCGTTGTAACCCTGTGCCTTGGAAACCAACGGCAGGTTGTTAGACCTCGGAATCTTGCGTCGATACTCACGTAACAAGAATATCCTTTTGCCTTCGATGACACCCTAGATTATAGGTGAAGGGTCCCTTGGTTTGATATCGTATGGGTGTCTATGCACGAAAAATGGACTCCCTCGTCGACAATTTTCGTATAACTAATCCAATTGTGGCCTCAAAAAAGCTGTTTTCTGCAATATTCAACTGCAACTGTATATTGAGATGCAGCTAAGACTAGTTTGCCTTTTCGTTGTCTAGCTGTTGTCAGATATTATTTTCATCTATCAGGTTAGACTCGGACTGAGATCGGCAATTAGAAGCATCCCATTGGAAGCTATTCGTTCAATCTCAACATTTAATTGGAGCGTCACCGAGCTGCATGAGCATCGGATGTTGGTACGGTTCTGTACCTACACAGTAAGTATCCACAGGAGGAGGACCCGACTGACTGATCGATTGATAATTCGATCGGCCAAAACACGGCCGGAATATTCGAATCTCAAGCTCGAGATGTGCATCATTCGATCACAAGAACCAATATGTAGCTGAATGCAATGTGTGTATACATGTACGTACGTATGTATGTCTGTATGTATGTAAGCATATATGTAGAGGACAAAAATTAAAAATCTTTAACTCCGCCATTGCCGGCATGAGACCTCCCGGATCCAAGCAAGCCAATGACATGACAACTCTACAGCCTCTTTGTACTCGCGAATTCGAGAGGATTTCTCACAAGGGAAGCTCCGATCAGGGAAGCTCACATAAATCAACTACTTTCATGATTCATAGCTACAGCTTATGCAAACTCTGTAGATGCATTACAAATGTATGCACTTTGTATGCAGTACCAAGCCTTCGGGAAGAAGCGGGGAAAGTGACGAATCACGACAGAGGGGCAACATAATTATGTGGGGGAAGTTAACTCTTCTAGCCTCGTTTGCACCTCCACCCCAGACTACCTACAGGATCCGTCAGCCGGCGGACCTGCCGGTGCGTACATAGGCTTGTTTTAGCGGTCCTGCGATCAATTTTGGGCAAAGTCGGTGACCATTTGATTGAATTAACATGATTATGTGTAACAGCCTTACCGCCGGGACCACTGATACTGTCAGCCATGCACTCAAATAGCCCGCCTCTGGCTCTAGTTTTGGACTTTAGATATCCAGACGTTTTCATGCACCTGCATATTCAAGGTGGAGAAAGCCGCCCCAGACTAAGAAAGCCGAGGCACAGGATGATCATTATGGGGTTAGTTATCTTTTTTTTTTAAAAAAAAAAAACAAACAAAAAAACAAGGCTTGAAGATGGCTTCTTGACTTCAACCGTGGTATCTTATGGTCTCAAAAACCAGATCTAACGTTTGAAGAATTAGAGGTCGCCGAAATATCCTAATTCGTATGGCAGGGAAACGGTACAGGTCTCTTGTACTTCAGCGCTTAAGAAACCTTACTCTGGTTTTTTTTATTATCTTTTCGTAGCAAATCTTGTATACCTGTACACCATACAGATCCGGGTTCCGCATACAAACTATGCACTCCAGAAAAAGTTAAAATTTCTCAAATCTGCTTGCAATTGTGACACTGGACCATATCTCAGGTATTTTATTGATATTAGAAATCCGGACTGCGTGTGTGGACGAATGTTGAGCGTCTGAAGCCCGAGAACGCTAAGGACGTACGTAGACCCTGCTCGAGATATAGCTTGCTTCTTTGAATGTATGCAACAAATGTGCATTTGGCATACTGTAGAAAGTTCAGCCGTGAGGTAGTATTATAATAACTGAACTTGTTGATGTTGGTAATAGCAGGTACAGTTATATCTCGTTACTTTTAGATATGCTAGCTTGCATGCTGTATACTGCACGCCCTCGAAAATGGTGAGGGATATGTTAACGTTGTCCGGCCGTGAGATAAATGTGCTAGCGGGACGAAGATGGATCTTAGATCCGGCTGGGCTGGGCCTTATGCACGTCAGTAAACACGCTGCAAACCGAGCATGTTTTTTTTCTATCACATTTTGAGCCGGAATTCAAGCTTTCCTAGGTTGAATTAATGGCCATATGGAGACCCTCGATTCAAAAGTAAGGCCACGCTCTAGCACTCGAAAAGAAACTAGCGGGTATGTATGTACGCCTGAATCTTAGACACTCGGACCCGGAAAAACGAAAGTCCAATATATACAAGAATTCTAAATGGAGTTGAAATGGTGACGCTATAATCGAAATTTCGAAAAAATGGCAATTTTTGCCGCCACTTTAAAGTTGATGCTAAGTTGCCAGCTTAACATAAAATATTGTATTTAGTACAATGTTCATTATGGGCCAGCTGACAAAAAATACAGGGTTTAGGAGAAGGGACGGGAAAGAAAGTTGCCTTATGATCAGCTAGACCCAGACCCTTAGCTATCATCGACGGGAAGTTAGTATTGTATTGTCTATATCTATTTGCCAGTTGGTCCTGGGAACCATTCGGAACCATTGGGAGCCATTCAGGCTAGATAAACAGGGCATGTTTTCAACCAAAAAGTGCCTGAGCTTCAACGTAGTAGGTACATGTACGGACCACCACATCGTCCATATACTTACATGTAGGCTGAAGTGTCTCAGATCTATCCAGTGATTTGAGGGGAAGAGCGGTAGATTTTACGGTGGTCTAGATTACTAGCTAGGGTCTACGAGATCGGCGCGCCACTTGCACTTCGTTAATGCTGACCCCAGTCAAGCGGTATATGAACTAGCGGCAATTTTAGGGATCTCTCAATTGTAAGTTTTATAGAAGCTTCCCAATCAATAAGCTCCTAGGATCCTAAACAGATAGAAAGAAAAATAAAGGAAGAGAGAAACAAAACATTTCGCCGGCATCGGTATCCTGTTATGCAATGTTAAAAAGAAAAGAATTAGAAAGAAGGAAAGAAAAGAAAAGAAAAAAAAGAAACCATTGGCAAATATATGTTTTTACAGGTCTCAGCTCGAAACAAGTTCCAATCAAAACTGTCTAAGACTTTTCAGAAAGATAGAAGTTAATTGCTTGTCATGTCACGCTAAGAGCCCGGCTATCTCGCGATCGTATTTACCGACCTAGCGAACGCAGTGATGTGTATATCAACCCCCCAAAGCGATTCAAACCAGAGATGTCTGTGGAACGTGCATGGACTCTATGCAACGTAGCTACCTGTAACGAATAAGGAAAAAAAAAAAAGGACAGATATCTGAGATATGTAACGTCATTTCCATGGCGCCCGTCAATTATGTCTCACAGGCAGCCAAGTACAAAATAATTACCAAAGTTCTGAGCTACATGTATTTACGTTAACGTTGACAGTATAAGCCACACAAATAGTGGCCCCAGCAGTGCTGGTGGTACCGAACATTGCCGTGACATGAGGAACCATACTCGGAACCGTGGAATGAACAGATGACTGACCTCGAGTTAACACAAGGATCTTAATTTTGGTGAACATCGAAATTTACGCATTGCATTGCTAGTAGCAGTGGCGTCGACCCGGATTCCAGGGCGAGTTTGCAATCCGGAGGTATGTAGAATGTCGACGGATGACTTGACTCACCGGGATTATTTCTTACCAGAATCCGATCGATCTCGATATGGGGCGGAGATAAAGGCCGATTGAGAAAAATAAACATCTCAAACACGACAAAAATTTAAAATCGATCGTGTACAGGAAAGTTTGCAATACCTTTCACGTAATTCTGGACAAAGCGCTGGTGCCTCGACTTGCAGGTCCAAAATGTATGAATTGTACACTGCAAAATTCAAACACCTTGTATATTATGCTAAGTGTCTTCTCATGATATCTTTTTTTAGCAATGGATAGACGAGGAGGAAATTATAGTTTATTAGTCAACGGACGAAATAGGAAACGATTAAACTAGTTAAAGTATTTTATCGAAGTATATGTATAAACTTGTACCGTTAGGCAATAACTACTCGAGTTGAGATTGGATATTTCATATTTCATACTCTGTCCCTTCTACTACCCTATGCAGGGAGACAACGTGATTATTTGCTAACAAGGGCGGCACAGGTTTGAATCTGGGGAAAGCACAGGCACCTGGTGAGTATCGAAACAGCCTAAAAAAGAGCATCACTATTGGTGCTCCGCTACCCGTACCAGGTTTGGTTTGGCCTGGTCTTCTTTTCTTCTTCTTCTTCTTCTTTTTCTTCTTTTTCTTGATCTTCATCTTCTTTTCTTTTTCCACTCTCCTTTCGCGTCATCAGGCTAATGCCGTGGATTCGGTAGCTATAGGCAGCTACAGGGAAGTCGAACAGTGGAATGTAACTGAGAGCCATATGAAATAAGTAAGTAAGTAATTAGTAGCTCTTGATTCCTTGTATTAGCTGCCAGCCACAGTGGCTAAGCAAATGGAATTGCCACGAATCTCTAAAATATGACATGCACCGGGGTGGCTACGAAATCAAGAACTTGCCCCAGCCTCGGCCAGATGGAAAATCCCAGGGCTCGTATCCGCCAGTTATAAGCTGCCCGGATTTTACTACTTGAATAGGAATACCTTGCAGCGGATTGACGTGACCAGCCATGCTGCGAGCGAAGGGTCCTCTCATAAAACCCTACTGTGTATGTATAGACCCTTCTATTCACATGCGAGGTCATCTTGAAATGAACCGACTATTGCGTAAAGCAAGGCCTCGAACCTATGGATGCTGCATCGCATCGTGCACGCGTGAAAAGTTCTATCACAATTCGAAAGACAACAAAAAGTCCCATCGTTCAATGAGCTTTTTTCATGATCCCGATAAAGGTATGTACAAGCTTAAAAAATGAACTACTAGGGTCAGCTCTCGGGCGGTGGCCAATTATCTTCGTTGCAGCGGCTCCACTATCCCGAAGTACCTCCTTGCGCCTGTCGGATTACAGCCATAACGGAAGAGACGAGGGGCATGGCACGCACGCAATCAGGTATATTCCTGTCTCTTAATGTTGCGTATGTACCTGGTTTATCTTCAGCTTTTTTCAAGTGTGATGGTTTTCACATAGTGCATACGCATCGTCCATCATCAAGACCGTGCACTGCGAGTATTAGCAAGCGGGTGGTATTTGATGCGAAAGATCGATCGATGACCGACGATCGATGATCAAGAGTTTTCCGAAAGCCGACAGGAAGAATATTATTTCGAGCCCTTACTGGCCGGAGGCTCAACCCGCCTGTTTCATCGACCCACTTTTGCAAAAAGGGCCCTTAGACTTCTTTTTTTTTTTTTTTTTTGAACAATATCTTCACAGGAGCTATGGAGGAGCCTCGAGACACCCCATGCAGAATGATCTGATATTTGCAATATCTGTGGGGGGGGGTTTTGTGTTGAGTCTCGATCCAGGCCCGTTGACGTCTGGACTTCCAAGAACGCCTTACTTGATGCGGACTAGCAATCATGCAGCGTAGGTACGTAGGTCCAAGGGTGCCCTGGTTCCAACATAGCTTGGCAAAGCCATCATTCGAGATGGAGCGCTATGAAGTCAGGTGCACCTGCGAAACAGCGCAGCGAAGCTCTAACCGTCTTAGATCAAGCCCGAATCGATCGATCTAATTGACAGCCACAATTAATCCACCGTTCTCCAAAGTCAAATCGAATGACTAAGGCTGATGGGAAAAGGGCCGGAACAATCAATTCTGGGCCGTGTTCAAATTCAATTATAGAATGGCGCTTGTTTCGAAACACCATACCCTCGATCGTTCGAGTTTGCGCTGCCAATTCAGGAGATTTGAAAATCTATTTGACAGATTTTGTAGGCAGCTTTCGGAAAGGACCCCAAAGAAGGGATATTGCTCCAGGCCTCCAGCTGTGAAAGGGTTTATACGCCACAAGTTCTCCAATCTACCAGCCGTTGTTGACAATCATTGGTCGATTGTGGTAGAACTGACGATATGAGATGAAAAGGCACCAATACCAGAAACGTCGTGGCGGAATTCCTGACGTTGAGCTTGACCTCCAAGCCATAAGCAATAAGTTGCCACTAACGGTTATGATTTGCATCGTGACATGTTAATGGCTATGTATGTACCATCTGTGACAGTCTGCAGGTAAATTAACTCGAAGGATTCTGGAAGAGCTATGTTAATAGCTGCCGATTTCAGTAAGCGCATCAGAGCCACTCAACCAAGCGACGGCTTGAATACCTCAAAAAAAAATTGCAAAGAGGGTGTGGTGCTTTCCAGTTACCAGTTTCTTAAGTCCCTTGACCGTAAATTGAGGGTCCAGCAAGCTCACTAGCTTCTGACTCGCGAAAAGAAAAAAAAATAAAAAAAATTCGGGCATTGGCACCAGCAGAGACAAGCCATCCGTCAGCCCGATGACCTCGTTTATCTTCGGTAAGGAAAATATACGCTATTAGAGAAACAAAACGCCTCTTCTACAGCTTCGGGCAATAGGAACTGTTAGCTCGAGGGCGGCCCGTCACAGTTCCCTTAGTAAATACCGGATGCAGCGGTTCCCAATCCTCATCGGTAGAGAAAATCGTGAATCCTTTGGCTCTAAAACAAGGAAAATATCTCATGCAGCATATCGCGAAGTTTCGATGCGAGGTTTGCAGTAGCGCAGCGGGGAATCGGTAATGACAAAAATTTTAGATCGATATCTAGGAAAAAAAACAAAAAAGAAATGAAGATGCTGGGTACGGGTAGACTAACGATAGACACATTTCACCCGACGTGGATTGTGGGCTTTTAGTGTTTTGTATCTTAAGCTTGGAATTTCATATCGTTGGATTGTAGCTACCTGGAATTATGATATCGCAGAAGTTATAAAAATGGCAGAAAACTGTCTAAAAGCGTGTGTATTGATTATGCTACAAAAAATTAAAAGCTTTCCCAAACAGGCCAAAAATTTTGAGGTTGAAACCAAGTGCTAGTAAAAGGAATTCACAAACAGGATTCTTCGAGATAAAAAAAAAGAATTAAGAGGAAAACGCTGCAGCTCCAGGATAATGAAGGATAGAGACGAGTGAGATAAAAATAAAAATAAAAATAAAAAAGTAGAGGCGAGACTAGTGGGAAATATTTACATGAACACTTGAAGCAACTTGCGTTGTCTGCACGCATGCAGGTCCATGCAGAAAAATACAACATTGACAACATATCACATAGCACAGACCATAATAGACATGAAGAAAAGGTAAAGCGACGTAGTCGACATGCTGAAAAGAACCTAGACCGAAGGAATCCACCCGACGTATCCAATAAAATAAAACCGATCCCAAAGCTTGAGGAAAGAAAAAAAAAAAAAAAGAAACAGATAGATAGAGATAGATAAAATGCCAAATACCAAAAAAGAAAAGAGAAGAAAAAACAAAGACCAATTTTCAAAAGCAGAAGGCATACCCTTTTCAAGTTAAAAACGCCAGCTGAGGAATTCCAGACCCCCGTACCCATAAGACTATTTCAAAGGAATTAGAAGGAAACCAGACCGAAATAAATCCCGACTAACTCTGACTCCAAGATTAATTGTAATCGTAGATACGATAGATCAATTTTCAAGCTTGATCCCCGAAATGTCGCCATGTGTGTGTGCTCCGACGAACTTGTTCCTTCCCCTAGGGTTGAAATGGAAATGTGTCTTCTTGTGCTGTCGTAGATTGTCAGATCGTGAGAAGTACCTGCCACAATCTGGAGAAACGTCACAGTAGAATGGCTTTTCTCCGGTATGTGTTCTCTCGTGTCTCTTCAAATGCTCCTGTCGCTTGAATCTTGCATTGCAGCCCTTGGCAAGGCATTTGTGGGGCTTGCTATCTTGGCCGGGAATGAGAACTGGGTAGGGCTTGGTTCGCTTCTTCTTCTGAACACCTAGTTGCTGAGGGCAGAGAATATCGGCAGCTTGTACTTTCCTCATTCCAGCTCTCATAGCAGCAAAACTTTTGCTCTTTGGTGAAAGCATCGACAAATATGAAGGAGAAATCATGTGGTCCTCGTCGATGTCCTCGTCGTGGAGTAGTCCGGGCATTGCTGCTCTTGCGGCAGCTATTGTGGCGGCGTCGTGACCCTCGTCGAAAGTGCTGTCGGAGCCAAATGAAGGAGCTGGAGAGTGATAAAATGTGTCCGCAATAGAGAGTGGCGACATGGTAGCGCTGCTAGAGAACGACTCAACTGTTGAGGAAGCTCGCATATAATCGGTATGATGAATAGAAGAAAGTACAGGATATTCGGCACTCATGTATGGATTATGGCCATAACCCAACATTGAGCTGGAGTAGGGTTTTTCCATTGTTGTTAATTCTTGAAATTCAGATGACAGCAGTAGACTAGGAGATACCGTCTCTCCTGTATAGGTAGATGGCGCTGTTACGGATGGTGATGGAGTTGCAGGACCATGGGAGCTGGCATTTGTTTCCGAAGAACCAACTGATAGTCTACGGATCGAGGCCTCAAAAGCCTGCTCACTGATATCCGCATCCGCGGTTAACAGATAATCCATGTGAATGTTATGATGGGACATCTTTCTGTGACGCTTGCAAAGCGAAGGAAGAAAGGGATCTAGAGTGAATCTGAGAAGGTATGGGAACACCAGAGTTTGGTAGTTCTCGGGACTCGAAGGATTCGAATCTCAAATCTCAATTATCTGGCTCAGTAGATTGAGAGTCAAATGTAGAGTACGACGAGATAAAGTATTATTATTATTATCCTCGGCCTTTAAAGTAAAAAGTAAGAAGGAGATAGAGGTGTGTTTGTGATTTGGCTTGTGATGAGGGAAGTTGGTGAAACGTTAAAATGAAAGGAGGGGAGATGAGGGAGGGTATTAATACGTATCTGAAGACTTTAGGTTTATACGTAGCATTCATATCTCAGGCACTCGATCATATTTCATATATGAGATGCCTGGCCCACGAAAAAAGATCCGATACATATTACTGGGCAGGCTAGATTACCGAGATCCGTCTAGCTCTCTCGAGACGCTGCAGGTGCAGGCCTTGGAACAGGCTTCCTGGCCTCGCACAATTTCTTTTGTTGGGTCTTGATTCTCTGCTGTCGGCCATGTCATTGCATGTACTGTCAAATGTATGCAAGGAAGCCCACTGGCCACAATTTTAAAAAAAGAAATTACTATTAAGTTAACTTACGATTCAAGCAAGATCGTTCTGCAGACTAGACTTTTTTTGGGGGGTCGGGAATATCTGATGTTTGGTGTGGCCATGGCCTGGTGTGTGTGTATGTGCACTGTGTGTGTATGTATGTGGACGGTGTATGTGTTGACTGGTACCGATCCAGGGTCCGGTCCAGGCCTTTGAAACCACCACCACCAACCACCACCCTTCTTCCCTTCTAATCCATTCACCCATGGCTGGACGTCCACCACCACAATCACCACTTACCACCTCTTTCTTCTCTATCACTGATATTGACACTAACCGCCAAAATATCCAGCGTATTTTGGATTGTAGCATATCGCCGATAGGTACATACTTTCTTAGTTTACTTAGTTTTCCATTCTCCGGGTTATCCCACACACCGATCCCACAAATGTGGCCTATTTCCAAGAACTTGATAGAGCCACGCACATCCTTCTCCAAAGGGATACATCGGGCATATTTGGTTCGGCCCACTCTAATGTTATAAGCCTCTAAGAACGGAGGTCCCTAACACTTGCTATGCAGGAGGTTTTCAGTACGTATGTGCCGACGTTTTGAGAGGAATGTTTCCCAAATCTACCTAGATGTGCTTTCAAATCAGCACGATAGGACATGTACTTCACGATCACGTACCTGCATCGGGGTGTACATCGTTCAAATTATCGGCTCTACGAATGCAACCTAACATCACCTTCGTTTTCCACTATTGAAAGCCCCAGGTTTATCATTTTAGAAAGAGAGGGGAATACTTCAAAGCCTCTAACGCTGCATCGATATGCACTCATAGACATCGCTCCCTTGCTTCACTGCTTCTGACGTTCTCATGTTCCCGTTGTTTCATCATCATCATCAAGGGTCCATTGGGCCATACGCAATCCCTCTATCGAAGAACGGAACGAGCACTAGTTAGCGATCAACATCGTGTCGTCTGCCCTGAATCTGAAGTTTATTTCTCAGAATGTGATGGATCGATACGATTAGGACCTGCGCTTCTGTACCTTTAGTCGATTTGAATATGCATATATGCAATACGGAAATTGATATGATAGATGAGGGCAAGCTTATAATTAGTAGTTTAGTATCACGGAAGCTTAAGATATATGCCCGGCGGGGAGGCAAACCAGTACCCTACTAGCCTTGGCCATGGCCGTCGTTTATATTTTTTTCACAGGGCCCTCATCAGATCAGACCCGAGCGATGATATAGTACTAATTGCACGAGTGTACTCAATTCAATTACTCAAAACATTTTACCGAGGTCCCTCTGTTCATGCTCTTCCTAAATTATCATATGAGTATATCAAATTAAATCGATCGACTTTGATCTATCGAGTGAATTTAATTCCGGCGTGTACGTTGTACGGAAAGCCGTCAACCTGATACCAATGGCGCAATGGTTGCGGTTGAACGACGTAATACAGGCCTATGAAATCTCACGGTTTCGAGTTGTCAATATCTGGCCGTTGGAGTTTCTCCAGATTTCGAACCAGTTAGAAAGCCGTTTCAAGTCGAGGACAGGAAGTTAAGTTGTGCAGGGACTTGTTCTGGTTCCGACTAGTGTGATTTCTTCATGCGCGTGAATATGGAAAAAAAAAAAAAAAAAAGAAAGAACCCAGTTCAGTTAAGAACGATCACGATCTGTGATATAAAAGGTGTTGGCTGCAGGAGCGGCACGCAGTCTCAGCTCTGACTTGATCATTACAAAATGTTGGGTTGGGAACCTTGAACCCCCTCCTTCGCCACTCAGTTAAGCCATCCTCCGTACATGCGCTTCTTGCGATGCTGGTTTCTGGGGCGTCCTGCGGCGAAAAAAAAAAAAAAAAAAAAAAAGACTCAATCTGGGTAGTTTTCATTCCAACATTCCCGGAATGTTAATATGCTACGGAAAGCTCCATGCTCGATCGTTGGCCGAACCGAGATATCGGCAAAGCTAACTTTAACGAAAAACCGAAACAAAGCCCTTCGCGGCGAACCCGGCCTAAAGATAGCTCCGGCTGAGTTGAGGAATGATCATACCCAGTAACAATTTGGCTAGGATTAGCTAGTTAAAGCTTCAACGAGTATACGTACCTTGTTCTTAAGGGACGTTTCTCACGGAGGCTGAGGATGCAAGGTCGCCGGAGTCGAGATTAGCGTGTGCTGTCGATTTGCAGGATACGATACTAGCAGCCAGCAGAGGGATGAATTGTGGTCGAAATCACCTACGAATTGATGAAAAACGGCAAGCGGGTTTAAAAGATAAACTCTTACCCCGCCCTGTCTGTGAAAAGGTTATAACGAAGCCGAAGCTAGATACAATTGGACCAAGAAGGGAAAGTTTATAAATTTAGGTGAAGCAACGAGGATTGGCTGCTGGCACAGTTGTATGTACACGCAAACCGTGAGATCCCCACTTTGAGCCTGTCACGATATAGATAGAGAGACCCGCGGACCCACTTTGCGATACGGGGTAATAATTTTGTTGGTTCCAATATTGCTAGCTTGAAAACGAAAAGGAAAGAGGAAAAAAAAAAAAAAAAAAAAACAGCCAGCCAGCCAGCCAGAGCCAGGTGCGCTGAGGTGATTGTGACTTTGTAGTCTACTCGAGTAAACATTGCCATGCTATGGGGGGCTAAGCGCTGGTAAGGGTTATTCTCTTGCTGCGACCTTTGGGTTCAGTTTTGTCCCCTAACTAGGACAGTAAACCACCATGGATCGATTGAATCACGATGCTGTCTTAGTTCTTAAAAACGCCCACGGACGAAGTACCTGACAAGGGCCCAGTTACCCCTCGTTGATTGTTAATTTAGACTTTCACTATTAATCAATTTAGTGCCGATTTCAATGAAGGTTCATCGGTAAACATTGACGATATTCTACAACTTCTCGATTTAAGTGCTAGCTAAGCTATTGAAATCGGGGAGGCAATGCCAGAACCAGGAGAACAGGGACAAGATTAAACAATTAATTAGAAATTAGGACTCCGAAAAAGCTGATACAGGGTGCCTCGCATGAAGATAAAAAAATCAAAAAAAAAAAAAACAGGCTCCAGAAACGAATAATATGCGTAGCTAGCTAACCTTTTTCGTCCGGACACGGCACAGTCGATATTGCATTGATGTTTCTACAAAACCTCAAAACAGTAGTTTCTCGAGCAAAATCTTTGTGATTTTGACGTAATATCTCGTGCTATTGGTAGGAAGGCTGCAACTGATTGATTGATCAGATTTGTAGGAAAGCTTTTGCATGCACGGAGCACGCTGGGCAGCTCCGAATGCCGATTGACAAGATCCAACATTACATACATTCTGCGATATTTCCCCACCCAACCCCTTCGTCGTGAAATATCATTTGATGGGATTCCCACGGCAGGAGCTCGTCGGCCTACGGTATCAGGACCTTCTCATTCTGTCACATATTGGATCCGTCATGTCATTTTTTTTTCAAAATCTTTTCCCGAATCTCGTATGTATAAAACGAAAATAGCGGCCAACTAGCGCCAGTTTGGCAAAATTTCTTTGGCGAGCAGCATATGTGGGCTGCATGTACATGTACCTACCATACCTATATGTGATCCCTTGTATGTACAGCTACTATACTATGTAGGTGCCACCCAGCAAAACTGAGAAGAAGAAAAATCAAAGTGCAAGTATCGGCATAACACAATAGAGCGATCCAATCACGGTGTCTCCCTTTATATGCACATGTAGTGAGACGGTGCAAGCAAGCCGCCCCCATTAAATCGGTTCATGTCGAATATTTTCGACTTTCTATCAACCTTTCGACGGAACCGAGCAGAAACTACGAAGTGGAACCGAGGGCGGGGTGGATAAGTCGAACGGTCTAAGTAAGCGATATTTAAATGTCTACGGGAGGGTTAGAGTACCCACAGACGTTTCCCATGCACTTAACCTGGCCAGGACCTTACTGCTGCATGGGTACGAAGATATCCATCGACGCACGAGGTTCAGTCTTTTCCAGATACGATCGAGCCCTTGTTATGGTAGAGGCATGATAGCATGAAGGATGTTGGTTGTAGAGTTAGGCAGCCCAGTCTATGTACATATCTAATTAACCAAACAGCTGGCTAAGGATTATAGAGACATTCTTGGTCCAGAATACTCCGCTTCGAGTAACTGAATTTTTAAATTTTCTTTGCCCGCGGATGCAGTGCACCGAAGGAAGAAAGTTGTAATGTAACTTCTAGCTGTAAGTCATGGCATCCGAAACCCGTCCCCCCGTCCAAGTCTATGCCGGTTAGATAGAGCAATGATGGCGATTGGATGGATAACCTGCATCGGCACGCGAGAATAATAGGGCATATAGGCAGGCATTATGTTGGCTGACTACCCTACCGATCGATCCAAAATGTGATATAATTTTTTTTATAA